GTAACTCGGCGAAATACCAGCTTGTCGCATGGGGAATCCCTTTACATGTTATGTTATCTAATTATTATCACTGAAAACAATCATGACACGATTGCATAATCCCGTTTTATCTTTATGTTTTATTATATACTATAGAAATCATATATATTCTTGCATCTTGTAAATTGTCTTTGTCGCCATGGCAATTTTTCTTTTAACAATAACAACACCGTTTTAATGAATTGTTACTTAACGCGTTGAAGACAGCAAATACGTTTTATTTGTTTTTTGCTAAAACAATCTCATATATGCTAAAATAATAGGTTTTGATATTTTTTACTATCTATAATAACCCTTAAAAATGCAAAAATGGATTCAAAACATTACTTTGTAAAGCAATTGAAATAAAATTATTTATCTGGCAAAAATGTTTCATTTGAAGAGGAGCCACGGTGGCTCAATGATATAGAATCTAACCTTCACAGAATATCGATATATCATTAGTCAATATGAAAGAATTTTCAATTGGTCTCCATTACCTCTTGAAATTAAATCGGCGATACCGACGACACTCGCTGAAACTGAATTGAGCTAAACCTCTTTGATTTATCTCCCAAATAAGTGAAATGAAATGAAATGAGGTTTAACGTTCTACTGTTCCGTTCCGACTGGGCTTATGAAGACGGGCATATGCCTAACAATGTGCTTTGGAGAAATTTTGCCCGGACAGCGGCGCTACGGCCTACTCTTATATCGAATTCCAACTGTCAAGGGATCTTTTACGTAAACGCCAATGTGAACTTTCTCGGCCAACACCGGGATCGAACCCGCGACCTCCAGTCTAGCGAGCCAGCGTCTTACTCACTTAGCCACCGTGGTCCTAGGTCCCCCCCTAAAAGTTGATTAAAGTTGATCTGATGTCTCATTTTGAATAAGCAGCGTACAATTAAATGTATGCCCTAAAGATTGGACGGAAGTTGGTTACAAAAAGTCAGTTGCAAATCAACACTGGCTTAAAATATCAGTGTCAACGAAGATACACCATTGATAGGGTGACCCACCATAAATAAATATCTCCAAATATCTCGACAATTAGGCCACAATATTTATATATATGCCAAGCCTCAAATCAGTTTCACACAATTATAGTCACTAAATAAACGATCATGTTGTACTTAATAAGCTATGACCATTAATCATCTATAAATGATAGACTGAAAACTGGTTCCAAGTTGCGTCCATAACATCCAGACACTTTTGAGTAAAAGATAGGTTACGTGCCCTTGTTTTGAAATTAGTCTCGCTTAACCAGTCTATCGACCACTCTACGTCTGATTGACGGGTCGGGATAATCAAGACTACTTTTTTACGAAACATAACAGAAAGCTAGAACAAGAAATTGAATTTAGAAATAAGCACTTTAGACAACTCAACAATTGTTTTAAGAAACTTGTAAAAGTAAAATGAAACTACTGCTAGTATCATGTTCCTGCTAAAGAAAGTGATTCAGAGATAGTATTTGTACTAAACCAAAAGATGCCGCTCTTAACGGTACAGTTAATGATAAAGCAATTTAAAAAATAAAACAAACGTAATTACTAAAGCTGCTGTAATAATCAAGAAGCTAAATTTTACTGCTATTCAAAATCGTCAACAATAGATTTTTTACGGCTGTAATAGTTGATATATTTGTAGAGAATTGCACGTGCCATGGCTATTTATCGACTCAAAGCGAGTGCGGGGTAGTCAGAAATCAGTTCGAGACACGCAACTGAAGCGTGCACATTTAGCCGTGTCGAGACCAACTTTCTGTAAAGTGCACGGGTCATCCTACTATTGATCAAAGAGGCCACATTATTTTCGATCATCCACTTTAAGCTTAGTATGAATATGGCATGGTTATCGATTGTTATACATTGATAGTATATTTGCCACGGGTAGGTAATTCTATAATCACCTATTGTCAAGAGAAGTATCTAAACTTCCCGTACCACTACAATGCATACACTGTTCAAATTATCCATTTTTAATGTGCTTTATGGATTTCTATTCAACAGGAAATGTCCGTGAAATTTAGAGATAAATATGTTATTCCATTCTATATAATGCTGTTAGGAAATGCGCAGTTCACTCGGAGAATCTTTCTCTTTGAATATAATTTCAGTGGCTGCACGCGGTTGCACACACGTTACAATGTTATAGTTTGATTTTGTGTTTTGGCAATCTCACGATCTGTCCCCATCGACCGCTGTTGTTGAACCCGATTTGAACTTTTTTTTATTTTATCTTATCATTCTATAGCAACGATAAGTAATCTATACATAATCCTTCCAAATAATTATCATGTTATAGTACTCATTTCATTTTATTAACTATAATATGAAAATCACATTTTGTAAATTTTGGTATTAACATGCCATCTAATTTCCATTATTTATAAGATCTATAAAGTTTATTGTTATTCATCTTACGTTAATCAGATTGCAAGTATTTTCATAAATTTATAAAATTTTGACGTTTTGACCGTAGGTTGTAATATCGCGTATACAAGGTCGCTTGAAAACGGATAGTCTACAATATAAGTATTTACCGAGAAGCCATTGTAAACTGGACTGGTCTTTCTCTATTGCAGAGATCCCATGCCTGCAAACGGTTAGCACCGCAAACTTACATCTGGAAGCCTGGAACGGTTGTGTTACTGACGTGTAGCGGTGTCACCCCTGCTCGTGTACCGAACAGGATTCGGTTATTCCGTACTCTTATGTTATAGGTAAGAGGTTGCGCATTAAGTGTAGGATATAGCACGAGACCTAGGTTATGCTGGGGAAAGAAAGACTGAAGTAAATAACCTGAATGAAAGAAAAACCGAAGTTGAAGGCTTTATCTTGCTTATAAACCGTCCATGTTTACATGTACGTAAAATGAGAATATTCCAGAATTCATAAGAAAAACCTTATATCATGTTTTCTTAAGGAAAAAAACTACCTTGGAAGAATAACCCGGACAGGTTTGAAGAAAAACTTTCAAAAGAATAACCCCAAATTCCCCTGTATATATTCAAAGCCGTCCCCGACTTTCAGTCCGCAAATTTTTCCCGGTCTAGAATATACGCCAAAGATCAAAGAGATTTACCGTTATAGGTTTATAAATGAATGGTAAGTACTTGGGTACGCTACAACAGCGAAGAGTTAAATGCATCTTACTCTGTAGAAATGTTTTTTTCTCTTTCACTTTGAAAATAATTTAGTTGAAAATGGGTAAAATTGTTTTGGAAACACAAATTACCAGGATTTTCTTTTTCTATATTTGAAAATGGAATTCATTTTAATTGAAGGAATGTCTGTAAATTGCAGGAAAAACAAATACGTATAAAAGGTTATTACAAAATTTGAACCAGGGCCACACTTTTACACCTTTTTCTGGATCAGCAATAGGGGTCCTGGCGGCGAAAGGCACCCCGTTTAGTTTAAAATGGCCACAGTTAAGTAAGTTAATATATAAACACAAACATTAGTGTTTTATCGACGTAAAGGTTAATTCCGTAAATATAATGACTTTTCAATTTAAGATCACTTCTTCCGTCTAACAATGAATTATATAAGATTTAGATAAAGAACGTTCCATTCTTGCTCAAATAGTTCCAAAATAGATAATGAAAACAAAAATGAATATATTGAAAAATTCATTCAAAAAACTTTATTCTGAGCGGAGTTATGAGTCTTTGGGTGTTTGATGATATACTCTCGATTGCCAAGTATTATTGCTGCGATAATAAAACAACTCGATTATTCAATTTTAATGTGAATTATTAAATGGCGATTGTGTTTTAATCTGTTAAAAATCACGGCCATCCGACAGGGCTTGTCAGGTGAATAAATGTCTAATTAATATATATTTGGTTTTTTTTTCTACATTTTCAAAACCAAAACAAAACTCCGCAATAGGCAGATGTAGCTCTTACGTCATAATGTATCTTGCTCCAGTTAATTTTTTTATATCTTCTGGCCCCGAGTTCACAAAGTATTCTCAGACTTAACTTAAAGATACATTATGGGAGATTTTTTACAGAGAATTGGCCATTCTTGCTATAACAGTTCAAAAGTAGATGATGAAAGAAGAATATTTTGAAAATTTCAGTCAAATTACTTTATTCTGAACATAGTTATCATCGTTGTAATATTTGACTAGAAATGGTAGTGAAATGTGCCTTCACCGTGGCTGATCGTTTGATTGACAGGCGTTAACTCCATCTACATATCTCGATTATCAAGTAAAGTTTTCAATGGCATGCGGAAACGCTCTACAGCGGCCTCGCTAAGTACACTCTATCATTTAGCCTCGATCTAACTGACGTATTCTCATCAGGATGCGCCATATTTGAATTAATTGATAAGTGAAATCCTATTTAAATCCGAGCTGTAGCCGAGCCATCCGTGGGTCTACAGAGTTGATGTTGGGCTTGTTGTTTAAATAAAGATCTAATTTATAATTTCTATAACATCTGAAGCCTAAATTAAGACTTGCAATAATCAGATTTTGCTCTTGCATAATGTATGTTTAAGTTAAAAATTTATTCAAAACTGTTCGCCTTATTATAACTAAACTATAGCCATTTATAAAACTTTTGTTGTTTTAATGTATCAAATAAATCAATAAGAAACTGTGTGTTTCTGGATCAAAGATATTTCTCATAAACAGTGATTGAAAGTTGAGTAAATTCTTAACTTAAGTCTGAGAATGCTTTGTGAACTCGGAGTCTGGTTAACAAAATTAACGTCAAATCATACTGTTGATAGAAGGACCCCTGTCAGATTCTAATATTGTTTTACAGTCGACATTTAAGAGAATTTTAAATTTAGAATCGTTAGATCAATGTTATGACTAGTGTATTCTTAACGGCGGAATATCGATAAATATGGTTGCCAACGCTTTTAAATTACTTATAAACAGAGAATATTTATGGTCAAATACATAGACAGGAAATGTGTTGAACGTCACAGTTCTAACTTGTACAAGGAAGGTGTTACATGTCATAGTAAAATAACATCAACTAGCGAAACATGTTTAAAACTATCCCTAGATATATTTTGTGCGTTTGGTCATTGATATTGTGTGTTGATGGCCAATGTCATTCGAAATGGAAACTTCTTGGATTTCGAGATGTCTTCGTTTCAGGACATATCGACAACTCGACTGTTTCTACCTTCGAGGATTGCGTATCTTTATGTATTAATACAATTAACTGTAAATCTGTGGGAATAACTAGTATATATGTAGGTAATATGATGTGTTATCTATATGATGTTAAAGTATATTCTGGACAAGAATCTGAAAATAAAACTGGAATGGTATATTACTGGCCCTTAAAAGGTAAGCTAGATCTAAAATATAAATATACGGAAGATGAAGGGAAACTCAATTTTAGAAGATAGCCAAGAAGGTCAAAATGTATTATTTCTTAAAATTTAGATTACTAAAATGTTTAGAGAAGCATATGATTCGCCAATTTTAATACCTGTTATAATGGCTGCATTTTTGCCATACTCCTCCGAAACATCTGCCCGGTGCTTCAAATTAACAGTACGCGATCTAAAACTATTTTCAACAGAGCAAGTTTTAACAAATCCGTGAAAGGCGTTCGAAATTGAATTACAGGGGAGGGATCATTACACCAGAATAAGAAAGAGCGAGAGAGAGAGAGGAGGGGGTATCATCCACTAGAAACAAACTAGGTAGGGGTCTTTAGCAATGGGAGGAAACCAGAAGACCCGGAGAAAACCCACAAGCTTGGACAGGCGACCCTACTCCTTGTCACGTACAGCGGGGGAATCGAAACCACGCCAGCTGACTCAATGACAGACCTTATGATACAACGCGCGCACTACCCATTCGGCCATCCAACCCCTCAGAATAATATATCATCGAATTATTCTTACCACGTTTTTATAAGTTCGTCGAGAACTTGTTTTGTTATCGCATTCACAAGCATTAAAGAAAATGGGGGGAGGGGGGCTCAGTGAGTTAGACGTTTACTCGCTAAACCGGAGGTCCCGTGTCTGATCCCGTATTCTTTAGCCCAGCCGGTGCGGAACTGTAGGACGTTAAACCCCATTTCATTTCATTTCTTTAAAAGTAAATATGTGTACAGAGAGATAGCTCCGCGAAACCTCCCTATGTTGTCATCAGCAGTCTCACCGAGTTTCAAAATATTTATTCGATTACTGATCCAAAACTTGCCAAATCCCGAAAGATTATTAATCAGGTATGAATGAACAATACCATCGAGAACATTGTTCCGTATCAACATATGAGCAAATATATAAATAATTAAAAGGCGTTCGAAATTGGGAATCCGAAATGTTTTACATTCTAAACCAGGGGTGTCAAACATGCGGCCCACGGACCAGATCCGGCCCGCCAAGGGTTTAAATGTGGATCGTGGAACAAACTTCAACAAACTGACGTGTCGATAATTCTTAGAAACTAGCGGTGGAAATCATTTATTATTGTTGTCCGGTTTCCGTAAAACCGCACTGTATGTCATAGATATCTAAGTTGTGTGTAATACAAGAGAATGTTGTGTTCAATATTATATCTTGGCAATTTGGAAACCAGTCTAAAAAAATTACCCGTGTCAAGGACGCTTGGCTTTGTTTTTAGAATTTTTGTATATCTCCGACCCACTTGATGAAAATTTTTAGTTCATGTGGCCGTTGAATCGAAGTGAGTTTGACAGCCCTGCTCTAAACAAGAACATAGTTTCCTTAATCCGAACGTATGGAGATTATTATGAAATTAACAATCGAAACATTTGAATTTCGAAAGGGCTCTTGGTAACAATCAAAGAACAGTATTTGCTAATAAGAAGAACTGCAATGTGCACATATGACGACAATTAAATGTGAGTGAATAACACAAATAGTGTACAGTTTCGTAGACAAATAGGTAACAACTTTTACGGTCAAATGGGGTTAAACGTGTTTATTAAAATAACACATGTTTTACCTGTTTATTTCATGCTAAAGCTAAATTTTTCAATCCCCATTTTGAATTAGTCAGGTCGCCATGATATAAGGTAAGGAAAATTGGTATTGATTTTAACTATGATTTACGAAATTCAATTACATTTCCCTTTCTAAATTGTTGGCAAAAGCTCCAGCATACCTGGTCTTATGAACAAGTGAAGCGATAGTTGGGATCTGTACTATGCCATCAGTTCAAAACTAATGAAAAATACGGTAGGGAGAGGGAATCAAAACTACAATCTTTAGTTTCCGAAATGTGTGCTCAAATCACCACAAGATAAATATTGATCATTGACTATAGGTCCATTTTAATATATCGAATATACTGCAAGCGAAATATCTATTATTTTTTTTTAGAAAAAGGTCATATGTTCACTATCTATAATAGACGATTGTAATAATTTCCGGTAAGCCTGAAATAATTGTTTTGTGTAATGATCATAGCCACAATAGGAAATAAATTTGGTTGTTGAGTGATAAATATTGTATAGCAATGAATAATGCATCAACTGACAATGTGAGATAAATAGATAAATTAAATACAACCGGGTCGAAAGCATTGTTGCAGTTGGTTGTCATCAGCAATTAACATACGTAATAAACACAGTAACATAGCATGTAACACAATTACTATTTTAATTAAAGCGACGTGTCGTTGATAATGTCGCGATAACCCTCAACAAAAAGTCGCTTTAATTTAAAAAAAGTAAATGTGTTACATAATATGTTATTGTATTTAGTGTATATCTTCATTATTAAAATTACTCATCTGCGGTTGAATACACGATATTCTGATTGGTCGATTCTTTGAACCGCAGTTCGTTTACCGCCAGTAAATGAATTCTTATCAAACTTGTACTATACCTTCATTATTATAGTCATTCGTCTAATTTCGGACATTACAGTTATCTCTGCATACTCAATTGACCTGCAGTCTGATTTGGTGAGAGAGATGGGTTTAACGTCCACTCGACACAAACTAGGTCATTTCGGGACTAACACATGGTTCAATTTTTATTTCAATAATTCGCTTGCGCGTAGGAGTCTTTAGCAGTGGGAGGAAACCGGAGGACCCATAGAAAACCCACGAGTTTGAACAGGCGACCATAGCTCCTTGTCACGTACAACCGGGGAATCGAAACAACGCCAGTTGACTTTATGATACGGACTTTATGATACAGCGCGCACGCGCTAACCATTCAGCCACCCCCTTCCCCCACAGTTAATAAACTGGGCATAAACAAAATACAGACATGCATTACGAAATGCCAACCATATATTAAATTAGTCTGCTAGAATTTCCATTGTGGATTCTTTGAATTCAAATTACGTACTTGGCAACTACAAATGGACACAAATGAGTCGCAACGCATATAATAGTTCTGTTTTTACTGTAATTTCTAATCAGTTATGTCCAAACTGAATGACAGTCTTTGTCGTCCTGGTTATTCCAGTCTACACCGGTAGTATTCTCCTGTGGGATATGTTTAGCCTAGTTTATCGTGGTGCTTCATTACAAATGGCGCCCGAAAGCATTCTGGCACGCGATTCGTGTGCCAATTTCAAAAAATATTCATTGTGTCTTAAATACTGAATATCTGAAAGCCCATCATTTCACGGTAAGTTGTGTTTGCAATGTTGAAGACTGGATGATATTGAGTTCAAGGCCTGCCTCCTTTAAACACCATTATAAGTACACTGTGGTAGCCGTCCGTGTTTAAAAAAAGCCTGCTGCAAACTAATTGGTCGATATATCAGCTAGACTATGAATATATTTTCATGAGTCTCTAGGGAGCTCGCTAGCCTGGAGGTCGCGGGTTCGATACCGGTGTTGTTGGCCGAAAATGTTCATCGGGAATTACCGGCGTGGTTTCCACTTGTCAGTGGTGCAGGACGGAGGGCCTGACAACGACAGCTGTCTAGTCGTTCGGATGGGACGAAAAACCGATGTCCCGTATACACATTGGCGTGCATGTAAAAGATCACTTGGCAGTTGGAATTCGATATAAGAATAGACCGTGGCGCCGTTGTCTGGGCCAAATTTCGCTCATAACACAATATATGGCACATGCTCATCTTCATTTCATTTCATTTTCATGGTTCTCTAGCTTACTTCGATCTGATTGCCATTGTCCGAGCAGAATTCCCTCATATCACCCTGCATGTCGCATGCCCCTCTTCATTAGCCCAGTCGGTGTAGAAAAAGTAGGATGTTAAGTCCATTTTATGTAAGTGTATGTTACATCCCACTCTGTGAGCCGCTGTGGTTCATTGAGTAAGACCAAGAGGTCTCGGGTTCGCTCCCTGTGTTGGCCGAGAAATTTCCTCGGGAATTACCGGTGTGGTTCCCCTGTGTTAGAGTTGCAGGACGTATTTGTTCATATGTTACGCTAAACCGAGGTGACGTGTACATTGGCGTGCACGTAAAATAACCCATGACAGTCTGAATTTGAAATCTGAGTAGCCCCCCCCCCCATTTACAACACTGCATGACATTTGCCCGTCTTCACTAGCCCAGTCGATGCAGAAAAATTAATTATTTTAGCGATTGTCAGATTATCACACCATTATAATAGCCAGCTCATCTTTTATAATCAGGAAGTGTGATATTTTTAGGCATGATTATTAATTATCAGACAGCGTAAAACACTATGTTTGCTTTTGCTATTTCAGTGCTTTGCTTAATTAGACTGATGGTAGTCAGATAAGTTTTAAATTGTTCCCTTAATGGCGGCAATCACGCCATTCTCGGTTCCTGGTAGATATTATCGCCTTTGTAATAGCTTAGAATAAAAACTTTAAAATATAAAATAGCAATGTTTATCTTTACTTATGTCATACTCGATTGAAGTTAGTTACTTGATATGAAAGAAGTTGCAGGGGTTGTTTCGAAAAGCTTTTATATACTCTGTATAAGCTGCTTGAGAGAGAGAGAGAGAGAGAGAGAGAGAGGGAGGGAGAGCCCCCACCCCCCGCCCGGAAAGTAACGAAGCTATTAATCATTATGTTACAATTTATATTGAACGGACACTGAGTATGAGTTGAGTATGAGCATTTTTGGTTCATTTATTATGCACATCTGTTATATCTCTGGTCACTTTGTTTTTTATATAATATGTTTTGTAACAGGTAAACATATTTTATAATTAAAGAATTAAGAGTGTGGCAAATATTATCTAATTGGAGTTTTTACAAATTCAAATAGAATAGTCATTTTTAACCATGACGTTGTTCAGTCGATGTGGGGTTTAAAATAATGCCTTGTAGGTATTATAGTTATTTTCAGGATTTAGAATTAAAGAGGCCGCATTATTTTAACTTCTACATCTTTTCGTTTCCATTCTTGTTAGTACAGCCCTCCTCCTCTGCCTACAATTGGTCATTCACTTTAAGTTTAATATAAGTATAGCATTGATTGTCAACCAACATCGTTATCCTTTGTTATAATTATATTGATAGTATATTGGCCACGGGTATGTAATTCTATATTACCTATTTTCAAGATAAGTATTTTGTTCACTGAACTGAAACTTCCTATATTAGCTATTAACAAACACAAACACGTGTTGCAATTGCCTTCTTATTAATAATTAATAAGGGTGTATAGGTAAATAATGAATTACGAAGATGTTTATATAATAACCTATTATATACATATATTACGTGCATAGTGGGGAAAACACCCCAAGCCCATAGACATCGACCATTACAGTGTATAGACGTCAATAAAATCATTAGAAGAAGAATATTCTTTATTAATTAATACTGGGGGTTTTAATTTTTTTATTTCATACACGAATTTGTCCAAAAGATACAGAGGCTGTTATACTTTTAGCATCGATCTAGACTAACATCAAATTCAGTGTACTCACCTTGTGTGCTTCTATGCAGATATTCAAAATAGATCTCATTTCTCCAATCTGATCAAAACACAGATCCTATTTCATTCGTTTTTTGGGTTTTTTTTTATAGTTCAAAATATTTCGTTTTCCTTGTCTTTACTATCTTATATAAACCACGTTTTGGTTGATGGGAGGTATTTGCCAATGGAACGGTCTTTTACGGCGAGTTCTTGGCGTGCGGTGCACGGAACTGTGGGTAACCCACTAGAAACATCAACTCTGATTGGTTAATCAAATGTCTGACGTCATAGGGTCAAAAGCTGCTTGTATGACCCCTGACACGACCTTCCACTACAACCAGCCAGATCTGCATGTTGTGAAGGCCATCGTAAGTATAAAGTAAAACGAAACGAAATACAGATCTGTATTTTAATGAGATTGTCAATTCTCTAACTGAAATTTTATGAGGGATTTTTAATCCCCTGTAAACTACATTAATGAAAGGCTTAAACAGGAATATCATTCATAAATGTTTCAATTCCGTTCAGTATTTACTAAAAAAGAAAGAGCGCCAGTTGTAACTTCGGCTGAAATCGTTTGCTATAGACTTTTGTTTAACTCGACTGAATAATACACGCCGGTAAATGATCTACCGTTGATATTTTAAATGTTTTTAAATCCAATGTTATATATTCAATTTGAGTACATTTTAGTATGGATTAAGTCATTCAAAATCATATATTTTACCTTACACTTTTCCTTACTTTGATAACACATTAATGATTGAAGTTATTATACAACGGAATTTATAATAACTTTTCAATTTAAGACCAATTCTTTCGTCTAGCAATGGATTATATAAAATTTAGATAAAGAGCTAGCCATTCTTGCTATAATAGTTCGAAAAATGAATAATTTGAAAATTTCATTCAAATTACTCTATTGCGAGCGAAGATGTTGTTCGAAATTAAATCTCGCTCCTCCATTTTTAAATAAAATCAAAATATGGCTGAACCGTTCTAATCTTTTTAATATCGGAGAAATTCGACGCTAAAGAGTGTTGATTATGGCCTGGATCAGTTAATCAATGTTTAATTAATAATTTAGAAAACATTTCAGGCCTAAAGAAAGACCTGCAAATAGGCAGATTTAGCACTTGCATCATGTATGTTTAAATAAAAAAAAGTTACCTGTTATCAATTTGTAGAACAAACATGGCGATTGCTTACGGCATACAAGATGGTGACTATTTTGAAGTTATTGTGCAAGGTCACGAGGTCAAGGGGTCACGTAGTCAAGGTCAGCACGTTCCTATACAAGCCCCATAGCTACAATTACAGTTAAAGGACAATATTGGTGTCAGTCATTATCACATATGTGATAGAACTAATTAAACACGTTCCAAATATAATTTTAACACAGAGATCATTGCTCCGATAGTTGAGTAATACAGGTTTCCTGAATCGGAAGTGACGAACGCCAAAGGAAAACACTTTTTATAATACAAGAATGACTGCGCATTCACTTTTAGTGCAAATGAACTCATTTGACCCCGAATATCTCGAAAACGCCCCAATCGCGGACTGATTACTACTCGGCATCGTATTCTACGCGAAATTTTACTTTAGAAAAGTTGGGTCTGGTTTTGTGCCCATTTGATGGACACCCCCACCCCCCGCGCTGAGTCTTCGGTCTAGAAGTTCCTCGGGAATTTCTGGTGTGGTTCCACTGTGTTAGTGATGCAGGACGTACTTGTTCAGATGTTACGCTAAACGAGGTGACGTGTACATTGGCGTGCACGTAAAATAACCCATGACAGTCTGAATTTGAAATCTGAGGAGGCAAAAATTTCCTCCCTCAAACAACACTGCATTAGGTTTACCCATCTTCATTATCCCAGTCGATTCAGAAAAGTAGGAAGTTAAACCCTATTTCATTTCATCTGCATTCACTGTAATCTGTCCTTCCCACTGATAAAAACTGGGCGGATCATCATAGCCAGCTCATCTTTTATAATCTGGAAGCGTGATATTTTTAGGCATGATTATTAATTAATAGACAGCGTAAAACACTATGTTTGCTTTTGTTATTTCTGTGCTTTGCTTAATTAGACTGATGGTAGTTAGATAAGTTTTAAATTGTTTCTTAATGTAACAGGAACAAAAAAAAAACACTGTCAGATAGATTTTTTTTAAAAAGTAGGAGACTAACAAGTCTCCAAATATAGATTGCTCTATTTATAGCCCATATTGTGTAAATTCATCTGCGAACAGAATAATAAAAAACTGAGTTGCAAATTAATCCCGGTTCAGATTCCACATGATTCGTTCAACATATAAATAAGCTATTTACTTGTCCTTGTGTACAAACATATATTTTTTCGAACAGGAAGCGCTACTCATCTTGTTGTTCTTCTTAGGGGTGAAGCTTGTCGAAAAAAACGACCGACATGGAACGTGACATGCTTGGTCCTTTGTCACTTGCTCATAGTTTGGCGGAATTCTAATATAGCGGAGATGTCGTCATACTCGGTTCCTGGTCCACAGTGCGCTCGTTTTTTTTGTTCCACCAATTCAAGAACGGTCAAGCATGTTTGTTCCTTGAACAACTTCCCATCGATTGATAGACTTCAATGTTTGATATGGCGTCACAATTCTAAGATGGCGACAATCACGCCATTCTCTGTTCCCGGTAGATATTATCGCCTTTGTTTTACTGAATGCTTGTAGTTTACTCTAGTATCTACTCTTGTAATAACTTAGAACAGAAACTTTAGAAGAAAAAAATCGCAATGTTTATCTTTACTTATGTCATACTCCATTGAAGTTAGTTACTGGATATGAAAGAAATTGCAGAGGTTGTTTCGAAAAGCTTTTATATTGTTGACTTTGTATAAGCTGCTTTAGTTCCTAAACCGTATACAAGAAACAGTGAACCGATCGACATTGTTTATAAAAATGATTATAGTTTGCTTTAAACCACATATGAGAGAGAAAGAGAGAGAGAGAGAGAGAGAGAGAAAGAGAGAGAGGGAGAGAGGGAGAGGGGGGCACCCAACACCCGCTCCCCATCCCCTGAAAAGTAAATGAAATGAAATGAAATGGGGTTTAACGTCCTACTCTTCTGCACCTAACCTGGGCTAATTGAAGACGGGCATACGCCATACAGTGTGCTATGAGGGAAATTTTGCCCGGGCAGCGGCGCTACGGCCTACTCTTATATCGAATTCCAACTGCCAAGGGATCTTTTACGTGCACGCCAATGTGTACACGGGACCTCGGTTTTTCGTCTCTTCCGAACGACTAGGCAACTGTCCTTGTCAGGCCTTCCGTTCTGCATCACTGACAAAGGGAAACCACGCCGGAAAATCGAGATGAACTTTCTCGGCCAATGCAGGGATCGAACACCCGACCTCCAGACTAGCGAGCCAGCGCCTTACCCACTTAGCCACGTGATCCCCCCCTGAAAAGTAATGTTACAGTTTATATTGAATGGATACAAATTGAGTATGAGATGGATATGAGTATTTTTGGTTCATTAGTTATAATGCTTTAAATTTAGGGGGGTTGGATGGCTAAATGGTTAGCGTGCGCGCGCTGTATCATAAAGTCTCTCATTGAGTCGACTGGCGTGGTTTCGAATCCCCGGTTGTACGTGGCAAGGAGTAGGGTCGCCTGTCCAACCTCGTGGGTTTTCTCCGGGTTCTCCGGTTTCCTCCCACTGCTAAAGACCCCTACGCGCAAGCGAATTATGTAAATAAAATTAAACCATATGTTAGTCCCGAAATGACCTAGTTTGTGTCGAGTGGACGTTAAACCCCATTTCTCTCTCTCTCTCTCTCGCTTTAAATTTATTAAATATGCACAATTATATCTCTGGTCACTTGGAGTTGAGTATGAGCATTTTTGGTTCATTTATTATGCACATCTGTTATATCTCTGGTCACTTTGTTTTTTATATAATATGTTTTGCAACAGGTAAACATTCTATTTTATAATTAAAAAATAAGAGTATGGCAAATATTATCTAATTGGAGAAAAGAAGAAATCGATATGACCACATATGGCAAATATTATCTAATTGGAGAAAAGAAGAAATCGATATGACCACAATTACTTTTTTTGTTCAGTCGACCCGGAGTTTAAAAAAAGCCTTGCAGGTATTTTAGTTGTTTTCAGGATTTAGAATTAAACTGTAAAGCAAACATTTCTAATTTAGATGTCGTATTTTATAGATTCCGCTCAAGTACCGTCAACTTATACCTGTGTAGAAGAAGAGAAGTATTGTTATGTATTGTACAGCATTGCAGAAAGCTGGCAGGGAGCACAGAGGGTCTGTGAAGCTGATGGGGGTTATTTGCTCCTTGTCAATTCAGATAAAAAGTATGAAACAGTAAAAAAGAAAGCCCAAGCCAATGGAGGTAAATTGATATATCCAAACCATTTGTTTTAAAATGTAAAAATTAAGTATTTAGGAGATTCGAAGGAATTCCTCTTTGTCGCTTTAAAGAAGCATCTCGCTACAGATGTTATTTAAATTACTATTTAAACATTAATTCACATGACAAGCCCATAATCCATTCTCAAGCACACCAGATATCTTAAATAGTGACAATTACATTCATATCGTCGTTAAAGGCTAATATGGACGCCACTTCCGGTGACAGCCGATTGACGGAGTGAAAATCGTGACAATTATTTAGGATATTTCTTGTCAAACATTCATAACTTCGACCTAAATAAAGTAATATTCATTTTTCGGTATCCATTTTTAAACTATACTATTCAAAGAAAGTAGGGGATATTTGATTTTTAAGTGTTATTAAAGTCACCTAATGAAACTGACGAAGAAACAAATGACAAAATGAAATGAAGTTCACATTCATCGATTTATTCCAAATGATCGTTAGACTAAGTAAGGCACAGACTGACCATTATAAGGGTAAAATGATACCCGGGGTCAAACAGCAAAGTTACCACAGCATCACAACCAAGTCAGTAACGGGTAAATCCTCCTCTGTTTGCCAAACAAGCATTGATCCGACGTGGCATACTCCTAATGAGACGTCTAAGGTCATTTTGGTCCAGATTGTCCCATTCCTGTTGCAACGCAGCAGCAAGTTCTTGGACATTGGCAGGACGTTGTTGACGTTGACGTAACCTCTGTCCAAGCATGTCCCAGACATGCTCGATGGGGGAGAGGTCGGGACTCAGTGCTGGCCAAGGTAATGTGGTGATGTTCTGTTGTTGGAGGTAACCTGTAACGATCCTGGCCCTGTGACATCTTGCGTTGTCATCCTGGAAGATGAAACGGCGGCCATGACGTCGTGCGAACGGCACAACATGGACTGCCAAGATGTTGTCCCGGTAGTACTGGCCTGTAACACGCCCTGCAACAACATGTAAAGCCGTTCTTCCAGCAACGGTGATGCCTCCCCACACCATAACAGAACCACCCCCAAATCGATCATGTCTGATGACGTTAACGTCTTGGAAGCGCTCGTTTCGACGACGCCACACCCTCCTACGTCTGTCCAAAAAATCAACAGTGAACCTTGACTCATCTGAAAACATCACATTGCTCCAGCGTCGATTATCCCAGTGTTGACTGAATGTGATGATCTCTCAAACAAGGGATCACGCGAGGACGTCGGGCGCGAAGGTGACCCCTATGCAGTCGATTCCGAATCGTCTGGCCACTCACTCTCACACCAGTGTCTGTTTGAAGACGAGCGCTGATCTGATTTGCTGTGATGACACGATTTCTCAAGGCCAAGGTACGGATAAATCGATCCTGGGCTTGAGTTGTCGCCCTTGGTCGACCTGAGCGTGGTCTGTCCTGTACAGATTGTGTATCACGGTATCTGGACCATAGCCTGCTTATGACAGACTGAGAAACATTCATCGTCCGCGCCACAACCGCCTGTGTTGTGCCGATCTGTAGCATGCCAAGGGCACGTAACCTTTCATTTTGGGTAAGCCGACGCATATCAAAATTTGTTTTCTGGTCACTAAAACAATTAAACTGATGTTTCCACCCTGGAATTCAATGCCACAATGACTGTAACATTCAAAGTCAGAGTCGTGCAAATCTTGGGTTGGACCCCCATGATGATCCCAAGCATCACCTGCATTCCATGCGGTAGCTATTGGTGCGTTTGGGCGTCACATGTAACTGGAAATGTATCTTCTGTTAGGTTCTATAGTGACTTTTTTCGTAGTCATTTGCATATTTTAGTATTATGCCCCCAAAATCAAATATCCCCTACTTTTTTTGAATAGTATATTATATCAAGAAGAGTCAGCTCTGTATCTATGTTTATGTGAACGCAAAGACTTAAATTGGTTTACGTTTATTAATAGACAGGGGATGGGAAACGTAAACACTATGGATTTTATTGTTCCTGTACCAAATCAAAATAGAGCACGAATAGAGTCCATACTAAAAGATTGAAGATTATTTCTTTAAAAAGGGAAACCTGAACAATGAATGAGACACGCCCAGAAAAGCATTTGCCTTGCAAAGGTGCGGTATCTGAAATAAATTGGTAGTCATCGAAAATCTTAAGCTTCCAAAGTAGGGTGACACACCATAAATAAATATGTCCAAATATCTCGACAATTACACCACAATATTTATATATACACCAAGCCTTAAATCAGTTTCGCACATTTATAGTCACAAAATAAACGGCCATGTTGTACTTAATAAACTATGACCATTTAACCATCCATAAATAATACACTGAAAGATGGTTACGAGTGTCGGCCATAAAATCCGGGCACTTGTGAGTAAAAAAATAGGTTACGTGCCCTTGTTTTGAAATTTGACTCGCTTAACCAGTCTACCGACCATTCTACGTCAGATTGATAGGTCGGGATAATAAAGACTACTTTTTTTTACGAAACATAACAGAAAGCTGGAAAAAGAAATTGAATTTAGATACAAAAACGTTAGGCAACTCAACAATTGTTTTAAGAACCTTGTAAAAGTAAAATGAAACTACTGCTAGTATCATGTTTTTGCCTAACCCGAGTGTTTCAGAGATATTATTTGTACAATCTGATTAAAATACAGATGTATATTTCGTTTCGTTTTTTTATACTTTCGATGGTCTACACTACATGAAGATCTGACCGGTTGTAGCGATAGGTCGCGTTAGATGTCACACATTTGAATAGCCAATCAGCATTGATGCTACTAGTGGATTACCCACAGTTCCGTGCAAAACACTCCTAAAGCTCGCCGTAACAGACCGTTTGATTGCCTAAGCCCTCATACCATTCAGAACACGTTAATGATAACAACTCTTCCAGATCCTAGTGTAGTAAAGACAAGTAAAACGAAATTTTGAACTATAAAAACGAAACGAAATATCCATAGTCGATTTTATTACATCTCTTTTCTACTAATTCAGATTTAATAAAACAAAGGTTTCTTTTTTTTTAAATTCAAGGTTCTACTTCTGATATGACGTATTATCATGTGGGAGCAACAGATGAACACATAGAAGATGTGTGGAACTGGTTAGATGGGGGTCCAGTTATTAGAAGCTATTTTATTCCAAATCGACCAGACAATTATGGCAATAATCAACATTGTTTGTCTTTCATGACAGGCAGTAGTAACGTTGGTTTGGATGATCGTCCATGCACATCTTTAAACGGCTTTTTCTGTGAAATATCTTTATCCTAGGTAAAGGTTAAGCCTACAATTTAAAAAATAGTAGGTTCGTCCAAACAATAGAAATATCAAATAAATACATTGGAAATGAAAACATTAAATATTATTGTTGGATTATAACTAAACATTATTAGCTATGTTATTGCGTAACATGTTTTTGCTAGCTAGCATTCAATATGAAGTTCAAACGGAATCTTTGATGTTATAATGAGAAATAATAAAGAGTATGTGTTGTTGGCAACCGTGGGACTATTTGCCAGTGGTGAGAGAGAAATGTGGTTTAACGTCCACTCGACACAAACTAGATCATTTCGGGACTAGCATATGATTTAATTTTATTTCAATAATTCGCTTGCGCGTAGGGGTCTTTAGCAGTGGAAGGAAACCGCAGGACCCGGAGAAAAACCACGAGGTTGGACATGCGACCCTAATCCTTGTCACGTACAACCGGAGATTCGAAACCACGCCAGTTGACTCAATGACAGGTCTTATAATACAGCACGCACGTGCTAACCATTCGGCCATCCCCCCCCCCACTGTGATGAGTCTACAAACCATAATTATAACTATTAGACGAAATTTTTGCAATATGATAATAGTAATTAATGGTTAATTACGGTCTGTAGACGTGTCATGTGAAATGTATGATAACATGATATCCCAGAAAACACTAACCGGAAGTGACCAATATTTTCCTGCTATGGTATTTATGTTATCATATGCTGTAGGTTTCATTGTAATTGGTTGATCATCAACGCCTGTAGAGGTCCGACATGAAGTGTGTGGTTAACTGATATACCGGAAATCACTAGCCAGATGTGGTTGATAATTGCGGTCTGCAGTCGTGCCACATGAACTGTGTGGTATCCTGAAACCTCCGTAACCGCTGACCGGAAGTTGCGGTAATTTTTCCTACTCCGAGACATAATGGATATTATTTTACTGTGTTAAATTCATTAAGGGAGTTAAATCGCTATATAATAATGTATTATGAATGTATATAAACCGATTTACATTCAATCGTTTCTGTTTTACTGTAATTCCTAAGCAGTCAATTGGTTATTCCAGTCTACATCGGTAGCATACTCCTGTGATGTATGTAAAGCTTCGTTCATTGAGTCGCTTAATTACAAATGGCATTCGAAAACATTCTGGCACGCGATTCGTTTGCCAATTTTTATATTTTTTTTATTTCGTCTTGAATATCGAATATCAAGATAACATCAATGTTGATTTAAATTGACCAATAAGTCGTGTTTGCAATGTCGAAGACTGTGGATGATATTGCCTCCTTTAAACTCATTTTCTAATTACGGTTTGTAGCCGTGCCACACGAAAGTATAACAAAGCAAACAAATACCTTTAATTGGATGTCACCTGTAAATGGTTGCTCATTGTCTATGCCCCGCCCCCTTTCGCAGGCCACTCATCTCATTTAACCTACAATATGTTGTAGATTTTACAAGTATCTGAATATTGAAACTTGAAGTAACATAAGATCTTCTTTTGCTTAGAATGTTAACAGTGGTTGGGAAATACCGTGGCCCAGTGAGTAAAAGAGTCCCACGTTCGATCCAAGGAGAAGCTGGAGATATTCCAGCGTGGTGCCTACTTTTCAGATGGGCAGGATGGGGCTCGCAGGGAACAGCGTCTATTCGTTCCGATAATACGAAAAACCAAGGTCACGTTTGTGCGTTCAAAAATGTAAAAGAACCCTCGGAATTCGACAAAAAGCGGGAACGCCGCTGTCTGACCAAAACTTGCTTCATAGCACACTTCACGGTGCGTATGCCCGTCATCACAAGCCAGGTTGTTACACAAAGGTAGAACGTTAAATGTCGTTTCATTTCGTTAAAACGTTGGCAAAGGGATATAAATCAGGCCCATTCTTGCCAAATATGAATCGAAATTCCTTGATTAACCTAAATATCTCAAATATTCCAAAATCATTGAGTGATAATGGTAGTGCTAACAAGACTATAAGAAAACGGCACAAATCTGGATGTTATACAAGAAAATTATAGGAAACCAATCGCCCTGTTTTGCTATGAGCTAAATGCCAAATAAAAATGGAAAAAGATTTAATGTGGTAATAAGACTTTCCAACAGCGGGATATTTACTCAAAAGATATTATCGAAAATTGTTAAAACAAAACATGTAGGCGTTTGCATTTGCATACGGATCAGATGATAAATGAAACCACTGCATCTAAATAAAGGGACATAGCTCTGGAAGAAAATTATAATCGAAAATTGGTAACCAGCGGTTGTCCGGCAAGATACGCCCACATTTTGCAAGAGATGGATAGAGAAAAAGCTAAAAAAAAAAATAAACAAAAACGCGATTTTTCGTACATTCAGGAGACATAATCCAAGAAGTTGTGGTCTGAATTTGGATAAAGATATAGTTTAAGTTTCATCAAAATCGGACAAAAATTGTGACCTCTAGAGGGTCCACAACGTTCGTATTTTGTCGGGCAGTTTCGGTCCGATTTTTAAGAAATTCAAACTCAGCCGTCACAAGGATGTAACGGTGATACATTTTAACGACATGACCTTTGAATGTGGGCTAGTTTTGCAAGATGGTAACAGTAACCACACGTATATTCTATTTTGGCCTAAATAAACGACGACCTATCCTACTCTTGGAATGAAATGAAACGGGGCTTAACGCCCTCCTGGGATAATGAAGGCGGAATATGCCATGCAGTGTGCTATGGGGGAATTTTGCCCCGACAGCGGCGCTATGGTCTACCCTTATTTTGAATTCCAACTGTCAATGGTTCTTTTACGTGCACACAAGACCTCCGTCCAGCGTCACTGAGAAGGGGGGGGGGCACGCTGGAAACTCGATAAACTTTCTCGGCCAACGTAGGGCTCGAACACGGGATCTCCGGGTGAACAAGCTAACGTCCTAGTGACTGAGCCACAGTGGCTCCCCATAATTCTTAAAGATGCATTACAGAAGAGCTAAATCTGTCCACAGCAATTTTTTTTTTACTTTAAATCTCACTACCTGAAAAATTACTTTATTATAGATTATTTAGGCCATTTCTTGTCAAGACTTCAAACATTCATAACTGTGCGTAGAATAAATTAATTTGACTAAAGTTTTCATTATATTAATTTCCCATTTTTGAACTAGTATATCCATAACGATCAACTCTTACATAATGCATCTTTAAAACAAAATTAAAACAAAATCACGTGAATATTTATAGTATTTATTTCTTAACATCTAAGATCATTTGTGGATTATGGCGAGCTTTCAAAACCATATAAATACATATCATGCTTGACGCCATGAGTATTATACCAAATACTAGTAATAAAATTGTAATTAGTATACGACTATTTATCAGGTACAATGCGCGTCTAGAATCATGCAGCTGGTTGGTCGACACTCCAATTAATTTCGTGGAATCTGCAAAATAAAAATGAAGATTAAAAGATAGCCACACCATGGTAGGTCAAATTTTAACACACCATGGCAGGTCAAATTCTAAACAGCGACAAAGCTGAATCTTGTTGAAACGAAGCCCGATGTTCTCGTTGCTTCAAACCAAATGTGAAAAAATCTCAGAACTCAGCCTTCTCAGCATTAAGAAATGGTTGAGGGACTGGGGCGGAGGATAATGAAAACTGATGTGTAGGCCAACCTCTCTATATTCAATGCTTCACATAAAAAAAATCAAAAGAATCCATAAATAACTGTAGCCCACAGAGTCCGTACGAGTTCGTAATTCTGCGATTGGCATGATAACACCAAGTCAATATTTCGAACAAAAACTATCGGATCTTGCCCGCATTCGTAACGTGTCATATTCCTCGAGTGCCCCCCAATAAAAAGCCAAGATGAAAGTTCTGGCCAACACTGGGATAGAATTCGTGACCCATTGATCAGCGAGATAGTACAACTCACTGGGCAACTGGATGCACTAATTTATGGGAAAAATACAAAAATAACGGCGTACCTGAGTCATGTATAGCCAAATACCCTTCAACTCTTATTACACCCTTGCTCTCTGGAGTAATTAACCCAAACTTATCAAACTGTACACCATCCATACTCCGTTTAGATCTTAGAGCGTCATTGGCTTTCCCACACGAGTTCTTATTTAAAAAGTAAAAAAATAAATAATAATTTAACGTCTACCCAACAAATATTAGTTTAGTAAATGACGTACATTGTGCATTCAATAAGGGGTCTTTCCAGCTGGAAATGAAAGACGGGAATACGTCATACATTGTACAATATGGGCAAATTGTACCCAGACAGTGGCGGTACGGTCTACTCTTATATCGAATTCCAACTGTCAAGGGATCTTTTACGTACACGCCAATATTACACGGGACATCGGTTTTTCGTCCAATCCGAACGACTAGACAGCTGTCCTTGCCAGGCCCTCCGTCCTGCACCACTGATAAGGGGGAACCAGCTGGAAAATCCCGATGAACTTCCTCGGTCAACACAGGCTAGCGAGTTGGCGTCTTACTGACTTAGCCACCGTGACACTTCTTTACCAGTTATGTTATAATCTAGTAATATAGTAAGTAATGCCAGTCCGTGATGGAAGCTATAATCTAGCAGTAAATAATGCCACTCCGTGATGGACGCCAATTTTAGAATCGTATAAATTACTTCAGATTACACAATTTTAACCGTTTCAATGGACATGATACGTCAATACCGTTACCAAAATGATAACATTCATTAACAGATATTTGAGATATTAAGACAAAGGCCCTTCTTTCAGTCAAAACCAAAAGGAAGTTAGTATAGCATTCGATATTTGTATGAAAGGCTTAAGGGCAAAGTCATATTGTAATATGCCTGGATAAAAAATATACCGTTTATAGGGTTTCAGTGCCAAACCCTTTGTGAGACATTTTTGCTTGACTTGCGAGAATAGTTTGAGAAAGTTCTGAGAGGAGCAATCTGATTAAAACAGATCCAATTTCGTTTCGTTTTTATAGTTCAAAATTTCGATTTTACTTGTCTTTACTACACTTGCATCTGGAAGCGTTGTTGTTTAACTGTGTTCTGCTTGAAATAAGGGGTTAGCCAATCAAATGGTCTGTCGAATCGAGCGGTTGACCTTTTTTGCGCGGAACTGTGGGTAGACATTAGCGGCAATAGAAATCAAAACAAAGCAAAAGTAGATAAAAAATACATGGCGGTCGCTAATTGGTTACTCGAATGACTGACGTAATCGGGTCAAATGTCGCTTGCTTGGTACCTGACGTCATAGAGCGTGAACTCCCACTATAACTTGTTTGATCTACAAGTAGTGTAGGCCATCGAAAGTATAAAAAACGAAACGAAATATAGATCTATATTTTAATTAGAATGTGAAAGGAGCTAAATCGCCGTTCTTTGGCACCTAGAAATGAGTACAAACGAGTCGCAACGCATATAATGTAATATTAATGTATATAAACTGATAATATGCATCCAATCGTTTGCTTTTACTGTAATATCTAATTAGTTATGTTCGGCGAATAGTCCGAATTAAATGGCAGTCTACATCCGTAGTATTCTCCTACATGAGATATCTTTAACCTCGTTCACCGAGTGGTTACATAAAACTGGCGCTCGAAAGCATTCCAACACACGAGTCGTGTGCCAGTTTAAACATTTTCATTTTGTCTAAAATATTGGATATCAAAAGCCCAACTTTCCACGGTCAGATCTCTGATGGTTTCAATTGACCAATACGTCGTTTTTGCAGTGTCGAATACTGGATGATATTGAGTTAAAGTCCCGGCTACTTTAAAGATCTAACCTGTATAGCCGTTCCAAGAACTGTCGACTGTTACATCGTTAACTCACCGTGTCACACTTGCCTACACAGGAAACAAAGGCGCATCTGAATCTCATACCCGAACCTCTCGCAAATTTAAAGGCTCGGAAATAGGGACTTTCACCATCAGTACCATTCAGTTTAAACCCCTCGTTGTTTTTCCACGGAAATCCCGTTCCACACCTGACAAAGAAACAAGGGAAAAAAATAAAAGGGGATTTAACGTCTTAATATTCCTACACCTAACAAAGAAATGAGACGTCATTTTCTGCATAGACTGGACTAATGAAGACTACCATACGACATGCAGTGTGCTATGGGACATTTTACCCGTACCTACTCTTACTCCGAATTCCAACAGTCAAGATTATTGTACGAGCGGGCAAATGTGTACACGGGGCCCCTGTTTTTCGTCGTATTTGAACAACTAGACAGCTGTTCATGCTCCTACACCAAGAAAGGGGACAAAACTGGAAAATTACGATCAACTTTCTCGGCCAACAATGGCAGCGAACCGAGACCACCCGCTAGTGAGGGAGCGTCTTACGCACTGAACCATCGCGGCTCCCCAGCAAACAAGAAAAGGGGGCATAGTGTCGTCAAAATATCCTAGGGTAATGATATTCACTTTACTAATATCGAGATTAGAACCCAAGATACTGATCCACTACACTGTGCCTGCCCGACCATACCCCCTCCCCCAAATACACAGATAGGAAATGGGTTTAATACAATATTTCCATCATTTTAGATTAACACGGTTGTCGCAAAATAGATAATTACCCATCGGCTAAAATTGTCATTTTAACTTTACCATCTAGAGATACAGCCATACATTCTAACGGAACGAATCCGGTTTCAAGTTTTGCTTCTGTAAAGTAATAAATATGGCGATCAATAACAAACATTGTTTGCCAGGAAAAGTAAGATCAACATCCTAGAATTATTCTTGTAAAATGCCTTTAAACTCAACTTTAGAACAAAGAGTTTTAAGAAATCTGTCACTTCATGTACATGCATTGATTAATATTACTATTGAACGCTCTACTATTAGTTTATACTGTAAATTGAAGAGGTCCGGTTTAATATTTTTATCTTCAAAAATGTATACTAAACAGCCAAAAAAAAAAACAAAAAAAACCTCAGTACGATTTCAAAAACAGAGGCACTTTAAATCAAACTGTGAACAATATGTTGAGACATTAGTGATTAATTCATCACAATTCCGAGACATTACAAGAAGGTTTAGAGTCTGTACACAGTCCATACATCAGTATCGGGCGTGTCCACTGCGAGTGTGTACATGGAGTGGACCAGACGATTGATGAACGCCATTGGCACCTGGACCCACTCAGAAAAGCCTGGTGCAATCCATCGGCTGTGTTTGGTCTCGGAATGACGTTAAGTCTCCTCTGAATTTCATACCAAAGATGTTCAATCGGGTTTAAGTCCGGACAAAGGGCTAACCAGTCCATAACGTTAAGACCGTTCTGCTGTCGAAAGTCCCGAGTAACTCTGGCGATGTGGGCACGTGCGTTGTCATGTTGGAAAACGTGGTTTCGATGACGTGAGAAATGTGGTATGAAGGGGGGGGGGGTCTGAGCTTGATCGATATAGCGCACTGCTTTGATGCCGCCTCCTCTCCCTGGACCAAGATTTTGGAACACCACAGGAGCCACTCTGGTTCAGGCCGATTCCTCCCCATGAGTCTCATTCCATGGCAAATTAGTCGGAATAACGCTGGCCACGTCGACGCCATATTCTGATACTGCCATCTGCAGTTGATACGCAATACCGACTTATCTGTGAACAGAACAGTTCTGGTGTTGGGCCAACTGTAGACGTTATGTCGATGGCGAGGGGTGAGGATCGGTCTACGGTAAGGTCCACGGCAATGGATGTTCTCTTGCGAGACGCAGACGCACTGTATCGGTGCTGATGGGTCTTCCGTGTGTTCCCACCGTCTGATGTGCTGTCTCAGATGCCTGTGTGAAGGGATTCTGCAAGTGCTGTCGCACAACATGGCGGTCTTGACGCCTTGTGGTAACCCATGGTCTACCAGTTCGGGGGGGGGGGCGATCATCCGAAAGCGTTGCTAAAGCCTGTAATTGGGCCGAACATTGACCTGAAAGTGATTGGCAACGGGTTGAGCCGTGTGGCCAACGCCGAGTCTTCCAAGCGCCTGGTTCCTCCGAGCTGTCGTGTGAATGATCCAACCAGGTATGCGGGGTGCATTTTATAGGGCTGGTCCCGGTGAACAGCACGTGCAGCATGAGTTACATGAAAATCATGGAGAACGCGTTACCATCTCAGAAGTCAGGTTCCGTTTTTGAGAACCTTTCCTGGGTTCAATTCTGTGTTTGGGAAGGAGCCTTATTGCTCAGGTAAAGTTTTGTTCAATGCGTCTATTCAGAGTAACATACCAACCTGACGTTTCCTATGCTGCTTTTTATATTAAACATAAATTATGCAAGAGTTAAATCTGCCTATTGCAGGTCTTTAGGTCTTATGTTATATAAACTATTAGACATTTAACAAAAGACCATAATCGACTCGATGGCATCGGATACTCGAGATTTCAACTAGATTAAAACGGTTGGCCATTTACAAAAATTTAATTCAAAAATGGGAAAGCGAGGCTAAGTCCCGATTATACCACTGTGCACACATCTTGTCAAAACTACAATGATAACTTGGCTGAAAATGAAGTAATTTGAATGAAATTTTCAATATTTTTTTTATCTTATCATCTTTTTTTGAATTATTATAGCAAGAATGGCCAACTCTTTATTAATCAAGACATTTATTCACACAAGCCCAAAATCAACTCTAGATCAGCGGTGGACGTGCATTTAATAATTCAATCTGAAGATGGATAATTGAGACGGTTTTATTATCGTAGCAACGAAAGCAATGAAAATCGAGAATACGCTAATCTTCAAACAATCTTACCTTTTCTCAGAAAAAGAAAATTTGACTGAAATTTCAATATATATTTGTTCATTATCTATTATCAAACAATTATAGCGAGTACTTTCAGCTCTAAATCTTGCACTGAACCGTAACGATGCGTTTTGTACAGTTTTTAAATAGGTTAGGTCTAAATATTAAAGCCACCTGCAGATTACGTCATGGTCACCAGATGTAAACAGGGCTAGCGCTAACCCTGAACATAGCCCTAACCAACAATCTGGTCACAATTACGTGCCCTAACCCCGTTTACATCTCGTGGCCTTAATATTTACACCTCACCTTATAAAAAAGATAATGGCGGACTTCAGATGTTTGATATAGGTCAAGGGAGCAAGTGGAAAAGACAGACCGATATGCTGTTAACATTAAGGATTTTCAATAAGGACTGTAAAGAGAACCCTTTCTTGGCGAAGTAATTGTAAAAAAAAAAACATACTTACGCTCCATATGTGCCCAGATTTTAACAACATGATTTTCTGGTATAGAACCTTTAATAATTCTCGACCGAACATCTATCATTTTAACAGTGAAGTTTGACGACGACTTAATACCCTTATTAAATAACATTGTATCCATAGGCTTAAACCTGAAACCAAAAAAGCATCATAATGGGCCAATTTGCACCTTAAGTCATATTTATCCGAAATCCGAATTTCTTATTTCAAAATTGGTAGGGATATACATGGAAAGGGAACATTATTCGACGTACTTCGGCATATTGTCGTCAAGATGTCCAGTAAATGAAATTTCGCGAAAAATAGAACATTGTTTTAATTATCATTTTGATGATTGGAGAATAAGAGAATGCGATGGAATACTAGATACAATATCTTGTGTCATGTTATTGACTGAAGTCAAGGGCGATATCAGCTACACAGGCAATTTTCAACTTCGGTAATTCTTCTGAAATGAACCAGCATATTCCGATAATTCCTCAGCAACGTACCCGGATATTCCCCCCAAAAGAACTAATTGTATTACGATATAAGAAAAGTTGAGAAAAATAGAACAGCCAGTGGTAACTAGTAACATACTACTGATTCTGCTACATAGATTACAAATAGAAAAGAGCACCACTTGGCGCAATATGGCCACATGACCGAGCAGTAATGCTTAGGCCTACTTTTTAAATGCATTTTGTGTTACAATAAAGATATTACACAAATATTGGTTAAGGCAGTTTTCGACTACATGCAACCGAGCAGTAATGCTTAGGCCTACTTCTTAAATGCATTTTGTTTAGTAATATTGATTAATGCAGTTTTCAACTACAAGCGAAGTTGTTTTTTGTCATTTGTATATGTTGTTTATATCTGACCAGAAGTACATACACATCCCCACACTGATCAGAAGTGAATATTCGCTAGGCCGCTACAATCACCGATATGGACGACATCAATGAGCCCCAAATATTAACTTTTCCTCCGACAAATTAAATTCTAAAACATTTTTTTTTATATATTAGAAAAAACAATAAAGACGTTTGATGTATTTGTAGGTAAAAATGATTTCCTATTTAGTGAAAATGGGTGTTAAAATAAGTAAAAAAAACATTCTGCCCGAACCAGTAACGTCTTATGTAAACAGTACACGCGCCATTGAGCAAATGATTAACGCCGCGTGATGTGATGTCACGTGTTAAAGACGGTCATCTTTTACAGAGCTATTTAAAATACTTTCCTATTCCTCGGTGAAACAGATTGATACAACCCATCTATGAATACACAATTTGCAAGAACTTTTAACATGTCATAATAAGAAAAATGAATGTAAACACGGTATTAATCGACAAATGAAGATCGCTTACTTGCAGCTTTAAAGCTTAAGTCGAATTGCGATTTGTAATCCATGTGGCGTAGAAAGTAGTATAAGATGACAAAATCTCCAAATATTATATTTGGAATCCCTTCAATAAATTATATCGCATTAAAACACGTGGACGTTATCGATGTCAACACGATACAATTTTATGGATACAGAATTACTGAGTTTAATACTAAGCGACGTTTCGACGAGGATACTCTCGTCTTTATCAAGCAAATGTTACAGGTATGTAAATACTATGTTCAATTACTAAACGCCAATCAAAGATATACGTCATCAATATGGAGATGTGACTATCAAACAAATGACCAGATTGTGAAATCAGATTGAATGGATAATTGTATTAAGACTTATTTATGTTGCATATTCTGTATATATTTACCTACTATTCACATACCTGTATCATTTGCTTGATAACGACTAGAATATCTTCGTCGAAACGTCGCTTAATATTAAACGGAGTCATTGTGTATCCATAAAATTGTACCTTGTGTTGATATGTTCAATTACTCAATGTCAATCAAAGTTATCGATGTCCTTTCAGATAATACTCACGGTTGTAGGAGGTCGAGATTAGTTGTAACGTTATCCTTATAGGCCATGTAGGCACACTCAACGAGAAAACTTTCATCTTGGTCACTTTCAAACAGTTCATGCATCTTCCGTGTTTCTATGCGTATACAGAAAGCATCCCGCAATGGCGATGTTCTCTATAAAACGAATCTAATATAAATACATCTTATGCTAAACAATAAGAATAGTGCATGCTATTTAAAACATGGGTCTGTAGTTACGGTCCTTAATAATCACCGACGAGAAACACCAAGAGCGCTTTTTTTTCTTTTTTTTTTGGTCAATAACGTCTAAAATATTGCAAAAAAGTGACCGACAAGAACAAATATGACAGATCTATTAACATAACCAAAATTCATATCATTTAAAAAAAATACATTGAAAAAGTTAAAGATGACCGAAATTTGCATAAGAAACGTTCCTAGAATACAATAATCCTCGTTAACCCAGTGTTATCAACTTTTCTAGCCGGTTGCAAGAATGTGGGGGTGGGGGATTTCCAAACGGAGTATTCATCTATCCGGAATTATGTGTTAGTGTTCGGGTTATCTACACTTAATCCTAACCCGTGTGGGGCTTCACTGCCTGTGGGAACTTCCAGTCTCAACTATTACACTCCAGTCTGGTCTTCACAATTTTATAAGAGATGGGCTGGGGTCCTCGACATTTTTTAAAATGTTCCAAATTCACATTAAAAACGGCGTCAATTCATAGCTAAAAAGAGCATCCGAAAATAAAGAGATTTAGAGCCATATTTCATTGGGCTGCAGGGTATATACTCTTCAAAAAAATGATGCATACAAATATACTCTTCAAAAAAAGTACGGGATATTGAAATGCAAATACCTATGCAGGTTGTGAAATGATAAATAGTCAAGGACACGTGACATGCTTTGAAAATATGTTCACAGATGAAGAACTTATCGCCCCAACAGAATCACTGAGCTGCATGTGCGACAAGCAATAGCGTCATACACGTGGGAGGGGTTCATTGTCAAATTTGACACTTCAAGGAAGAGTTGATGAAAACTGCCGCTTGATGGTTTATCCTATCCATGTTTGCTTCCCTATCGGTTCTTGCATAATATTTACTGTTTAGGGTATCTTTGCTTTAGTGTGTTATGTTTAATTTGATCGGGAGACGTGTTCGTCGACGTCAACGGACAGCACTGCAAGAATTGGCCGTGGCACTGCAAAAGGAGTGGGTCAGATTGTCCCAAATCGTGATTGGACGGTTGATTAGGAACATGCAAAGACGAATTGATGAATCTGATTGGTGGAACAATTACTCATTAAGACAAAAATCAAAAACGTCCATTTTCACTTTTCGCAGTGTATCTCTTTGCGAGTGAAATGGAACCGTCAAATAAGCCGACCTCTAATAACAACAGTGCATTTCCGCAGTTTTGTATTGTTTCTGAATATCCCCTACTTTTTTTGAAGAGTATATATACACATTTATTCAAAATAGACTGGTGCCTTGAAATGTGTACATATACCCACCACAAAGTAACAGTGTTCTGTACTCGGTTTATAGTAAACAGCCAGTGAAAAGGTTGCGGTGGAGACATCTTGTTCGTATGGCCAGATTTTGCCTGTAGGGTCATAGCTAAAGACAGCTTTAGCATCACCGGTATAGGTCAGTATCGCCGGCTTATTTGTCTTGTAATCACCACATGTAACGTTTACTGTAACATTTTTAAAAACATCTATTTAAACATTTTTAATAAAGTGTTTTAATACTAAACTAAATTACTAAAAAAATTAACGAGCGGCTGCAGGCAGGATACGCCCATAATTTTTTTTAAGAGATGGATAGAGAACAAGCTAAACAATAAGCGATTTTTCTTAACATCAACACCATAATCCAGGAAGGTACGATCAGATGTGCGAATATCGACAGGAACCAAGTTCTTTGGGTTATAAACATGCATTTCAAGTTTCATTAAAATCTGATCAAAATTGTGACCTCTAGAGGGTCCACAACCTTGATATACCAGATGTTTACACTACTTACGTAGATGGGCGGCCATTTTGTCTGGCAGTTTTGGTCCGATTTTCACGAAACTCGAACTCAACCGTCATTAAGGTGTAACGGTGACATATTCAAAACGTTTTTTTTTAAATCCGAATAAAATTGTGACCTCCATAGGGTCCACACGCTAAAAAAAAAAAACCCGATTTTTCGTACAATCAGGGGCAATAATTCAGGAAGTTAGTCCGATATGCGCGAATACCGAAAGGAGCCAAGATCTTTGGGTTATAAACTTACATTTCAAATTTCAACAAAATCAGGGCCCTAATTCAGGAAATTACAGTCTAATTTGTGTGAATATCGAAAGGAACCAAGATCTTTGCGTTATAAACATGCATTTCAAGTGTCATCAAAATCAGATGAAAATTGTGACCTCTAGAATGTCCACAACCTTAAAAAAAAGTGACTTTGTACAATCAGGGGCCATAATCCATGAAGTTACGGTCTGATACATACCAATATCGAAAGGAACCGAGATCGCAGGGAGATAAACCTATATTTCAAGTTTCGTTGAAATCGGATAAAAATTATAACCTGTAGAGTGTGCACAAACAATTGTGGACGGACGGACGTCCAGACGGACAGGGGGGACGACAATATACGTCCACATGAAAATGTGAGCGTAGAAAAACCACTTCTCGTCATTGGCCTCTTTTTTTGGCAATATTGTGAACAATAATCTTCCGGCGTGGATTTAATTGCATTGAAATAGGAGGTATACCAACAAATATAGGTGGCTCTCGCTTGTTTTACCATATCCCGTTTATATCTTTGTAAATAGTTAAAGGACAATATTGGTGCCAGTCATTATCACATATGACCGAACTGGTTAAACACGTTCCAAATATACTTTTAACAAAGATCATTGCTACGATAGCAGTGTTATTAAGACTTCAAGAAAGGGATACACGGGCGAACTTCTGCTCACTAATTCCTTCGAAGACCAAAAGTTGATATATGAGACAATATCTGACAATAATTCAAAAAAATAATTGACCGTCACTTGATAAGAGAAAAATAGAAAAAGTACGCGCATTACCATGTTTTTATTGATTATAGAAATTCGCCCGTGTATCTGTTATCACTCGTCACTTCAGTCAGTTACATAGAAGGATAACTCGTGTTTTCCTTTGGCGTTCGTCACTTCCCTTTCTTGAAGTCTTAGTAACACAGCTATCGTAGCAATGATCTGTGTTAAAATTATATTTGGAACGTGTTTAACCAGTTCTATCACATATGTAGTTATGACTGGCACCAATATTTTCCTTTAACAAAATTGGACTATAGATTCAAATCTCACAATGACCAGAGAGACTTTACAGCGGCATTGTCACTTTCACGAATACACGTAAAATAAATTTAATATTATAGACATAATATATTCAAAATATATTCAAAAGTTCACTTACCTTTGGATGATACCGCTTGGATACCTGAAGTAGTTACCTGTAGCAGATATATAGCATATTCAATTTCTATTTTACAACTTGATCAGCATCCGAAACATTGCAATACAGAAACATTTTTGGTTAATAACAAAATCGTCATATCAAACATCTGTTTGGACAATTTCTGCTCTTGGTTTATTTCTTGGGGTTGTAACCCTCACAAATTGTGTGGGGCATGGCCGTTACATGGATAAAAATTGGCAACACAGTCGGCTAAATCTAATTGTTATGTCCAGCTCAATTTTTGTCAAGGTAGTCGAGAAGTAAATAGGGTTAGGGCACGTGATTGTTGGCGAGATTGTAGGTTAGGTTTAAGAATTTGGGGCGAGGGGCACGGGCGAGGGTTAGGTTTAAGAATTTGGGACTAGGTCCGGGGTTAGGGTTGGGATTACCGCTAGCCCCGTTTACATCCCCTGGCCTTTAACGAAAAATTGAGTTGGCCTTATCATTTAGCACTGGAATATTAAACACGATGTAATCCAAATGATGTCCGATTATATTGCATACAAAAAGATGAAAATGGACGATATATATTAGTCTTTAGTGCTTTAGCAAAGATTGTTTTCAAAATTTGAAGATTTGTTGATAATATTCAGACATCTCTGTAAGAGATTTGCGTATCTGGATGCTTCTGATAAATGGTAAAATTGTACATACTTACAAACAGTATTACCAGAATAACTATTATCATATGCATTATGCTGAAAAACAAAATAACTCCATATATTACATTTATCCATAGTTTCGGGAAAATGTACGGGAACGATACGGATTGCACAAAGGCCATTTCATATAGGTATAATTCAGATTTTGATAAACTGACATTTATTTATGTCCGATGTCTTCCCTTACAAACAACTTGGCTGTTCGAAAGCTAATGGTGAAATTCCAACTGTCAATGGTTATCGTGTTCGCCAATGTGTACACTGGACCTCGGTGTTTCGTCCCATCCGAACGACTATACGTTATCACTTGAGAGTCCCTCCGTCCTGCCCAACTGACAAGGGGCGATCATGCTTGAACTTTCTCGACCAACGCCGGGATCGAAAACGGGACCTAGTCAGCAATCCAACTTCTCACTCACCGAGCCACCGCGGCTCCCAACTAGAAAACAATGTCAAATTTGTATGATTTTATAATCCATGTAGTTGTAGGAACGGGGTCAAATGGCTGATTAGTTTGGTTTTTTTAAGGGCAAGGTAAAGTGACAAAAATTGTCACATCTGAAATCATTCACAACATATGTAGTGCCTATATTTTGTTATCTTAATGTGCCGAAGACGATACTGAATAAAAAATGGATGAAAATCATAATGACTTTGGAATACGTAACTTTGGAAAATATGAAGCAAATATACCATTCAGCACTGCAGCTACATGGTAAAAAAAATACATGGTAAACCACAAAGTCTCACACAGATGCATGAATATATACACTACAACCATCAAGACTTCAAATTTTGTAAACTGTTTTAGCTCAAAAGTCCACACAATCAACTTTTATTTTTTTAAAGACCCCCCCCCCCCACACCCAAAAGGGACTATTTTCAGACTTTTTGTATGGAGTACCATCATAAACATCCATCTGGATGACATTTCTGGTCTATATGGAAAATACTGCATCAAAATTTCCTTCAAACTACCTTTTGTTTTGAGCTATTTTAATAGGCCTAAGGAATACACATTGCTAACATTTTTACGACTTCTTTTAATTCATCCTTCGAAACTTTTGTCTGGAATCATAAAGATACACTGACAATTAAACATTGGACATATGTATTTACTAAGTTTTACATTAAAATATTTTGTAAAACATTTTATTCAATATTCATTCACTCACTGTTTAATATTTGTTAAATTGTACAGTAATAGCCCGTTCACAACTGAATGGAAATGCCCAGCTAAATGTTTGAAACATGTGTTGCAAATGGTACTCTACAGAAAATAATTTGCTATACAAAAATTATATTTAGGTTACAAATTCTATACCAAACCCTCAAAATGCTTATTATTCAAACATAAATGAATAGAAATCTATTCAAAATTTAGAACAAGCCTTTTTGTTACATTTACCAACACTTGACAACGGCAGCTTAGATGTTGACAGTTTTGTTTTCATCAATTTATAGAACGCTCCATATGAATAATTTTGACATTAAAGATGCGACAGTTCTTGCAAATGATGGTCAATAGTCTATAATATTACGACTTAACGCCGGATTTATCAATAATTGTGATAGTATAAGTCAAAAAGTATTTACTGCATCTTTATTTACCTTTCTGTGTCGAATTGCCACTCGACGGAAGTACTGATTACGACAATAAGTTTGTGAATAATTATTTTTTAATATTATCAAATCACGTAGACACCTCATTTGTATTTAGATATGAGTTAATCTTATTCCGCAGTTGTTTAAATTCAAAATATACAAATTTGTACATGTAATTAGAATCAACACTTTGCTAATTGATATTAGCAGAAGGTCAAGGACGTTAGACGTTCGGACGCGGAGGTAGAATCGTTCACAATGTTTACGTTTATAAAACGGTCAAGTGTTTTATTAAAGAAGGGAATAATTATTGTCTATGGTGGTGTAAATGAACTTTTAAATATCGATATAATTTGTCGGAAAACGCGGTCAGTTCAACGAGTATTCGCATCGCATGAAGGGTCATTTTAAATATTGAAAAATAAATGGAGGACCCAACCAGCGTGGTAGCAAGGACGCGGAAATCTCATACATGGAAACAGTACATCAACTCGAAAATCTAAGACTCGACTATTGTATTACATTGATCAGAGTATCAATAGAGAGACAATAGCTGTCCCCAATTTTATGTGTTGTCTGTAGGTGTAGTGGCTAAGTGGGCAAGACGCTGGCTCACTAGCCTGGAGGTCGGGGGTTCGATCCCTTCATTGGCCGAGAAAGTTCATCCAGATTTTCCGGCGTGGTTTCCCCTTGTCAGTGATGCATGACGGAGGGCCTGACAAGGACAGCTGTCTAGTCGTTCGGATGGGACGAAAAACCGAGGCCCCGTGTACATATTGGCGTGCACGTAAAAGATCCCTTGGCAGTTGGAATTCGATATAAGAGTAGGCCGTAGCGCCGCTGCCCGGGCAAAATTTCCCTCATAGCACACTGTATGGTGTATGCCCGTCTTCATTATCCCAGTTTAGGAGCAGAACAGTAGGACGTTAAACACCATTTCATTTCATTAGGTGTAACCGCCACTGGGCAAGCAAGTGATGATTTGAAATTTTCGTTTACATGTGTACGATTTAGAGGAGCATTGACAGTGAAATAGTGTATTTAGAGTATCGTAGTTCATTTTGGTCTTTTGTATCCAAGGACCACTATTCTGTTTTGGAAAATAATATGTTTAGCCGTGTTGGTGTTGAGACTAGTTTGCAACAAGATGGTGTCAATTTACCTTGCCCTTAAAAGAAGACTATGGCTGTAGTATAGCTAGCCGAGATTGTGGACACGTAAAGTGTTAAAAACGTGTCTGGCAATCAGATGAACATTCCTATCAGATTTGAGTTGATACCCAAATTCTTTAATGCCTACCATATACAACAAATAAAGTTTCTCCTCTAACGCCTTGTTCCCCTTTGTGGTAAAATCACGATTTTATACGCATTTATCACGTGCGTGAACATGAGTTTGGGCAACACAAACGATTATCTTGGTAGAATTGAAGATTTATTTAAATTCAGCCAAAGCATTCATATCACATTTAAACAAAAATATCCAGATAACAACAATATGTTGAATTCTTCACCTTAATGATTTAGTTGTTCTTCGTAAATAAAAAAAAAATGCGAATTCTTTTTCAGGACCTTTGTTCTTCCTAGTCGCCCAAACGCTTATGACGTATTACGGAAAGCAAACCACCGCGTGTATTCACACGGCTTAGAAGAAGGCATCAGTGCTTTGAACAACAAGAAGTTAATTTAAGCAGGATGTCGAAAGGTTGTGGTACGTATTTTGTTGCTGGAACAGTGTCTTATTAAATTTGTTTATTTTAGAGAAGGGTATGGCTTGGTGTGTATAATTTGCAATTGTGGCATGACACTAGAGCATGTCCCATACTCAAAATAACTGTATTGCACATGTAAGAAAGATGGGTTACCAATCGGGTTTAGGTCATGGTAAAGGGACAACATCTTGTTACACATTATCTACCAGAATGAACATCTTGCTTCCAAGTACAAAATAGTGGTCCTAGTATGCGGAAGTCCAAAATAGACCTATTACTCAAAATACTCAAATTTCACTGCCCATTCCCCCGAAATCGTACACCGCGTGTTATCGGATAAACATTTTTTTTTAATTTCATCACTTTCTTACTACATAGCTGTTAATATCTACAAATAAATACGCTAAAAGTTGGGACAGCTACATGTATTATCAATGGATACTCTGATCTGGGGGTAATGGTGGCCAAGTGGGTAAGACGCTGGCTCGCTAGCCTGAAGGTATGGTGTTCGTTTCATGCATTGATCACTGATGCAGGACGGGGGGTCTGACAAGGACAGCTGTCTAGTCGTTCGCAGGAGACGAAAAACCGAGGTCCCGTGTACACATTGGCGTGCACGTAAAAGACCCCTTGACAGTTGGAATTTGATATAAGAGTAGGCCGTAGTGCCGCTGTCCGATCAAAATTTCCCTCATTGCACACTGTATGGCGTATTCCCGTCTTCATTAGCCCAGTTCTGAGTAGCTACGAGAACGTAGCTAAAAACGTTGAGATATACTGATGTGTTTGTTTTTAGCTAGGATTGGGTGCCTTTAGTTCCAAGTGGTAAGGCTGGGAATCGATATTAAATTTCAATATCGATTATCGGCAAGAATTTGTCAGCGATTATCGATAATAATCGATTATCATTCTTCCGGAAAAACCGAACTTTACCGACCTGTTATTTGTGTTGATCGAGTTACAGTAGTGTTATTATCCTAGTCTAATACTGTGCCGATGTACGTAAAAAAATCAATTAATGTAAAATAATTAGTTGCTAAATGTAGGATTAACTTTATTATTATTCTAAGTTTTGTTCTTGATTCATTTGAACCTTTTTTTTATTCCAATATCTCCGATAAATACAAAGACAATACATGGTTTCTCTTTGCAAGTTACTGGCGATCACACAGTGTTACTAATAATAGAATAAAATATAATAGAAGGCGTCTATTGATTGGACAATAAAAAAATAATTACCGGCTTTCAAAGTAGAAATTTTTATGATTGGTTAATTTTGACGAAAACCAAAGTAGAATTCTTCCAAGAAATTACGAGAGAAAAAGATATTTTCCCGGGAAGTCAAAAACGTGTTTTGTATGGGCTGTATCTGACATGATTTAGTAATAAAAGCTGAGTTGATCATTAATAATACAATTAGTTTTATCGTGAAAGCAGACAATTTCTCTACAAATCAATCAAGAGCAAAGAAGGGAGATAATTCTAATTTTACTATTTCACGTGCGATCGTCATTGTTCACAAAGTGCGTGGCCTATTTTAGTTTCAACTGGTAATAACAACAAAAACAACGAAAATATTAAAATAATGTATTTAATCTTAAAGTTTAGTTTTTTTACAGTAATATATATTTAAAATGTGCCAGTTTGTAAGCAGAGGGGGGAAATAGTTGTGTTGACGTTGCGTATTCGTTCATTCGTCTGCATGCCAGACTACGGCAAGTTCAGTCATGTGAAAGTGACCGTAACTTGCCGTCAGAAGGTAAATATACCGATAATCGATATTTGAATTTCAATATCGATTACCGTATCGCTAAATAACTTCTACCGATTATCGATTATATCGATATTTTTGCACAGCCTTACCAAGTGGCAAACTCAGTTTCGTTATTAATGCAGGTAACATCTTAAAGCTAAGATAAATTTATACTATTATGGCCAATTAAACTTAGTGGCACAACTATCGCCTAACTCCACATATTCGCGTTTAAATTAACGAAGCGTTGTTTTTATCCGACATACACCGTCATACACTAACGTTTAAAAATGGCCTTCTTAGTAACGGCTTAACACCTCGATTTTAAATACGATGATTTATACCCGTTTCAGGTAGGATTATATGTTTAATTGTAGTTGGGTGTGTCACAAATATTATAAATAACAATAATCAATCGTTGTTTTGATGAAATATATTGTCAATTTTGCTTACTGATGCCCGAGGCGATGCGATTCGCGTTCGGATTTGCTACGTGGAACTATATAGGACCATCCCTTATCTCGAAACACGGAGGGTTTAGAGATGAGGTTTGTTATCTAAGTTCGGAGCAGAACAGTAATATGTTAAACCCCAATTCATTCCATTTTGATACTCTGATCTATGTAGTATAGTACTGACAATAGTCGAGTGTTAGATTTTCGATTTGCCTTTTTTTTCTCGTGTGCTTCGGCTACGCCATTTCATCATGCTAGAAAACTTCATCTACTGAACATTCATATCTTCAGACGAGTGATTAGAATTGAAGTTATGCAAATGTGATTGTGTCTTCAAGGAGATTTCAATGCCAGCACATTTTAATTCAAATGTTGTTGATGATACTCCATACAATAAGTTTAAAACTTGTAGTGCCTTGAGCAAACGGCCGATATGGACTTAATGTGCTAAAGCAAAGAGACCTGTTGATAAGTATATTAAGGAAATTACACAAGCGTCTGAAAATGTTGTTGTTGGTATTATTTTCTGCTCACTGTTTTTGCAAAACTATTTGTTTTTCTTCAGGTCTTCAGAAACAAGCAGCAGTTGTAATACTGATTACATTGGTATGTGTCGACATTTTATTGTCAAATTACGATTGTTTAATCGCTTTCACAAACAATCGTTTACCTTGTGTTTGATAACAAGAGAATACTTGTTGAAACGCTGCACTATTAAAGTTTCAAGTGATTGTTATCCATAAATATGTGTTTGTGTTATTTCAAAATTAAAAGGAGATTAACTAAAGCCATACATACATATAACTATATGAACCAGGAACCGAGCATGACGTCATTGCTGCCATCTTTGAAATGTGATTGTCATAACCAAAATTCGGGTCCACGCGCAATTGTCCAAGGAATAAGCTTGCCAAATTTATCATCCAACGCACTTTATCGGCGGAGCCTTCTGTCTTTGAAGAATGTCCATACCCACAGAAATACAACAAGGCAGAATTTGTTCTTGGTCCCAAATTATTTTGAGGGCTTACGCTATTGCGTCACGCGTTTGTTATACAGAATGGGGAAATCAACCTGAAGTAAGTTGTTGGTTTGGCCTGTAGCCTACACTAAAAGCGTACTAGTTAGACACAAATACATTGATATATCGGTGATTGGGTTAGCCAGTAGCCGACACGAAACGCGTACACGTTGAATACAAATACATGGATATATCTGGATAAGCTTAGATTTATTAAATGGAAAGCTAGGATGTGTATGATTGGTATGGTGCCAATTATATAAATAAAAAAAAACTTGTTCATTTTGATCATTATTAAATACATACGATGTATGTCGCCTTTGTTTAATATATACTCAGCCAAATTAAAAACTTGACACTCGGGATTTTTGGAACTAGATTTTTAATATTTGGTTTAAGGCAACTATTTTAGTGTTATGTTGTGCACAGACGACCTTGACATCAACAGAAAGCAAGAATGCGTCTCGCCGAAAGTCCTTGACATTGATAACGTTCGTGATGTCACAGTACCCCCCAAAATGAAATTCAGACTTGGAGAACAATCGGAATAAAGTGTTTAGTAACGGTTGTGGCCTCCTCTAGCGTCACGTACTGCCACACGTCTTCTCATGGATCTCAGAACATTAGTAAACACTACCCGAGGAAGACGTCGCCACTGCTCAGCAAGAGCATGTTGAAGGTCCTGCAACGTCAGTGGTGTATTCACTTGCTGACGAACACGTCGACCCAGTTCGTCCCAGATGTGTTCAATAGGATTAAGGTCGGGGCTAAGCGACGGCCAATCCAGGACTTGGACACGGGCTCGAAGACCAGCAACCTGCAAGCGATTTCGAACAGTTTGTTCAGTTACACTTCCACCAAACATCTCTCTACTTGTGGAGGTTGCAGTGACAAATCTGTTTCTAAGATGACGTAATCGTATTGCTTGATCTTCCTGGAGTGACGTCACACGTGGCGCTCCCGCCCTTGGGCGGTCGGCAATAGTTCCAGTTTGAAGCACTCTCATTCTAAGATTAATTATTGTCTGGCGTGAACAATTAAAGGCTCTTGCAACAGTGACCACAGACTGACCAGCATACAGCCTACCTATAGCACGTAGACGTTCTACATTTGAAAGGCGCGGCATTTTCTAACAAAGATGAAAATAACCATTTTAATTTGTTTTTCCAGTTCAAGTTACGTGTGCGTGTTCAGTTTAAGCAAACTTGCATCGATTGACCTCACGAGTTTGTGTTTGCACGTGTTTTTCATGTTTTTCATCTTTATATGCTCAAAAGTCACGTGATCCACGTGACTTTACAATTTCTTACAACTTACTATCGTTTGAAACACTTTAAAATTTATTTGACTTACCAGAAAAAAAAATTTGTTGAAATTCATCAGTGTCAAGTTTTTAATTTGGCCGAGTAATATGAAGAATCACAATTCATTGTTTTACGGATTTTTATTTACTATAAATTAATTTAATTTGTAGCTATGTTGTGGGACAGAAGCGCAATTAAAAGCATCAGATTTTATTATACAAGGTAAAGACATTTTTTTACTATCTAAAATTGGCATACCATTGATGACATATGCAACTTTGTTATTTCAGCACGTCACCAGGTAAACTCCAATGGTATAAAACGCTTGTTTCGATTAATCAATTGGGAAGATGCTTCTTGTAGGCCAGTCGGTGAGGTTCGGGACACAATGACCGATTTATAAATGAGTATTTATACTATACTAACCCCTTTTAGAAGACTGAGCTTGGATCCAATTTACATTTTTACCCCTCAATAGGGTTTCGGATGGCTTAATAAGGCGCTGGTTAAATAAACAAGAGGTCAGTGGTTTGACCCATTTGTTGGTCGAGAAAGTTACCCGGTATATTCCAGCGTACTTTTCCCCTTGTCAACGGTGCAGGACGGCGGGCATGGTAAGGGACAACGTATAGTTGTTGGAATGGGACGCAAACCCCGAGTTCTAATGTACACATTGGCGTGCGCCTAAAAGAACCCTTGATGATATTTTGAATTTGGCCAAAATTTCCCTCATAGCACGTGGTACATGCCCGTCTTCATTAGTCCGGTCGATACAGAATAGTAGGTGGTTAAATCCCATTTCCTTTCTGCTATCTACGTTGTTTTTCCATATTTTTTTACAGTGGACTTGGCGTGCCCGAAAACAGCAACAGGCACGGCTAGGATAAAGGTGCTAACTGATATACCCGATACTCTACCATTCGCTTATTGTCGTCATGCCTTTAAAGCTTATGACATGAACTATGTTTCGACTGGGGAATTTGGAATGGATGTATCCTTTAATGGTAAAGATACAGGCTGTGTTTTTTCCGTGAGTTAAGTTTTAATCAAGATTCATAATGTTCATATTGTAGTCCTAGGTTTATACCATAAATACTATAGGGAAGCGTCACGATTTTAATAGTTTCCATGGATGCCAATTTGACTTAGTTTTTTAAACGCACACATTTTCATGTGTACGTATATTGTCGTGTCGTCGCCCCTGTCCGTCCGGACTTCCGTCTGTCCGTTCACAATTTGTTTGTGGACACTCTACAGGTCACAATTCTTATCCGATTTTGACGAAACTTGAAATATAGGCTTATTTCCAAAAGATCTGTTCCTATCGATATTGGCATGTATCATATTTTTAGCTTGTGGTCCCTCTAGAGGTAAGTTTTTATCAGATTTAAAAAAAAACGTTTGAATATATTACACCCTATAATTTTATACTATTTGCGTACAAGGAGCGGCCCTTTTGTTCGGCAGTTGCGGCCCGATTCTCACGAAATTCGGGCCGTAACTGCCGAACAAAAGGGCCGCCCCTTGTACGCAAATAGTATAAAATTATGTAATGCCAAGCTTTGGACTGTCTAGAAGTCAAAATTAACCATTTTAATGAAACTTAAGATAAATCTTTATAGCCCAAAAATCTGTCCATAACTTTCTGGATTATGACCTTTGATTGTACGAAAAATCGCCTTTTGTTAGCTTGTTCTCTATCCATCCCTTGCAAATTGTGGGCGTATCCTTTTTTATGTTATATTTTTATTCGGATGCATATTTCATAAACCTTTCAAAATATGTGTATTAAACTTTGTACACGCATTAACCATTTCTAGTATTTCTCCCGTCTACTAAGTCGAAAATTCTCAGTTTGGCCATAGAAACCTAGTTTTGGTATGCTATTATTCCCGGGCACTTGAAAGACCGTTTATGAAAATTTGTTTGGCATCAATCTTTTCATTGAAACAAATTTGACGTGATTACAGTAGGCTTAAAATTAGTGTCGTTTGCTTATTAGATTTGCGGTTAAATGAATTCCGTAATTCATTCGGCCACGTCTTTGTTTATTATAGTATTCAATTACTTGACTGGATAATTTTGCAAACTTATAGAGACATCTGTAAAGTATTCTATACATACATCAAAAGTGTCTAGACGTTAGAATGGGACGGAAAGACTGGCGACTTGTAGGTCGAAGCGCCAAAATTCCCCTATTTGTACAGTGTTGGTACAGTACAGAAATTTAAGACCTTAAACAACATTTTTTTTCATTGCTTCATTGGAAATTCCTATTATCCCAGTATTTCATTGTGATTCCCGTTGTCTTGTTTCTTAAATTGACGCATTCCCATTATCCTTGCATTGTCTTTGGCGTTGTGCGGTTTCTTATATTGCAGAAATCCGCCGGTGTAAATATATATAGTATAGAAGTATACGTACCATTGTCTGGCGGTGTATTTACATCTGAAGATAAACCACATCTAGTAACCTGTTCCTACGAAGATACGGGTATACAGGAATCGAACCCTACCGAATTTTCAGATGCGTAAGTAAATACTGTCCATTGTCGGGTAAGTAAATGGTAGGACGTTAAACTCCAAGAGTTATTTCGGGTAATTAAATGGAGTCTAGAACAATATTGGGTGCAAAAAGGCATCCGCCGTTCCGACATAATTTGGATTGACTTCAACTTTATATGGTTTTGACTGTATTTGAAGAATTGATTTTCGGACAAGGAGCTTGGCACCAATCGCTACTCGTTTTGTTTTTCATCTTGTGGCAACTCTGTTCGAAGAAAACCATTCTTGTTCTATTAGTGTTTAAAGTTACTCCATCGAGGGTGATATCGCAGACAAATAATTGTCATATTTTTATTTTCTTAGCGCATGCCCCGTGGTCTTTCCTGGAATGAACTCAGACCAGGGACCGAAACACAACCGCAAGAAAAAAGCCTATTCGTTCGTTCCTAACGTTTAACGTCCACTTCCACCATAGGTGATATAGTAGACAAGAAAAAGCCTAATGCTCCACCAAATTAAGTATGATCGTAATAAAACTTGACATACTTGTTCATTGCAATTCGAACTTGTTTTTTTTCCAGTAAGAAACCAATAGAAGAGTCTTTGTATAATATGGGTAAAATTAGTAAATCAGACGTGGACCTTTATCTTGAAGATCTGAAAAAGTCTAGGGTTAAATCAGGAGTACATCTTGGAAACACTGTTCGTTTGATCGCCATTTTAAAAGGTTGGTGATTTCTTTTTTTGTAGTTCAAAGGTCAACTGGGAATCGTAATCATATTCAGTCTAGAGACAAATAAATCGGAGATGAAATTCAATTTGTATACGCCCACATGACATCTGGTCAGGTTTTTTCGAAATTTTATAGAGAAATGTGGATAACGTCGACTCGACACCAACTAGGTCATTTCGGGACTAACATTTTATTTCAATAATTCGCTTGCGGGTAGGGGTCTTTAGCAGTGGGAGATTGGACAGGCGACCCTACTCCTTGTCACGTACAATCGGGGAATCGAAACCACGCCAGTTGACTCATTGACAGGCCTTACGATACAGAGCGCACGTGCTAACCATTCGGCCATCCAAGCCCCCACCCGAATTTCAGGAATCTCGTTTTAAAGTCTTGTGAACGCAATAGAAGCTACAGACTTTGTGTAGTATTGAAGGTGAAGTGTCTAGTACTATCGCTTTAGATCATAAAGAAATGGAACCCAATCTGTTATGGACAACAAAAAAAAAATTAGATGTCACTTTGTCCTGTGCGATGCCATAAGGATCAGTGCTTGGTCCTGTATTTGTACTATATACTCAAATTAAAGAATCCTTAAATCGTAGAGCAGCTTGGTCACACTCCATTTAGACCTGGATGACATACAACAGTCTAAAATTGAATGATGAAAATACTGAAGCTATGTTAGTTGGAATCTTTTATAAACTACGGAATATAACAGAAAAGAATACAACAATCGGTAATTCAATGATCGACTGTCAGTCTGGAAAGCATTGGTGTTTTCCTTGAGTCATCGCTTACTATGGAAACACACGCGTTGATGAATTGTGCCGTATATGTTTATATAGATACGTTGCAACAGAGACATTCGCCACCTCATCACGACAGATTCTGCTAAAACATTAGTTCAGGCGCTAATACTGTTGTCCCGTATTGATTATGCAAACATTTTGCTCTTCGGACTCGCCCAAACACTTACATATAAATTACAAAGAATCCAGAACATCGCTGCCAAGATTGTAGCAAGAACTTCAAAATATTCATCCATGACTTCGGTGCTAAAGTCTCACTGGTTGCCTTGTCATTAGTGTATACCAATGTCAAAATAATCTCGCTCCCTTGTATTTGTCTGAACTTTTGACAAACTATAAACAAGACTAAAACAGATTGGTGATAAAGTTAGTGCAGCTGCACCTCGCCTTGGAGTCAGTTACCAATAAACATTAGAGAATCCCAAACTTTAACAATCTTTAGTCACAACTAAAAACTTATTTGCTTAAACTCTTATTATCCGGATTAGAAACAGATTGTTTATGTGTGTTTTTTATGGACGGGAGACTCCTTAAATGTTGTACTTTGAGCATGCGTATATGGATGGATTATTAAGCGCATTACAAGTATACATTATTATTATTAAAGTTTATTATTCAAGTGGCTGTAGTTTTGCTACCGGCCCTTCAATTTCGATTGGACATAGGATGATGCTGGACATTACCATTGCGGTCACGATACGATACGTATTGCGATTCAGGTGCTACGATTCGTATCGTAGGATGTGAATAATTGATATTTTTAGTCATCCATTGGTGTGGATCAAAATAAGGACCAAAACAATTTAAGAGTTTTTATGTACATATGTGTAACGTGGATCATTAGGGTTACTTACTGAAGCGACAAAAACAGAAAAAAAATCGTGATGCATCGATTATCGCCATAGGGTGAATTGCGATACATCGATTGAACGATATACCGTGCTGGTACTACCATTGGACGTTAAAACCCATGTCATTATTTGCCAAATCCCCTTGTGCTTTGTGACTAGGAATATAGACGGGAATCGCAAGACTGTTCGCGTGCAGGACTACGTGGGTACTCCACTGCTGGAGAACTGCAAACAAATTGAAAAAGAACCTGTTCGTTTCAAAACCCTTGTCAAGTGGCCTATAACCCCATTTCGTCAAAGATGCCTTAGTTAATGGCGTTTGATACAAAATATTTGGATTAGCGGTATCGCTTATGCATTATTTGGTAATATGAACTTAAAGAGGCATTATGTAAGATTCGATAAAGAGATGAGTTATCGCTATAATAGTTATGAAAACAGAATATACTGACTATTTGTCAAATTGCTTCCCTGAACCGAGATAGTAGCGATTCAATTTCAGGCTAGCCTCAGTCGTCATTACTAACGTTCTTGGAATAGTAAACAGTCGTGATTATCCATTTTGACGTAACCCATTCGTCACAAAATGTATTCAAATCCACTAAATGTCACAGGCTAACGATGGCATCGAGAGTTTGATTATGGTCTTGATGAATTAATTAATGACTAATTAATAATTTAGACATTTCATCCCTAGAGAAAGACCTGCAATAGGCAGATTTAGCTCTTGAATAATGCATGTTTTACATTAATGTGGTAAGAACAGAACAAAAACTAACTTTTCATAAAGCAACATGTGACTGCTTTTAGTTGTCTTTATTAATCAAGTCTATACAGAATATTTCATTTGGGTTGATTCAAGAATTTCAGAACTTCAATAAATATTCCCGACGAATTATATTCAGTTATAAAGGTGGTAAAAAAAACACCAACCATGGACGTTGAAGACATTTTTATATTGTAATTTTATACACATTGTAGGTAAATATTCTGATGAAGTGAGTTTTCAAGCGGTATCGTGTAGAGCTATTGGTAGAGGAAATGCCTACCCTATTTTGGTGGGTGGGTAAGTAACCCAACGCTTTGAATTTTTTGTAGGGAAACAGATTAGTGATTAATACCCCCCCCCCCCCATTTCCTTCGATGAATTTTGTTGGTCTATAACAGTTATCTGAACATTCCGATAACCTTTGGAACCACAAAGAGTCCAACATGACAAAGCATCTGAAGGGGGTTGGCTATATCCGGTTGGGGTTGAGGGGGTACTTTAAATAGAACTAGGATTGTTTTAGAAAATGTGTATGCGTGCCTCTATAATTTTAAAAAGTTTTTCGGACCCCCCCGCCACCCCATCCCACAATACGTATCAGCGTAGCACCTTGTACATTCGGCGACTCGCAGGCCGAGACAGGATTGAAACCAGCATTTTGTCGGCATTTCCCTTGTCTCCCTCCAAAATTGGGAATTCGGTTGCATGACATAAATAAGGATACATTAGACCACTTTAAAGTTACTGTACTAAAGACGCGGTAAAGCAGGCAAGTGCGTTTGCGGCAGTCCAATTTTCCACATTTTCACACCACCTCATCTGTAAACTCCGCGTCTTCGGCGTCGTCTGTAAACGGAATTTGTTACGGCCATTTCAGTTATGCCCTCCCCCCACACACACCACCTAACATTCATCGAGTCCGCACGCCTATGACATTTCCAATGGTCTGTAAACTAACCCTTGAATTAAGAAGTATCTGTTATATTTTTATATAAAATAAGAATGGGCATTTGAAGAAGTTCTTAAGCCTCTTGACTTTTATAAATTTAGGACACATTTCGATATTTGTAGATGTGGCGATGGTATAGTTATATCAAGATCTAAAGGGTTTTTAACAACTGGCAGGAGAACTGTAAGTCCTTACTTCCGGTCATTTCGGCTGCGTGGATCTCGTTCACTGACGTTTGATTGTACATTTGCCATCTGTAAAAAAAACTGTGATGGGGTAAGATGTTTATTTTCTTAAGGCAGATGTGCCAGCCGATTAATACAGATTTCCAACGTTCTTAAATTTATATTTCCGTAGTCTATACAATTCAGGGAATTCCTTAATTGTTACGCAAAATGCGCATGAATATTATATTGGCTAAGTTTGATCGTTGTTAGGTAATTGGTGTGTCTGTATAGAGCATCTTGTAACGTTTTCTTTCTTCGGTTAATCTATTCCACTCCTCGTCAAAGCAAACCAAAAATGTAGTTCAATAATTCAGTAATGCCATTGATGGAATCAAATTAATCCTAAATAGATGCAAGAAATTTTATTAATTGTAATCAAGTATTTTTTTTTTTATATATAAGAATTCTTGTAGTAACCAGCTTTATAGAAGTAAAAGATCCGTTCGATATGTAAGGGTTTTAGCAGGTAAGCTGTATCATAAATGATCCTCCATATAAAAGAATACTGTATATTGAATCTTACGAAAAATTTTTTATACGCCCACATTTTCATGTTGACGTATATTGTTGGCACCCCTGCCCGCCCGCCTGTCTGTCAATCCGTCCACAATTTGTTTGTGGAAACTCTACCGGTCACAATATTTATTCGATTTTGACGAAACTTGAAATACAGATCTCTCCCAAAGATCTAGGTTCCTTTCGGTATTGGAATGTATCTGACCATAACTTCATGGATTATGACCCCTGATTGTACGAAAAGTCACTTTTTTTTTAGCTTGTGGACATTCTAGAGGTCACAATTTTCATCTTATTTTGATGACACTTGAAATGCAGTTTATAACCCAAAGATCTTGGTTCCTTTCGATATTCACGCAAATTGGACTGTAATTTCCTGAATTAGGGCCCTTGATTGTACGTAAAATCTCGTTTTTAACTTGTGGTCCCTCTAGAGGTCACAATTATTATTCGATTTAAAAATAAAAATGTTCCAATATATCACCGTAATGCTGTTCGAATTTCGTGAAAATCCGACCAAAACTGCTGGACAAATGGCCGCCCCGCGTACGCACATGGTGTAAAAGTATGTAAAACCAAGGTTGTGGACACTCTAGAAGTCACAATTTATCTGATTTTGGTGAAACTTGACATGTATGATTATAATCAAAAGATCTTGTTTTTGTCGAGAAATGGTATATCAAGGATTTCATCAGATTTTGATGCAAATTGAAATGCATGTTTATATCCCAAAGATCTTGGTTCCTTTCGATATTCGCGCATATCGGATTCGTAATTTCCTGAATTAAGGCCCTTGATTGTACGGAAAATCGCGTTTTTAGCATGTGTGGTTTATAAAAGAGGTCACTAGTTTTATCCGATTTAAAAAAGTGAATCTATCACCGTTACACACTAAGATCCACACTGATCATCAGTGAATATTCGCTAGGCCGCGACAATCACTGATAAGGATGACATTGCGACAATGAGTCACAAATATTAACTTTTTTCCTCCAACAAATTAAATTCTAAAAATTTCTTTATGTATTAGAAAACTAAAGACGTTTGAAGTTTTTGTAGGTAAAAATTATTTCCTATTTTAGTGTAAATGGGTATTAAAATGAGAAAAGGCGCCATTCTGCTCGAATCTGTAACGTCTTATGTAAACAATGCACGCGCCATTGGGCCAATGATTGACACCGCGTGATATGACGTCATTTGTTGAAGGCAGTCATCTTTTACAGAGATATTAGAAGACTTTCCTAATACTCTGTGAAACAGATTGACTAAGATCTTGGTTCCTTTTGATAATCGCGCATATCCGAGCTTAACTTCCTGGATTATGGCCCCTGTTTGTTAGAAAAATCGCATTTTTAGCTTGTGGATTTTCTAGAGGTCACACAATTTATTTTCCGACTTTAAAAACCGTTAAAAAAAATCACCATTCCACCATAATGAAGGTTGAATTCGAATTTCGGGAAAATTGAAATCAAACTGCCCGACAAAATAGCCGCTCTTTGTACGCAGATTGTGTAAAGGTATGAAATACGAAGGTTGTGGAACCTCTAGGGGTCACAACTTTTATCCGATTTTGATGAAACTTAAAACATAACTTTATATTCCAAACATCTCACTCTCTTTTGATATTTGCGCATTTCAGACATAACGTTCTGGATTATGACCCCCGATTGTACAAAAAATCGCTTTTATTTTTAGCTTGTTCTCTGCTCATATTTTGCAAAATGTGGGCGTATCTTACCTGGCAGCCGCTGGTTCATATATAAAAAATATCAATAATGTAAAAAAAAATCACGAGGCTTTGGCTTTGCCTTTTTTGTTTCTCACCTTTATCGACGAGTGTTTTTGATATCAAAAAGGCAAGTCGAAGATTTTATTTATCATCCAACCCTTTCTTACACGCGAAAATAAATAACTGACAAATTGGATTGATGTAAACCATATGTCGCGCAGGAGAATATGAAAGTTATTCCAGAAGCGATATCAACTGTAGAATGTGTTACTGGGTGAAAAATTACCGTAACCTTTGAACAGCTTCGTCTCATAGGTGGACATTTTAAAGTGTCGGATATTGTCATTCAGATATTTTGTTCTGTTGATCCAATCGCTCATCTGACAAACTAATATTTGGTAGGCATTTTGAAGTGTCGGATATTGTCATTCAAATATTTTGTTCTGTTAATCTAATCACTCACCGGACAAACTAGTACTTGATGGACATAGTGTTCGATATTGTCATTCAGATTTCGAGTTGTGTTGATCGAAACGATCACCTGACAAACTGATACTTGGTGACATTTTATAGTGTGCAATATTGTCATTCAGATGTTGTTGTGTCGATATGGATTTGAAGTACAGACAGGGGGTGCTAGATGGTCGGTCGGGAACGTTCCAAATTGATGGAATTGCAATCGGATGTCCCGAAAATTAGATCAGTCATATTTCTTTCAGACCCGAAAACCAACCAGTGTGACGGAATAGTGACGTGATCAAAGTAACGAGGTCATGTTTTATAGCTTTGGCGAGGGATGGATATAGTATCAAATTTAATTTGCGTGGGCGTTTATTCTATTGCCACGTTATTAACTTACAGGTGCCCAATGTGTTCTTTACGAGTGCACGTAAAAGAAACCTTAATAGTTTGAATTCGAAATAATTGTAGGCCGTAGCACCGCTGTCCGGGCAGAGTTTCCATTATAGCAAATTTCATGGCGTATGCGGTGTCCATTATCCTAGTTGGTGCAGAAAAGTAGGAAACCCCATAGTTACATCAGATCTCGATCTGATTAGACTAATAAAACCCGTTATAGTGTGAAAACTGTCAGGGTTTTTTTAGAAGTAGCAAATCAAATACATGTATTTAAGAAATTGTTTCAATGTGTGAGTATAAGTATGTGTAATTTGTTTACTAGATGGTTCGATGAAGATAATATCGCTTAAAGATGCTCTTATAAATGAAGAGGATGGGGATGATGATATCGAAGATGATATCGAAGACGAGTCAAGTCTGTCTATGCGGAATGAGTCTTCACAGGTAGATATGCATTTCCATATACTTGCACTAAACGTGGTTGAAAAATTTCGAGAAGCTAATGACCTACTTTGATGACTCTTGAAGGTTATATTTAATAATGAATTTCGATGATTTGTTTACCTTGTATTTGTGGGTCTGTTTTCATTTTAACAGTATGCACTTTGTGTAGTGTGTACAAATGCAAGTTATATTTAACTAGACACCCCCCCCCCCCCTCCCCTGCGCCCAGTGTAATTAGACTACCTGTTGACGTATGTAGTTTAGAGCGTTCAACATTCGTGTTTTCTTGTCTTGACTTTGAAATAACTATTATTGATCTTGTATTTACCGTGTATGTTTCAGTTTTGTTTGAATAGTTTTGTCTATATATAGTAGTTTCGCATTTTGTTATGTTGTATTAGCTTGATAACGTTAATAGAATACTCTTTAAAACGTCGCGTAAATATATTAGTAGCTGTTTTCCATAAGTATGTGTTATAGTTTATTGTTCTATCAAGTTACAAGATGCCACTAAAAGATTATAATTTTATTAAGACTATAACCAGATTTATTTTAAATAAAATTCGAAAGGTCATATTTTTTTTTCGAAATTTGCATAAACTTATAGCATGAACCGATGTGTTTGAATTAATTTGGGTCCATATTTTTTTTCTCTGTATAGGCAAGACGGAAGCAAGTGCCAGTTGAAAAGAAACTCTATGTTCCCATGAATTCAATGGTCGGAGATGCTGATACGCACTTCATCGTTCGTGACCAGACAGATGAAAAACGTAAAATGGTTCAGGCATCGGTTTGGTCAGGAATTGATCTTGGAATGTGGACACTTTTGGTTATTACTATGGGCTTCTGTCTACTGACTGTTCAAATAGTGGTGTTGATTACAAGAAGACTATTGCTGTTATTCCAAGAGATTATAACCATTTCTACGTTCAAGCCATACGACTTAAATAATAATTCTAAAACGAAAGTAGCTGTAATTGGATTCAGTGACCAATAAAGAACTAACCATACCCTGAGTTTGAATTACTGATGTATAGAGGGGTTGAGTCGTCTAATGCGTTCACTTTAGATCCAAAGGTGTTGATGTAGTTTCGATCCCAAGCTTGTATTGACAGTGGGTATAGGGGTCGCCAGCCTTCTGATGCTAAAGCCCCTTACGCGCAAGCGAATTCTTGAAATACAATTGTACCATATGTAACTATTTGTCGCTTTCAGTGACGTATAATTAATTATGCGATAAGAATAACAGTTACTCCCACCACGCCCCTTTCTGGGTGAAATGGCCACCTCCCTCGATTCAATACATTTTCGACTAGATTAGCCTTTACTCTTCTGATCAGAAAATAGCATCCCGTCCAGCGACTTTTACAAAATCTAGCCGTTGCTAGATTAGTCTGGAATTCCGAAACATTTAGGTACGTTATCCCCCTTAAACACAAAAGGAATAGATTCGTTTACCAACAATGAAAGCTTTTTTTAGTTGATAAATTCACGGAAGACCAAAGAAAAGCAATCTGATTAAAACACAGATCCAATTTCGTTTACACGTCTTTACTACACTAGGATCTGGAAGAGTTGTTATATAACCCGTCTTTTTGGAGGATGTAAGAGATTAGCCAATGAAACGGTGAGGTGCACGGAACTGCAGGCCTTCACATAAAAGGAGCGCGATCACTCTCGCTCTCCTGGAAGCGCCTGGATGTCAGTCGAGGTGCGCTTTTTATAGCTCGTCTAAATTGACTCGTAAGAAAATAATCAGGAAAAATATACCGGTAACGAAAAATACTGTCAATATCGACAATCAACTTGCTTGTAATAAGTCATACCTTAGTGAGAATCGGTCGTCTGGTTCATAATCAGAGTAATAAACACATTAAACAGTAATTTTGATAATTCGGCATAAAGAAAACAAGCTTGTTGGTTATTCATAACAGGTCCAGTAAGTTTCCTTTGTAATAATTAAGCCACGTGGCGAATGAAGATATTTCGCTCGGCATGGATTGTGAATCTCGGGATTCGCGCCCCGTCTTTGACGTCCGATCCGTACGAATTCCAGGTAGATATTAAAATGATAATTGGATAATGATGATGGTTAGTTGTATTTTACGTCCGCTTCCACCGAGGTGATATCGCAGACAAAATATGGTTTCACTGACCCGTTGAATTTAAATAGTCATTGAATTATCCCCAATAGAACACCGGATATCAATAATACATGTATATTTTTGTCAAGATCTCCAATGCTTTTCGATTCCCGATAACACGTGACATGCATCGGTTGGAATTAGGTCAATAAACCAGCATTGCTAGATCTAGTTTTAAATAGCGTTTTAGTCATGGTTATTTTATACACATGCAGACGGAGTTATTTTTAAAAATATTGTCCTTATTATTTAAGGCTATGGCATAGTTGTACGGAATTTTATTTTATATAAAGCCATTTCAATTATAGTTGTCACGTGATCATTGTGCCGCTTGTCTATCATCCACGAATGAATAAAAACTGAGTTACATGAAAGACAAAAACAATAATTTGTGTTTTAAATAAGAAATGCCATGGTGTATCAACTTATTTTGGCTACTGCATTTTCTGATGCTGGCCGTAGTAGAAAAATCCTAATTTTGATCGACTGATATCCGTTTATCCATCGAATAAACGAAGATGGTAATTTATTCAGGAGTATTACTGACTTGAACTTCAAGTCATATCTTCTTAAAGCGGAAATTGCAAATTTTTAAGTTATATTTTTAAAATTTATTAAAATAAAGCCTGAATATAGATGGTATCCATAAACAGTCCTACCTTGTTAAAGAATAATCCTATAATTCACTATTGCCAGCTGAGAAATTGGCAAAAATATCATTTTCCTTTTCATTTTCAAACGTTTGAAAAAAGCTACTCCATGGTGGAGAATAGAAAACAAGGGAGGTAATTGTGTTATTATTTCCTGTGTAAAGGAGTCTTAAGTGTGAGAATGACACCTATGATCGTATAATTTCCGCTTTAACCTATTCAGAATACGACATTCTCCATAACAAATTACCAAAAATTGTTTTTGTTGAAGTCTGGTTATATTAAAGTTAACGGAAGCTTTTAACTACCCGATTTCCTAACGGAACAACTTTGACCCAATTCTGGCCAGTTGGTTTCAAAATGAATTAAAATCCTTATCATAAATGCTAAAAAAGCTCTCCTCACGAGATTCAGGAGAGCGATTTACCCTTTTTCCAATTTCAGGAGAGCTTTTTTGACTCTCAAGGAATTTATTCGCGCGAAGGCCTGGAACTGCAGGTAACCCAGTAGAAATCGCACTTCTGATTAAAGATACATTATAAGGAGCTGGTAGTTCTCACCAGAATAGTTAAAAACTAGGTAACGTAAAGGGAATTTGCTGAAAATTTCAGTCAGATTGATCTAATTTGAACCGAGAATTAAGCGATTGAGCTTTGGGCCTAGCCTCGATCATTAAAGTCGGTACGATAAAAACAGTCTCGGACTATCCATTTTGATTGCATAATCAATGAGCGTTGTGCAGCAGATCGGTTTCTAATCCAGTAAATATCGCAGGTTGATTATGGTCTGTATAAGATAATGTCTAATAATTTGGATAACATTTCAGGCCTAAAGACCTGAAATTGGCAGATTAAGCTCTTGCATAATGTAAGTTTTAATCAATTGTTTGACGTCATAGGTTCAAAAGGCGTTCGTGACGCCTGATGCGACCTTCCACTACATCTGGTCAAATTTTCATGTAGTGTATGCCATCGAAAGTATGAAAAAAAAACGAAATAGATCTGTATCTTAGATTTATAATGGAAGAACAAAAAGTAACTTGGAAAGGTTTGGTTTGAGATGTGAAGTTGGTCATGGTATATTCATAGCCGAAAAGCGGAAAGTTCCAGCAACCTTGACTTTGGATGAACTTCTAACTCGATTGTCACAGCTCGAAATTTCAGTTGGAAAGCGCGTGACTTGGTATTCGCAATGATATTTTCTATCCGGGAATCGGAGAGTTCCCATCTGGGTCAGTAACCAATCGAAATTAGTATCGTAAAATCTAGGATGGTACGTGAAGGGCTTGAAAATGTACGGAGTTGAAGCCTTCTATTGTAGATGAGTGTGCATAGGACCTTTACTTCCCTAGTTAAATGCCCCCCCCCCCCCCAAAAAAAAAAACTCTCCGAAAACTAATTTCAAATTTGGTTTGATGCATTGGTGGGTTCGTGAGAGAACGTTGTGGGATCAATTATTTCAATCATCAATTAACTGACTCTGGAACACCGTTTGTTAATAAGTTTATATAATTAAACAAATACAGCAAACTACAACGTTAAATCCAGGAAAACTACGTCTATTATAGAAACTTTAGGCGTTATTAAAATATCTACGATCTGAGTTTAGCATCCTTTACAACTCGGACCTAACGGTTTAAATACTACATTTTGTCTCTATCCCAGCCTCAGCCGAGGAGGCTACGATGTTCCCCTCTCGGGCAGCTTTATATCTGAGGGTAAATCAAACCAGCTCTCTTATAAAGAAGTATAATGTCAGCTATTAGGGTGGGATAATTACCATTTTTGGGTAAGTGTTTCGTATAGACACCGTTTTACGTTAACACTTATTCTAGTTAATTGTACTAATCCGTGCACGAGATGACTGGACTATAGTACCCTACTTCCAGTAATGGATACTGACATAACTGTTGGTGAACTAGTCTAAGATAGTAGAATAATGCAAGCTACTTCATAACACCTCATGTAGGTAACGAATTTTTATATTAAACAGAACACCTTAGTACTAAAATAAACCCTATAGTATTACAATAATTGTAGATCATCGTTAAGATAATACGAACCGAATAAGTGATCAATACATTATTATATATGCAATAATTGCCTTGTCATATTGCTGATAATGGATGTGAAATCTGCTCCCATTGGGTTAGTAAAGGGCATGCGCCATACAGTGTGCTATGAGGGAATTTTGCCCGGGGAGCGGCACTAAGGCCTGCTCTTATATCGAATTCTGGGGGGTTGGATGGCTGAATGATTAGCACGTGCGCGCTCCATCATAAAGTCTGTCATTGAGTCAACTGGCGTGGTTTCGATTCCCCGGTTGTACGTGACAAGGAGGGTCGCCTGTCCAACCTCGTGGGTTTTCTCCGGGACCTCCGGTTTCCTCCCACTGCTAAAGGCCCCTACGCGCAAGGGAATTATGGAAATAAAATTGAACCATGTTAGTCCCGAAATGACCTAGTTTGTGTCGTGTGGACGTTAAACCCCATCTCTCCCTCTATCGAATTCCAACTGCCAAGGTGTAAATGGGAAATCGGTATTTTGTCCCATCGAAACGACTTCTACGTTGTCCTTTTCCAGGACCCCTGTCCTGCATCATTACAGGGGGAACCGTGTCGGAAAATCCCGATGAACTTTTTCGACCAACGCAGGGATCGAACACGGGACCTCCAGGATAACGAGCTAACGTCATACTCACTGAGCCACTGCTGAGATCTCTAGCCTAGTTTTGCTTCGGTGCTTTTCCAAAAGTGTAATATCCACCAGGACAGTGACTACTGGATAACAATGTCCAGGGTTGATTCCCGGTGTCGGTCTAGAACGTTAGTAATTTTCCAACCCGGTTTCACTGTCCGGGTTAGACAGCTTTCCTCGTGCCAGGCCTTTTCCGCATTTTGACCCCTTAAGAGTCTACAATGTACGTGAATTGCGTACAATCCAGGAGGTTACTTTCCGGTATGTGGGATATAAACATAAAATGCACGTTTCATCAATATCGGATTAAAATTGTGACCTGTGGAGTACAATGCGAACATACAATCTTGGATAAATGAAATGGGGTTTAACGTGCTACTGTTCTGCTCCGACTGGGCTAATGAAGATGACATACGCCACACAGTATGCTATGAGGGAAATTTTGCCCGGGCAGCGGCACTATGGCCTCCTCTCATCGAATTCCAACTGCCAAGGGATCTTTTATGTACACGGGGGACCACGGTTTTCCCGTTCCATCCGAACACTTTGACAGCTGCCCTTGTCGGGCCCTGCGTCACTGACCAGGGCAAACCATGTCGGAAAATCCTGATGAACTTCCTCGGCCAATGCAGGGATCGAACACACGACCTCCATGGGCGACCTTCGGTTATTGTGATTTCCTGACTATGGTCGAACTAACTGAATCCGAATTTCATTTAGTACGGACCATTCAATGTCCGAAAATACTGAACCATTTATTGTGGCATGTGATTTCGTTAAGTATGTGATTTTAGGAAAGCTTGAATGAATTTTAAATAGTTACTACCTCTATGATCAGATATTTTTCGTCTCGTATGTTATGTCTAAATCTATGCAAATCTAAAAATTATGCATAATTTCAATACTTGCGCTATGCAAAAGGTAAAGTCAAATTACAAGGAATTTTGTCGTCTCTAAAATTAATTTAAGTCGCGCAAAGTTAACTTCATAAAAGTATTATTTGTTTATTAAACAATATAACACGATTCATTATCCTCCACGGATAGATGTATAGACCTTCGTTGAGCTAAAAGATGCATTCCCGCGTACAAGCTGGGTGATTTGATGATATATGTGGACTAAAAACATTCAAACTAATTTATTTATCATAAATTTGCTTCAAATCCTCAAAACAATATAATTGCCAACGAACACCCCTGCTATAGAAATCGATCAAAAGAAGTCATGTTTGTGTCACGTGACTTACCTCTCTCGGTACCTATAGCAACGGGTTCGAAGTCGGGGGAGAATTCATTGCATACACAAGACGATGTTGTCTTTAATCGCCGACTATTACACATATCGAATCTTAATTAAACTCTCGGATTATCCACTACCCTCGTCTTTTTCAGCGATTTTTATCTCAGAAAGTGTTGTACGTCTAACTCTTCATAAAGTTGAACATGTACATCACGCGCTCAATCTCCGCGTGCAACCTTTGGCGTCACGCGTGCAGATATTCATATTCGTCGGGCTGTCGATTTGGAGAACCCTTACATTTGTCCTGTATACGCTCCATGAGTGTTTTTCAGGGAATCCAGTATTTTTCTAGTAAGATTGGACATCTACTTTCCATGTACATGTATAACAAAATTGTCATACTTTTATTGGAAATAACCACCCGATAAATACTTTTCTGGGAACCTATCTTTAAGGGGTTTTTTTTTGGGGGGGGGGGCTCCCATCGTGGCTCCCAACTAATCTTGTAAGTGATGCGTTTCATTTCATCTGTGTCGTGGCTAGCCTGACTGAATGAACGACAGCTTTCTCGACCGATGTAAACTACGTTTCCATGCACAGGGCCCGTTTTATGGAAATTTACTCGTAGCGCGTCCCTTTGGAAACGTCCACTTAGACACATACCTAGGTCATTACGCATATAGAGGTCTCCAGCAGTGGGGGAGTGGTGAGGGGGGGAACTCGAGGTTGGACAGGCAGCCCTACTCATTTTCACGTACAACCGGTGTATCGAAGCTACGCCAATTGATTCAATGACAGACCTTATGATACAGCGTGTATGATAACCATTCGGCTCTCCCCCCCCCCCCCCCCGGCTTTGGAATTGAAATATACAAGGTCTCTAGCATCAATAATTGGCGTTTATCTGAGGAAACACGAGGTCACTGCAAAAAACACAGAAACGTCACAAACTAGACTGTGCGTGAGCCTAAGGGCCATATCTATATACTAATTCATACTTATGACTGACGCAAGTGAAGAATAAGCGTAAATTTGATTTTTTAAATTTTATACATTCTGAATATAATCTCATGCGTATATCTAGAAACAGTTCCGTTGAATCAAGAATTCGGAAATGGGAGAGATTGGTCACACGAATCATAACTCGTGATTCAAATATTTGGTACAAGGATATGCCTATCTTCAGTGATACTTTGCGCACCTTTTTTGTCCAAATTTAAATCTTGAGATCACGTCTTTATTTCACAGAGCACGGTTTTCGCTCATCGGAGCACGGACGTGCTTGAAGGCACGTCAAAATAGGCTCCCAGCCAAATCGTTAAACCTTACAGGGCATTGGCTCGTCTGACCAATTCGAGAGAAATGGAGTTAACGTCCAGCCAGCAAACGACATGTATTTCGGGACTTGCATGTAATTTTATCTATTGCGCGCAATACATTGAGGGTATGACTTAATTGTGCGCCGAAACGAACGCCGGGGGAGTTAATTAGGCAAAAGGTATATGTTTTGGACACTTTAAAGCACGTGCTTCAAGTCTTACACGCACTTTAAGTCTGAAACATCCGTCACGATCCTCGACTTTTGACCCATGTCAACAGGGCGGGGTGGGGGCTTGCGAGTGGAAAAGACTAATACCTCTTCTGAACCCGGCACTTGGTATAGGGCATTTGTTAGCCGAAGGGTGGGTGGTCAGTTGCATCATCCTTAAATACCTGTATCGCCCCTTCCCACCCTTTAAAAAAAAAAAAAACACGTTTATTGTCCCACCCACCTTGAATTAAACCCCTTTTGACAAATGAAACACTTTAGTTCCGTATTGAAATATTTAATGACAAAAACAAAAAAAGATCTTAAGCTAGTTTATTCTTTGTAAGTTATATTTATGGGAACGCTTTGTTTGCGGATTCGTGATAAAACGTAAGCGGTTACTACTGCAGATGCTATGAGCACAATACCCGCAACAGCTAAAATGGCTGTATACATCGAATTCTTGCTAAATTCAAATGAGTTCGTCTGGGCTGAAAACAAAATGAAAACTGATAAATACATCTGTTTAAACCGATTTGTCAAATAAGCCACCTTTATACGGTCATAGCGCTCAAACTGCCAAGAATTTACGTTCACGCCTGTCGTCTAATCCAAACTATAGACGCTGTCCCATTACTGACAAGTCGGGGCCTCATAATTAATGCGCCTACAGACGCGACAGTCAAGTCATCGGCTCGAAATTTAATAGCTTAGCCGGTTTTCTCTGCGAGCATCTAACACGTTAGGTCATCGTGCAGAACTTCCTACGCAAACAAATGTATGAGATTGTGGCCTAGTTCACTATACACTCAAGATCCAGAAAATGCTAAAGGAAAATTTTCAACTAAAATAACCTGAAGACTGGTTTGCAATCATTGATCAGTTTCTGGTAAGGCTTCAGGAGGCGGATTAAACAAATTTTGGAAGCCAACTTACCATGCATCTGATGTTCTGGTAAATGTACGCCAACAGCAGCTCGTTTAACATTGCTATTATCGGTCAGTAGTCCAAGAGAATTGTATTGTAAACCAACACTTCTGCGTTTCCTACTCTTGGCTGCGACACAAGAATTCTGAAATAAAAATCTGGATGCTGGCGTTTTTAGGTTACAATAGTGGAAACAAAATGTTAAATATTTGTTAAATTGCCCCGGTCGGTTGTATACTGTAAATGGTGAATGCAGTATAGGAAGTGTGCTATAATATAGCATCTATTAGATTGTGCCCCCTACACCAAGCACCTACGATATAGATGAACAGTACAAGGGCAAATTACTTTAAAATCTAGAAACCGGGGAGACGTTATTCGAGAAATCGTATAACCTTTTAATCCCTATAAATTGTGCCCCTCGACTAAAAGTCACCTATCAAAGATACAAAGATAAAATGTGATCCTAACAACTTAAACTAAATGAAAGATAGTGTTCTAGTTTAAGAGGCATGGCTTGACATGCTCGTTTGCCGAGGAAATGACGAATGTTGCGAAATTTTTCAAAATATCATTTTTGGAAATACTGATGGCCATCGAAACATTTAGACCGATTCCTCATTTTAGTTTTTAAATTCTAAATAAAATCAATAGCAATAAATAGATTTAAATATGGCGTATTGCCATCTAAAAAGGCGTTAAGCATTGGCCATATATGGAGTTACAAGTGGAAAATACTGAAAGTACAGTTAACTATGGCATTGGTCGAACACGCCAATGAATCTATCGGCGATATACTTTACAGTAATTACAGAATATATACCTACCCCATTACAACTGCCTGTACAAACCACAAAGCTACATCTGAACACGATACCTTGATTCTTTGATATACGGAACATTCGAAATTTAGGACTATCGCCATTTGGGCCCTTCATAGTGAATCCTTCGTTTTGTTTAAAAGGAAATCCTGTACCACACCTGGAATAATCAGCAATCGGAATTAAAAATATTTCAAATAAAATATTCTGCATGATGTGGGGAGGTGGCCGAGATAACATTCTATTTTGTAATGGCAACCTTCGTGCTACTGTTATGGTCGAATAGTATGCATCCGAATGGCATTTAGTGTAACCTATGGACGCGACTCACCGAAGTATGCAGAGCTCGGTAGGGCTAGTACGAAAAAGGCGGATAAGATCGACACGCAAGTAAAATTTGTCAGAATATCGAATTGCCGAGTTATTAACACCAAAAGCTTAGTGAACGGGCGTTGGGGTATATGAGGTTATATTTGATTTCGGCTTTAATTGGATGAGTCAAGATCGTATTCGAAGACCTACACCAACAGAAACCCCTGTGTATACAATGATCCCGTTTCTAAAGCTAATTCGCCCCAATCGCCGACATAGGCGTTATTTGCTGTCTGGGCCCGGACCACAATGTACACCCAAAAAAGGTCGAAAAAGATTTGAGGGTAGTGTGGGGTGGGGGGGGGAATCACTCCTTAAATACCAAAAATATTTAAAGTATAAATAAATTTGAAATACTCACCCACTAGCCAATATCAAAATCTTCACCTTGCCATCTGAAGATTCAACTACACACTCCAATGGTAGATATCCAATTTCAGTGGATTCTTTGGCTAAAATTTAATTTTATCCGCTTATTTTAAACTATTCGTCGTTTTAAACAGTATTGTCATAAAGATGGATCTATCCGACAATTGTTGTCGACACTTTTAAAACCAACAGTTGCCAGCCAAGATACATCCACATTTTGCAAGAGACGGATAGAGAATAAGAAAAAAAAAAAAAAAAGAAAAAAAAAAAAAGCGATTCTTCGTACAACCAGGGCCATAATCCAGCGCCCCGAGTTCACAAAGCATTCTCAGGCTTAAGTTACGAATTTACTCAAGTTTCAATCACTGTTTATGAGAAATCTTTGATCAAGAAACCACTTTTCAGTTTCTTGATGTATTTGATACATAAAGTTTAATAAACTAAAAATGAGGCAAACAATTTTGAGTAAATTCTTAACTCGAGTCTAAGAATTCTTCGTGAACTCGGGGCCAGGAAGTTACGGTCTGAAATGCGCGAATATCGAAATGGACCGAGATATTTGGGATATAAAGATATTTTAAGTTTCATCAAAATCGGATATTTTACAGTTTCAAAATCGGATAAAATTTTGACTTCTAGAGTGTTCACAACCTTGGTATTACATACTTTTACAGTACTCGAGTACAAGGAGCGGCCATTTTGTCAGGCAGTTTCGATCCGGTTTTCGCGAAATTCGAAGTCAACCGTAATTAGGGTGTAACAGTGATACACTTAAAGGACAATATTGGTGTCAGTCATTACGTACGTGATAGAACTGGTTAAATACATTCCAAATATAATTTTAACACAGATCATTGCTACGGGAGACGTGTAACAAATACGTGAAGAAACGGGAAGTGACGCCAAACATGACAAACACGAGTTGTCCTATATTGTCCGATCGTTAATGTAAATCCGTCGGCTTTTCGGGTAGAAATCATGGAATAAGCTTTATTTTGTAGGTTTGATGTTTGATTACAAAAAACCAATGTTGACATTTTTTCTGAGTAGGTCTTCATAGTATGGGAGGCCATTATTTGAGGGTAGCCATTTTGCGATAATATTCCAACTTATTTTATTATTTTCAACTTATTTATAATGTTATCGACTGTGATTTGGCCATGTATTAATATTGGCGGCATTCATGACTATATTATATGATGATATTTCCAAGATGGCGCCCATTTTTAGAGGGGAAAATCGGTCGATGTGCTGATTTCGATTAAGTAGTAGTATTTGGTGTCAATATATTATATATGTTTTCGGGGTCACAAATTACATTCCCGACATTTACAACCTTGTAAAATGATCACATGTTCATATACTTAGCATGTAACCAAAATGGCGGGCATTTTTGGCGGGAAAATGAGACGATGTGCAGATTTTGACAAGTAGTCGTCGTTGGTGTCAATAGATATGTTTTCAAGGGCGCAGAATCAATTTCTGACATTTACAACCTTGTAAAATGATCACATGTTCACATATTTAGTATATTTCCAATATTGCTGCCACTTGTGACGGGAAAATCGGACGATGGGTTGATTTCGATTAAGTAGTTGTCTTTGGTGACAATATAAATGTTTTCGGGGAGGCAGATTCGATTTCTGTCATATACAACTACTTAAAATGGTCGTATGTTCAATTTAGCACATTTCCAAGATGGTGGAAATTTTTCTAAACACATTATTAGCATTTATTTATCATCGATTTTCCTGGGAAAGTAAAGCCTATTCCTGGCATGAAGGCAAACAGAATAGCGACAGCGTGGTGCTTACGCCACGTGCCCATCATGCGCCTGCAACGACCACGCCAAGCGCTTACTACAAGATCTTTCTACGCTCATGGCCAAGATCTGGCTGCGCGAAAAGTGTTCCCACCATGGTCTCGCGGTTACCAGTCAGACCGGGATACTTTCTCACTACACTCCTGTGACATGCCTACCAGGCGTAAGGCGTTCTGTCGTCACGCCTATAGAGACTGCCATTCTCCCCCGACCTCATTCACTTTCAAAACAGAAAACAACCAATAGTCAAGCAATCAAGAACATTTCATAGTTTTCTTGAAGTTTCCTCTTTGGGTGCTAGACTGGAGCTGATGTACGAGGCTTAGTATCTTGCATATATATATATATATACACACACACATGAAGGTCGTAACAGCATAGCAAGCTTATGGCCAGGAGCTTCGTTCCAGCCTGGCAGTAACGTGGATGATAGTGGTAGGGACGTGGCTGTGAGTGAAATACTTGCTAAGAACCCCTCATAGCATAGATTATGTTATCAACTGACTTCCAAGATGAATGGAAAACGAACATGTGGAATGATATTGCGCTTGAGTTCAACTACCACATTGTTGGATAATATACCTAATGGGTAAACTCGACACAGGCTTCCAGGAACATGCTACAAGCTTATACATAGCAGAATTGGATTCAGAAACCTTTACAGTAATGTATTTAGAAAACGTCCTACCAACAAAAATATGCTGAATGAGTGAACATACCATTTCATGCAGTTGTAAATGGCAGTAATCGAATCTGCGCCCCTGAAAAGCAAATATTGACACAAAAACGCGACTTCGTAATCAAAATCAGCACATCGTCCCATTTTCCCGCCCGACATGAAATCCATATTAGAAATATGATAAATATGTGAACATGTGGTAATTTTACAGTTGTAAATGGCAAAAATGGAATCTGCTCCCCCAAAAATATATCCTGTACCATATAGACGACTACAGTACTTATTCAATATCCGCACATCGTTCCATCTTCCCGCCAAAAATGTCTGTCATATTGTAAATGTGCAAAATAATCATTTTACACAGTTGTTACTGACCTAAATGGATCCTGTGCCTTTGAAAACATATTGACACCAACGACGACTACTTAATCAATATCAGCACATCGTCCTATTTTCCCCGCCATCTTGGAAATATGCTAAGTATATGAACATGTGATCATTTTACAAGGTTGTAAATGTCAGGAATGGAATCTGGTCCCGAAAACACATTGACACCAAGAACTACTACTTAATCGAAATCAGCACATCGTCCGATTTTCCCGCCAAAACTGGTCGCCATCTTGGAAATATACTGAAATGATGCAAAACAATCTGATGCATAATCATGAACCCTGCCAATATTAATACATTGCCAAATCAGTTGATATGTGATAACATTATAAATTAGTTGAAAATAAAATAAGTTGGAATATTATCGCAAAATGGCTACCCTCAAATAATGGCCTCCCATACTATGAAGATCTACTCAGAAAAAATGTCAACATTGGTTTTTTGTAATCAAACATCAAAACCTACAAAATAAAGCTTATTCCATGATTTCTACCCGAAAAGCCGATGATGGGAATTATATAACAGACTGAAGTAACGAGCTGTAAGAGACAAACGATTGAATTTCATTTCACTGAGAATTCCGTTAAGTTGAGGGTATCTCACAATTCAAAAATAGAATTGGCTGTCACTAGATAAGGGACACGAGAAAAAGTAGAAAAATCCCGTGCATTCTCCCGTTTTTATTCATTCTGTTCTTAATAAAAACATGGTAATGCACGGACTGTTTCTAATTTGTTCGTTATCTTTTATCTACTGACAGCCAATTCTTTTTTTGAATTGTCAGATATCCTCTCATCGTCTCATATAATAACTTTTCATCTTCAACGGAATTATCAGTGAAATGAAATTCGATCGTTTGTCTGTTACCGCTCGTTATATCAGTCTGTTATATACATGTAGAAGGACAACTCATGTTTGACGTCACTTCTCGTTTCTTCACGTGCTTGTTACACAACTCCAGTAGCAATGATCTGTTAAAATTATATTTGGGATGTATTTTACGAGCTCTATCACATATTTTATAATGACTGACACCAATATTGTCCTTTAAGACGTATTTTTAAAATCGTATAAAAGCGACTTCTAGAGAGGCCACAAGCTAAAAACACCATTTGTCGTACAATCAGTGGCCAAAATCCAAGAAGTTACAGTCCGATATGTGCAAATATCGATAGGCACTAATACCGTTGGATTATGATACAATACAAGTTTCATTAAAATCGGATAAAAGTTTTGACTTCTAGAGGGCCCACAACCTTGGTATTACATACAAGGAGCTGCCATTTTGGTAGGCAGTTTGGGACACATTTTTCCCCCCGGACGTGTAACGTAGATTTATTTAAAAGTTTTTTTTTTAAAATTCAATACATGTGACCTCTAGCGGGTCCACGAGCTAAACATGCGATCTTAAGATTAATCAGGGACCATAATCCAGGAAAGTTACGTTTGGATATGCGATTATCGAAAGAAACCAAGACCTTTGTGATATAAACATGCATTCCAAGTTTCATCAAAATCGTATCAAATTTGTGGCCTCTCCACTACCTTGATATACCTTATATTTATACTATTTGCGTACGAGGACCGGCCATTTTGTCCGACAGTTTTGGTCCGATTTTCACGATATTCGGGTTTTTTTTTAAATCGGATAATATGATCTGAGAGCGATCACAAGCTAAAAATGTGATATCAAACAATCAGGGGCCATACTCCAGGAAGTTAAGCTCGGATATGTGCGATTATCGAAAGTAATCAAGATCTTTGTGATCTTGTAAAGTTTCAAAATCGGATAAAAAAAATTCTAGATTTTTCGTACATTCAGGGGCCATAATCCATGCAGTTTCGATCCGATACATGCCAATATCAAACGGAACCAAGATATCTTGCAGATAAACCTATATTAGGGTGACCCACCATAAATAAATATCTCCAAATATCTCGACAATGTCACAATATTTATATATATATGCCAAGCCTCAAATCAGTTTCAGTTATAGTCTCTAAATAAACGATCATGTTGTACTTAATAAGCTATGACCATTAATCATCTATAAATAATAGACTGAAAACTGGTTCCAAGTGTCGTCCATAACATCCAGACACTTTTGAGTAAAAGGTTACGTGCCCTTGTTTTGAAATTAGTCTCGCTTAACCAATCTATCGACCATTCTACGTCTGATTGACAGGTCGGGATAATCAAGACTACTTTTTTACGAAAAACAAAGCTAGAACAAGAAATTGAATTTAGAAATAAGCCAATTAGACAACTCAATTGTTTTAAGAAACTTGTAAAAGTAAAATGAAACTACTGCTAGTATCATGTTCTTGTCTAACCCGAGAGTTTCAAGAGATATTATTTGTACTAAACCAAAAGATGCGGCTCTTAACGGTACAGTTAATGATAAAGCAATTTAAAAAATAAAAAACATAATTTCTAAAGCTGCTGTAATAACCAAGAAGCTAAATTTTGCTGCTATTCAAAATGTCAACAATAGATTTTTTACGGCTGTAATAGTTGATATATTTGTAGAGAATTGCACGTGCCATGGCTATTTATCGACTCGAAGAGAGTGCGGTGTAGTCAGAAATCAGTTCGAGACACGCAACTGAAGCGTGCACATTTAGCCGTGTCGAGACCAACTTTCTGTAGAGTGCACGGGTCACCCTACCTATAAGGTGTGACAAGTAGAGTGTCACAAATTGTGGACGGACGACGACAATATATATCCACATGAATATTCTCTGTTTTCCAGGATGCTCAGGAATAAGTGAACGGAGGCGGTACTACAAAAGCCGAAAAGACAAACCAGCGGAAAAGATACAATAGCCACATGATTGTGGTGTTTACTGTTTGAACGCTCAACCCTGTAATTGCTGAAGGACACCGTATTCACTTTACAGCTAGCCACATAAATTTGCAAAGTATTAACGGAAAGCGATATGGACTAAATATCCTCCCTCCATCGAAGCGACATTTTAGTTTGTGTAAAGGATTTGGGTCAAGTTTTTCCTTACTTGTCATATGGGTATGTAATTTGACTAAACTGTTAACTAAAATCGCTTCGTTTAATCTTTTATCACCAACGGCACTCATCACATAAATTTCGAAAACAGACTTGGCAACAGTTCCTTTAGGTACTACGACCATTTCTGCTGGTTTGTATCTGAAAGTTCCAATGGTATGTACATTAGTTATTTAAAAACAGTTAAATTAACACCATCTAGATTTACTCTTACTCGTTTAAAAACTGAAACGGGCAATTTAAGTGTAACAGCTAAACCTGATAAAATCACGCCCGGTCGTAAGTCCTGACGATCTAAGCGGCATTTCTTCCGAAAAATACCGGTGGGGGGGGGGGGGTCATACAAAAAAAATGTCGAGTTATTTGTATACTGTAGATAAATATGCATGATCTGGCAATTGAATATCTATTTTAGCTTCCAAGTTATAAACTAAGAATTTATTTACAAGCCCATAATCAACTTTGACCATCAGATGGCGAAGATAACGAATTAACACGGTTCGCCATCTCCAAAAACAAGTACCGTTGTTGCGATAAACCGTCAATGCCGCATCGTCAAAACTACAGAAGCAATTTGAATGAAATTTTAAATATATTTTGTATAACAGAACATTATGAATAACGTTCACCAGGTTTATCAACTGCAGTGTTTCGACGAGGGTACTCGCACCGTTATCTAGCAATGATATTCATTTTGCATTGTCTTTTTGATTATAGCAAGAGCGACCAGCTCTAACTTACGTAATGTATCTATAACAAAATACTCACTTTTCTTGTAGAGCAACATCAACGGATATGTTGGATTTGTATCTCATGAAAGAACATTCTATTAAAAATCGTTCATCATCAGCACTTTCAAATAGTTGATGTAATAATCTAGATTCCACTTTTAAACCATATATAGCTCGAGTCGCCGAAGATTGCTACAATACAATTTAAATGTTTACAGTAAACGTATAAGGTTCTCTAATCGGAGCTGCGAATTCAATTGCGAGCTATACTTGGATATTTCGGGTTTAATGTAACGCAATAATCAAAGCTCTTATGAAACTATGGCAGTGTTTGTTGGGAGGTGCGGGGTCGGACATTAGAAATGTCTACGAGTGACGTTACGCTTGTAAGTCAACATTCCAGTAGTTTGGGACCCCTCAAAAGAGGCAACACTGACGCATAGACAAACTCAGGACATAAGCTTTTATATATACTCAGCCAAATTAAAAACTTGACACTCGGGATTTTTGGGACTAGATTTTTAATATTTGGTTTAAGGCAACTATTTTAGTGTTATGATGTGCACAGACGACCTTGACATCAACAGAAAGTAAGAATACGTCTCGCCGAAAGTCCTTGACATTGATAACGTTCGTGATGTCACAGTACCACCCAAAATGACATTCACAGACTTGGAGAACAATCGGAATAAAGTGTTTAGTAACGATTGTGGCCTCCTCTAGCGTCTCGTACTGCCACACAACGTCTTCTCATGGATCTCAGAACATTAGTAAACACTACCCGAGGAAGACGTCGCCACTGCTTACCAAGAGCATGTTGAAGGTCCTGCAACGGCAGTGGTGGATTCACTTGCTGACGAACACGTCGACCCAGTTCGTCCCAGATGTGTTCAATAGGATTAAGGTCGGAGCTAAGCGACGGCCAATCAAGGACTTTGACACCGGCATATCTTAACAAATTCTGGGTAGCAATTGCTGTATGGGGTCGAGCATTGTCTTGTTGAAACGTTAGTCCAGGCCCATGTCTCTGCATAAACGGAAGAACAGGTTGCAAAATCTGATCCCTGTACTGGACAGCATTTAAGTTCCCTTGGACAACAACAAGTGGAGAACGTCCATGTGCACAAAAAGAAACCCCAAACCATGACGCTGCCGCCACCAAATCGGTCAACTTCTGACGCATACTTGAGCGTAACGTTCACTTCGTCTGCGGTACACTCAGGCCCTGCCATCGGCAAATCTCAAAGTGAATCGAGATTCGTCACTAAAGACAACCGAATTCCACTGTCTGAGTAAATCTTATGTCGTCGGTGGGCGATCAAAACCACGTATATCAATTTTGGCGCCAAAAACGTTTTTTACATGGTTAGAATCGTAAATTAATGGCGCGTCGAATGCTCTATTCGCGGTAGTTGTAATCCAGTTAGAACTCAAGTTATAGGCATGTGACTAAACATCGTATTCTGATTCGTGAAATTTTCTACAAACCAAAATGTCGTATCTTATATACGCCAATTTGTCATAAAACATCTTTCAAAGTCACGTGGTTTTTAAGAACCAAAAAGTCGTATCTCCTAATTGACATCAACGCAGGCTACAGGCTAACAAGGTAAGAATTTAATTTCACATTACTAAGTCTTAAGTTTTGTCTAACACAGCCTGTCCATTTTGACATAATAGTAGTATTTTGAATCTAAATGATAGAGGAATTCACGTTAGAAAGAGATACAACGTGTAAAACTGTGTCCCAAATCTAGATGAAAAAAAAAGAAAACAATAGTCTTGAACTTTTAGACACTCAAACGAACCAGCTTACTTAAGAATTTAATTTCACATTACTAAGTCTTAAGTTTTGTCAAACTGTTTTATTATTATTCTTATTTGTTTCAGGTGCCCAGTACAATGACGTATTCGAATCTTCTTTGTCAAGGGGGGAACGTATGCTTCAAATCTTCTTAAATTCGAATAACCTATTTACACAGATTATTTTTTAGGGTAATTTACCTTGTACACAGGATATTTTTTTTTATTGGCCGGGGGGGTGCGGGGTGCGGAGCAAATCGGGAAAAATCGGGGTGTCAGTGGTGGATTATGAAGCTTATCTGCATATAACACCCAATTTCATCAGCTATAGCTGACATAATACAAGGCAAATAACCTGAGCCATAATAACCAAGACATAATTCAAGGTAAGTAATCCAAGGCTATAATATCCACGACATAATTCAAGGTAAGCTACCCAGGGTCATAGCATCTACTATACAATTCCAGGTAAGTTTTCTGGTAGGTAAATAGCCTTGGATCGGTTCTGGTAGGTAAATATAGCCTTGGATAGGGATGATACTGACTACGCAACCTAAGATAAGATATCAAGTGTCGTGATATTTACTCCATAAACAGGAGTTATAAACAAAACCCAATGTACGTTTAGCCAGGAGCATGGAATCTATTAGAGAAAAGCTATCGAATTAGACTTTTCAAAAAATGTTGTGAAGACTTGTTCTAGGTACATCTTGTCTGACGATGATCGGCAGTAATTGGACGGCAATTTAGGTAAAGAGTCTAGAAATCTTTTAGCGGTTTTAACAATCCAACAAACAGTCGAACCATCTGTACACCATTTTTTCTCCGAAAGCAAAATTCGATAAAACATATTCTTGCAGACCTGTGGTCTGTCATTGTTTTTAATTAAGTGGTAATGGTAAATAGTTTGCTCTCTGTATGTCTTTTCTTCCGTTTCGCATACGGTTCTATCCTTGACATTACATTTCTTTACAAGATTTACTATGTCTACCTCTGCCATCTGGCACATCTAGTCAAGCATCTAGTCGGAGATTTACTATAAATAATGGACGACTTAACGACATTTCAAAACCCTCTACAGACCCCTTAGTAATATGTAGCTGTGATCATGAGTTAGATTGGCTGTCTTCTTATCTGGCCCCAGCACCACGTGCAGTTACTAACACGTACCTTGCTCCAACACCACCTCATGCAACCAGTACTTACCATGTTTCAACATCATATCCAGGCCCAAGAACTTACCAGTCCTCAGTGCAACTTCGTGAAACCAGTACTTACCTGCCCCAGCACCACCTCCAATAACCAATAATTACTTCGCTCCAGAACCATCACCACTAATCAGTATTCATCCCGCTCCGGCAACACATCAAGTAAATGGTACTTACATACCTTTAGCACCCCCCCACCCCAGTAACCAGTACTTACATTCCTTTACCACCTCTAATAAACAGTAGTCACATCCCTCAGATTCACCTCTGGTAACCAGCACTTACCTCGCTCAAGCACCACCTATAGTAACAAATACTTTACATCCCTTCGGCATCACCTCTGGTAACCAATACTTACCTCGCTCAAGCACCACCTCTAGTAACCGATACTTACATCCCTTCAGCATCACCTTCGGTAACTAGTACTTGCCTCGCTCAGGCACAAGCTCTAGTAACCTGTACTTACAACCCTCCAGCATCACCTTAGGTAACTAGTACATACCTTGCTCAAAGACCACCTCTAGTAACCGGTACTTACAAACCCCCAGCATCACTTCCAGAAACTAGTACTTACCTCGCTCAAGCACCACCTCTAGTAACCGGCACTTACAATCCCCAGCATCACTTCCAGGAACTAGTTCTTACCTCGCCCAAGCAGACAAATTCTACACTCTTCGTCATCGTTGGGGAGTCGGTCCTTGCTTCCACACAAACTACAAATATTTACAATGCTTCAGCATCAACACAGTCTAATCATCTGTTGACAGTTACAGGATTGCCATCGTCAGACATTTCAGCCACAGTCGAGTCGGTCGCAATTTCAATTGAAGAAAACAAAGCAATAGAATCCGCTGAAGAATCAATATCAGCTGAGATACTAAAAAGAGCTAAAAAGGGTGCTCTGATCCAGCAGTTTGGCTTAAGAATAACAACCAACTATTACGTATGCATGGTAAACCATACATGGGTTTAGCTCATAATGTTGGACATTACAAATATGCTGCTAAGAGATCAGGAAATATGCTGCTAAGAGATCAGGAAAAACACTTACACTATCGTCCTGTACATCAAAGTGTAAAGCTCCAAATCCTAGCAAATTATGTTCAAAATTTACAGAGGATGACAGACGTAGTCTATTTGAAGCATTCTGGAAGATGAGTTGGGACCAAAAAGAGGTATACATAGTAAATCTTGTAAAGAAATGTAATGTCAAGGATAGAACCGTATGCGAAACGGAAGAAAAGACATACAGAAAGTAAACTACTTACCATTACCACTTAATTAAAAACAATGACAGACTACAGGTCTGCAAGAATATGTTCTTATCGACGTTTGCTCTCGGAGAAAAAATGGTGTACAGTTGGTTCGACCGTTCCAAAAACGGTACAACACCTGACTCGACCGAAAAGAGAAAAAAAATCCAAGAATAGAGAATCGTCTACATATTTAACCGCTAAAAGATTTCTAGACTCTTTATCTAAATTGCCGTCCCATTACTGCCGATCATCGTCAGACAAGATGTACCTAGAACAAGTCTTCACAACATTTTTTGAAAAGTCTAATTCGATAGCTTCTCTCTAATAGATTCCATGCTCTTGGCTAAACGTACATTGGGTTTTGTTTATAACTCCTGTTTATGGAGTAAATATCACGACACTTGATATCTTATCTTAGGTTGCGTAGTCAGTATCATCCCTATCCAAGGCTATATTTACCTACCAGAACCGATCCAAGACTATTTACCTTCCAGACAACTTACCTGAAATTGTGTAGTAGATGCTATGACCCTGGGTACCTTGAATTATGTCGTGGATATTGTAGCCTTGGATTACTTACCTTGAATTATGTCTTGGATATTATGGCTCAGGGTTATTTGCCTTGAATTATGTCAGCTACAGCTGATGAAATTGAGTGTTATATTCGGGTGCAGATAAGCTTCACAATCCATACTGACACCCCGATTTTTCCCGATTTGCTCCGCACCCCCCCCCCCCCCTCCCGGCCGATAAAAAAATATCCTGCCTCCGCCACTGTACTAGGTAAATTACCCTAAAAAATAACCTGTGTAAATAGGTTATTAAGAACAAAACGTCGTATATACTCAGAACAGGCTTATAGTTTGTGAACAGAACGTCGTATATCACATACGCCGCCATTTCACAAGACAAAATGTCGTATATAGCCACAGCACATAAACCCCTAAAATTATCCCAAAAATAACCTTCCCATATTAAATTTTCCATAATTTAGTTCATAAATTAGAAATATAATCACATTCAATAAAAAATCCGGGACCGCAGACAGTTTTTTGTTTCCCCTGTATACTTAATAAAATCCGATATACGAGGTTTTGATCGCCCACCGACGATGTGTTTTGTGGCCAACACAAGTCGGTTACGGCGATGAAGAGGTGTCAATATTGGTCCATTATAGGGCCTCCGAGCTCGAAGACCAGCAGCCTGCAAGCGATTTCGAACAGTTTGTGCAGTTACCCTTCCACCAAACATCTCTTTACTTGTGGAGGTTGCAGTGAAATCTGTTTCTAAGATGACGTAATCGTATTGCTTGATCTTCCTGAGTGACGTCACACGTGGCGCTCCCGCCCTTGGGCGGTCGGCAATAGTTCCAGTTTGAAGCACTCTCATTCTAAGATTAATTATTGTCTGGGGTGAACAATTAAAGGCTCTTGCAACAGTGACCACAGACTGACCAGCATAGAGCCTACCTACAGCACGTAGACGTCCTACATTTGAAAGGCGCGGCAATTTCTAACAAAGATGAAAATAACAATTTTAATTTGTTTTTCCAGTTCAAGTTACGTGTGCGTGTTCAGTTTAAGCAAACTTACTTGCATCGATTGACCTCACGAGTTTGTGTTTGCACGTGTTTCAGGTTTTTCATCTTTGTATGCTCAAAAGTCACGTGATCCACGTGACTTTACAATTATGAAATTAAAAGGCTTCTTACTATCGTTAGAAACACTTTAAAATTTATTTGACTTACCAGAAAAAAAAATTGTTGAAATTCAGTGTCAAGTTTTTAATTTGGCTGAGTATATATTATATATACACACACAGAGAGAGAAAGTAGAATGCTCTCAGCCGCAGGTGATACTACTTAATATTCCATTACAATCTAACCAGACAAGGCTTTTAATAAACAATGACATTTTATAACATTAGGTTTATTCTTCGATTTGAATAGGCACAAAATTGGACTAAGTTCATAACGCATAAAAGCCTATTGTCACGAGGTGGAACATCTCTAGGAGAAAACAGGCACCAAGCAAAAAATGCTTTTAAATTTTTCGTGGAAGAATAGCAGGAAAACAGACTGGATAAAAGTAAGATTTAACAGGATTATAAATAAGTGAGAATTTCAGTTACTTTTTGATCTCGTATTTTTGTTTTTTTTATTTATTTTTTTGTTAGTGTTTCTGAATTACGCCTGCCCATGATAAGCGGTTTTCGTGGGTCGGACCCAACTTAACCACGATACAAATCTAAAATGGCTTGCCTGCTGTAAACAAAACAAAAATCACGAAATTCGGATGTCCATTGTCTCGACCTCTGCGCATGTCACGAAAAAATTAAAGCTGAAATAGAAAGTTAGGGCTTATGGTGGAAAATCTCCGAAACAAACATCTTTTATTCCACATTTAGACCGACTTATTCTCAAACGAAAAAAAAAATGAAATAGAAATGATACATCTCCATTTTAAAGTGATGCCTTACCTGAAATTTGCATTTATCAGTGGTATTGTAATAAACGCTCAGTTTAAAACTAGCTGTAGAAATATCTTCTTTAAATACACAAGGAGGGGCTAAGGCACCATAACCAATAACAGCAACGGCATCACCAATATAAGTTATAACAGCCGGCGTATTCTTGACATGATCTCCGCATTCAACATTTACTGTTAAAAATAGAGATCAAGATGGTGACTATATTTCGGAGCCACCTCATTTAAAAATGAAAACGAATGTTACCATTAAATCTAATTTAATCGTCCATGAACTTGTCCAGACCCCTGCATATATATATACATGTATGTAACCGAACATCTAATGAAGACGTTTAGAATTTCTATGTAATCCATACAATATAACTAATTTAAATGGCTACACAAAGTTCCACTGACTTTAGACCGGACCATTTCACCGAGTTCGATCAGGTTCAAGTATTTTTTTTATATTATTATTTCATTTCGAACATCCAATATATCGAACGTGCATTATGTCCATCTACAGTGAACCATCACTTTTTATACTCCAGTGTGAGCAATTGACAATTTTAAAAATTGCCACTAACGTGGTTACCTCTGTAGCTTAAAGCGAGAATTTCATATTTACTAAGAAAGTCAAAACATAATTATTTCTATGTCTTTTGCTCAATAGGTTATCAACTCACTATTATACGATCATAGGTATCATTCTCACTTAAAAAAACATTCACCCCGGAAATAACACAATTACCTCCCTTGTTTTCCTATTCCCCCCCCCCCCCCATTGAATAGCTATCTTCAAACTTTGGAATTTAAAGTTGAAAATGATATTTTTGCCAATTTCTCAACTGGCAATAGTGAATTATAGGATTAATAGAATTATTCTTTAACAAGGTAGGACTGTTTATAGATACCATCTCGTTTAAGGCTTTATTTTAATAAATTTTAAAAATATAACTTAAAAATATGAAATTGTAACTTTAATCCGCTTTCTTTTGAGTCTGTATGAATCGAATTCTGGAATATATTTAACTTTGAACAAACGAAATTTCTATCTGCCCAAACTACATGTAAGTAGTTTAGCTTGGGTCTATATAGTTTAGTGTTGGACACTTTGTTATATTAAAATATACGGGACACCATTCTATTAAAATATACTCACAAGTTGTAGATGGTAGCTTACAGTAAACCGTAGAAACCTGGAAGAACATCGGTCTAGATTGAAGAATGTTATATTAACATACATGTATTTACAATTCCATCTCAAGACCGGGCTCGAAGTCCCCATACAAAGAAAACGGGTTCAAAAAGTCCTTAATAAGACGCATTATGGAAGACCTAAATCGGCCTATTAAAAAGTGTTTTCTAAGCTTTAAATATTTACATTTTTAGACATTATTCATAATCAACTCTAGGTCACTCAATGGCTCAATATATTGAATGGATTAGAACTGTCATTCAACAATTTAATGATACAATGGCTAATCGCGACTTAAAAACAAATCAAATTCAAACTCAGCTTCGCTCAAAATAAAGTAATTGGACTGAATTTTTAATTTTATTGTGGTTTTTTTCTCATTCGACATAATGCATCTTTCAAAAATTTCGGTGAAAAATATGGCACGTTTCAAGTTTCTTCAAACCATTTTTCTAAATCTAAATGAACCTAGACAGTAGGGACTTTTGGCAAGCGGATTTTCTCCCCCATCCGTATCATGTGATACGCTGCTTCAATGTAGTTTTAGAGTTTTGGCAGATTTTCACGCTATGAGTTGCGGAGCCGAGCCTAGTTATATTACAGCATGATGGCAGTTATCTACCAAGATTACCACCAGTACCAGTCGAGTGCTTAGCCTACAAATTCCTGGAGGAAGTAAAGTCGTTCCCTAAATTTAGCAGATAGATCAACCAGCATGCAGACAGGAAAAATATGAATATTCAAAGTAAACTCAATCAAAAATAATGATTAAATTCTAGTCTTTATCATGGTTAAAATCACAAATATATACAGATTCATAAAAAAGCTATGACAAGATTTTAGCGTGTAAAAGTAGCAAAAAAGATGGTAAAAAGGAGAAGGTGCCATACGGACCTTTTCCGTATGAAAGCTGTTCGATACGTGCTGTCGTATCCGTGTGCCGTATCACATGAGAAATGCATTGATGGTTTCACGCACAAAATCGATACGGTGCGCGATCCGACCAGGAATTTACGCTTGCCAAAAGTCTTTAGTTATTGATTTGTCCATATACAGCCTCCATTTTAAATTTGCCTCATTTCCGTATAACAGCCGATTCAAGTGTCTAAAAAGATTTTTCTAAACCTAAATCCAGTATAATTACTTACCAGTAAACCAGCGATAGAAGCTAAAATATGAACATGCATCTTTAAACTCTGAAAAGATATAAATAGAAAATGAAATTTCCTGGATCGTATTGGCCGAATCTTATAGCCTTTGTCAATTTTTTTTTATGTATTCCCTTGTTCTATGGATGAAGCGTAGACAGGTGAAGCATCCATTGTAATCCTGTATAAGGCATTCCTGCACAACCAAAAAACCTTTTCAAAACATTAATATCAACTGTGATTCGGTTCATAATCTATGACCAGTTGGCTTGCGGATACAATATAATCTCTAACATTTATAAACATTTATGTGCTAAGTCTTCGCCACTGAAGTTCATTTAAACGTGAAAGCATTCACAACTTCGTTATACACGAAGACATAACCCACATGAAAACAAACACATGAAATTATAAATCTCTGCTAATACCTTCGCTATTTCCACCTCTTTGCACTCACAGAAACAACATTCGTCTTTTTATACTCGGGACTTGCACGTGCTGCGTGTGGGCGTTAACTAGGGCGAGTCAGGTTTGCGTTTAAGCGATACCGATGAGATAAAAACCATACGAAACTTACGATGTCTGCCTACAATTAGCTCCTACTGATAACAGACTAGATGCCGGTTGACGGTCATTTTTTTTTATAAACAATATTTTTATTCAGGATGTCTGAATGGGATTGGGGAACAGGCTTAGCCCATGTTAAACCTCTCTCCCTAGATAATATACATAAACAAAGAAACAAAATGGGTGTATATACACAGTTAAAATGACAAACACATACATATATAAGTGTAAATACATATATAATGAGATGGATGGAAATGTACAATATATACTATAGGTTACATGGTATGTAAATTTAAAATTAATAGTGTAAACTAAACAACTTGTAAGCAAGATTAAAAATTCTGTTTGACATATCAATAAACTTGTGGACTTGGTTAAAAATATTGTTGTTTTTTTTAAACCATGTCCACAAGTTTATTGATATGTCATTTTAATTCCTACATTAACGAGTTTAGTCGAAAACAATAAGATATGCTTCCAGAATTTTGGGAAATATTTATTCCGCTTGAATTATCGTATTAATCAAATTGACCATGGTTTAGTTAGTCTATGTGTGTATGAGAGATCTAAAACGATACACGAGTTTTTCAATTTTCGACAATTTTATTGAATTCGACATTTTCTTTACATTACATTCAAGGCAGAGATCTATTCTTAAAGACTCTATGTGTGACTTTAGCGTTATATATCCCCTTGCAAACTACGCCGCTATTATGAAAGTTTAATCTGTAACAGGAATCTTTCCAAAAATTCAATTCGGTATAATATACCAAATTTAAACGATTTATATTGCTCCATATGTAACGAGGCAGTTGGTATCTTTGTTGCTGTTAACTATATTAATGGCCATGTATTTACAACAAAGATACCTATCAGACGACCTCTCTTGTCAAGTGACCATAAGGCTGGACGACTTGCATGGTGTCGAGCACGTCATCATGGAACATGGCATCATGGCGAAATATCCACTGGTCGGATCAGAGTCACTTTTCCTCCTTCTTCATGACGGATAGCAGAGAGCGGGTCTGGCGACATGTCAACATGGCATATACATAGAGGTACATCCTAAGCTTCCGCTACTAACAGATAGAGGTAATCTTATTGACCAACGGTACCAAAGAGAGATCTTGGAATGGTTGTAGTGCCCCACTTTGACAATCATCGACTTGTGGACAACGCTAGACTACTCTTCACAAGGAGTCCATTGCTACACTACCTTGGTCAGTCTGCTGGGACATTCGTGGGCGTAAAATCGAGAGCGATTTGCAACATTGGAGATGTAAAAGCACTAACAACATAGCACTGACTTTTGACTCGAATTTTCCCCGTCATATAGAGAGGGATTTCTCGGGCCATCGCTTCCGGAATATGCAGTAGATGCAAAGATGAATTTTATTTATTTTAAATATGGACCTCTGGCCACTCTCGGTTAATAATTCCTTCGAGGAATAATCATTGGCCACCGGTAAATTATAAAGCCCAAAAGCTAATTGTCTCCGACGTTTCAGAATCCAAATGTATATTTTCGCTAATTGTCGCCAGGCCATGGTAGACAACTTTGAGTTACTTAATCTATGGGGAAGGGGATTTAGCGTTTTAAGAGTTACGTGATTAATAGTAGGATCACCTTACCAATGTCGTGGATCCTCCGATTTCCTGCCACTACTAAAGATTCCTAAAACTGAACCATATGTTAGTCCTGAAATGACCTAGTTTGTGTCGAGTGGAGGATAATCTCTCTCTCTCTCTCTCTCTCTCTCTCTCTCTTCTAAAACTGTCGATTGGTGACACAACTTGTATAGTATGGCGGGGTATCGGGTTCAAAATGCAATCAAGAGTAAACAGTAGAAAGTCAAAAGTAAAAAGCAGAAAATCTGAAGTAAACGGAAACATTCTCATCTAAAAGTTTATCTGTATGGTAAAAACCTGTAAGTTTGTGCATTTAATCTGCAAAAACTTACTTCAAGCTTTTCAACTTTTCATCGTCATAATCCTACTTTCATGGTCAGAATTTCTACTTTCTACAATCAACTTATGACTTTTCACTTTCTGCTTTTCACTTTCTACTGTCAACTTTTGATTTTCGACTTTCTTCTTCAGATTTTCTACTCACGAGTTTCTAACGCAGATTTTCTCCACTACTATGGTGGCTGATGGTGGCCATGTATCCCGACAACACGACATAACGACAGTATTAGTGAGAGCATACGACAAAGTAGACCTGGATATTGGATTGTTGTAACGTGGTGTTTTAAAGGACAATATTGGTGTCAGTCATTATAAAATATGTGATAGAACTGGTTAAATACATTCCAAACATAATTTTAACACAGAGATCAATGCTACGGGAGATGTGTAACAAGCACTTGAAGAAACGGGGAGGGACGACAAACATGACAAAGACGAGTTATCCTACTATATAACTGAATGAAGTAACGAGCGATAACAGACACGCGATCGAATTTCATTTCATTGATAATTCAGTTGAAGATAAAAAGTTATTATATGAGACGGTGAGAGGATATCTGACAATTCAAAAAAAAGAATTGGCTGTCATTAGATAAAAGATAACGAACAAATTAGAAAAAGTCCGTGCATTACCATGTTTTATTAAGAACAGAATGAATAAAAACGGGGGAATGCACGAATTTTTTCTATTTTTCTTGTTTTCCCCTATCTAGTGACAGCCAATTCTATTTTTGAATTGTGAGATACCCTCCCACCGTCCCATATAATAACTTTTCAACTTCAACTGAATTATCAGTGAAATGAAATTCGATTGTTTGTCTGTTATCGCTCGTTTCTTCAATCAGATATATAGAAGGATAACTCGTGTTTGTCATGTTTGGCGTCACTTCCCGTTTCTTCACGTGCTTGTTACACATCTCCCGTAGCAATGATCTCTGTGTTAAAATGATATTTGGAATGTATTTAACCAGTTCTATCACATATTTTATAATGACTGACACCAATATTGTTCTTTAATACTATAGGGATTATTTTAGTTCTAGGAAAGGTGCTCTGTTTAATATATTGAAGTGGTTAATCAAGTCGGCTAAGTAGGTATTTTGCAAGATTCAAATTTCGTAGACTAACTCACAGACAGTCCCTGCCATCATCAATTGCTGAAAGTAGGGTACTATTGTCCCGCCATCTCGTGCACCGATTAGTCCAATTAAATAGAATATTGTTGTCGTAAAACGGTGCCCATACGAAACACTTACGCAAAAATGATAATTGTCCCACCCTAATAGCAGACACATCTATACGTTCTATATAAGAAAGAGCGAGGTTAAATTTCCTTTCAGACACCATTCGGAGTTCAGGGGAACAGAATACGACGTGCCGAAATAGAGACAATATGTAGTGTTTCAGCCGTTAGGTCTGAATGCTAGGCTTGTTAAACTGAGACTGCAAATATTATAATAACTCATAATGTACTATCATAGATGTTGTAGTTTGCTGTATAAACTTTGATAAACTTAGTTACAACATAAACAGTGTTCCAAAGTCGGTTAATTCATCAATAAAATAGTTACGCACAACGTAACGTGAAGAATTTAATAAGGTCTGTTAAAGTCGATAAGAGCACCACACCAACAATGAACGCTCCTACCAATATGGAAGTAGCGTGCTAACGCTTTTGCACCAAATTAAGACTACACCATAAGTCGCTGCTGGGGTTTAGGATTAATAACTCCACAAATAAAACAGTTTGGATCTGCAGCATTTACTCAACGGGAACGGTACGATTCCACCAAAGTGGGCGACTAAGTTCCTGGTCTATAAAACCTTATCTAAAATGTGTGCATTATTTTTCTAAATACTTTATTATTTAATAATTAACACTGTTTTGGGTTTGATATAATTTAAGGGTGGCTAAGTTAGTAAGACGCTGGCTCGCTAGCCTGGAGGTCGCGGGTTCGCTCCCGCTGCAGGCTGAGAAAGTTCAACGGGTTTACCCTCGTCAAATGGTGCAGGACGTAGGGCCGGGCAAGGACAGTTATCTAGACCCTTGGCAATTGGAATTCGATATACGCGTAGACCGTGGCGCCAGTGTCCGGGCAAAGTTTTCCCTCATAGCACACTGCATGGTGTATGCCCGTCTTCATTAACCAAATCGGAGCAGAACAGTAGGACGTTAAACCCTGTTTCATTTCATTGACAATGGTGGCCTTGTTATCTTCTGCCCAGGAGTTGCAGCTTCTAAAATCCCGGTATAAACCATCACCCCAATTATCTAGAAGCATTTACAGACGTAATCGAAGAATTAAGACAGCTAACTAGCTTTTGTTCTACTGCTGTTTAAGAAAACAAATAATTAATCAACATATATCTCTTTTGTACCGGCATAGTTTATATTTCTCTTCTGAGCGTCCTGTATAATCCCGTCTTCATTAGTTTGGTTGGTGCAGAAAAGTAGAACTTAAACTTCATTCATTCATCAGGTAATTCGACTTACAATAATTCTGGCATAATTATGTATTTCTGTGTGTTACAGAACGAGACTAAGGCGATAAGAATAGCACGTTACGACAATCACACGATGATATCCAAATCTATTTTGCCGTATACTCTCTAATACTGCCGTGATGCGTTATGAAAAGGGTGAAAATAACATGGCCACCATCAGCTACTATAGTATTATTTGAGAAAATCTGCAGTAGAGAATCTGTAAAAAGTATTAAGCCGAAAATCGAAAGTCTCAAGTAGATAGTATAAATTATGTCCATGAAGGTAGAATACTGACGGTTTAAAGTTGAAGAGCTTGATTTTGTTTCCACCATTGAAATACCCCTTTTAGAAAAGACTTTTCCCGTATACTTTTCTTTTTCTACTTTCGACTTTAAATTTTCTGCTTTTTACTCTAAGTCGCATTTTGAAACCGATACCCCACCATAGGGTATAACTCCGCGATAACTATCAAGGTGAAGGAATTCTCGACTCGTAACTCATGCCGTCTCGCCACCTACGGTTTGGCCATATGAAATGAAATGAGGTTTAACGTCTTAACAGTGTACTACTTGAGAAATCGTCACAGGACAGCAGCGCTATCGCTTACTCTTATTTCCAATTCCCAAATTCACGGGTTATTTTAAGTACATTGTCAAGGGGAACCCACGCTGGAAAATTTACTTTCACGGCCAACACCTGGAGTTAAGCCCAGACCAGCTGGTTAGCGAACCTGCGCTGGACTCACAGCGGCTCTACGTTTCGCCACTATCCGGGGGAATACCCCATTCCGAAACCCTTGTGTCCCCCTCAATCTGTTACCGAGTGGTAAGCTTCCTTTTGTTAACCGGTTTCCGTAGTAATTTTTATAGTTCTGTTCCTCGCAAGGCATTATGTGTTACATCAAAAGGTCGTTTAATGTTGTAGCCTACCGTTACACCATGATCGACTGTCACATTGAAGGAAATGTTTCATGTATATCCCGTTTGGATAGGGTTTATAACATTTTAAAAATTCAATCATAGTATGGTAGATGTATGTCAACACAAAGGTCACGCCCCGTATACCTTTGGCAGTGGGCCGATGCAGCAATCCAAACCAAAACACAAATCAAAGTCATTCCCGGGATTAGAAAGTCTGTAAATGGTATTTTATATTTAGAAATATGCTATGTGTGTGTGTCCCGGCTTGGATACAAAAAAGGCATATCATTTCTATATAGCGAGCGCATAGATCGATGATATTTAAATTAAACATATGAATTGAACCATTTTTGTACTGATATTCCTATTAGAGATTGTCTTTCACAATATTGTAGTTTCAAGGGATTACCATTGCTTGAATTGAACCATTTTTGTACTGATATTCCTATTAGAGATTGTCTTTCACAATATTGTAGTTTCAAGGGATTACCATTGCTTAAAATGACCAATCGAGACTAGGCTAATGTTAATTAGTTGTGTTCCTAATCGGTTCTTGCAAACTCTCTTGGTAGAACAACATTTGTAATACAGCAACGTTTCCGGATGACAGATGCACCCAAATGGTGTAAACAATACCCGAACCCGAACCGCTTAACTCTGAACAAAAAACATTATTGGCAATATTAGAATAACAATTACTGAAATGATAGGATTAAGTTTTGAAATTTGATTTAAGAACCGATTTCTAATCCTTGGATACCCCACGAAATCCCATTTAAATCTGATGACCGGTGATCAATCGGGCTTTTGCTGAAGATACGCCACGGGTTAATTTATTTTCTGGCTAAATGGAACCCGTGTGGAGGATCGGGTTGCTACCGAGAAACAGTAAGTATATATAGAGAGGAAAATGGGGGTTTAACGTTAACCTGACACAAACTAGGTCATTTCGGGATAAAATTTGTTCGATTTTATTTCAATAATTCGCTTGTTCTAAGGGATCTTTAGCAATGTGAGGAATCGGAAGACCTGGAGAAAATCCACGTTGTTGGACAGGCGACTAACCCTGATCACTAAGATGTCACTGTCCTTACCCTGTATATCGCATCAACGTATTATTTCGTCACGCAGACAGTGGCTGAACCCAAACTAGTTTATTTCATTAATCTACTATCAACGAGGGTTCGTCCTCTTCCTAGTCGTGACAACAGAAACGGTTATAACTACAACAGCTATCAGCACAATTCCTGTTACGAAAAGGACGGCAACATAAACTGGAATCTTTTCCATTTCTAGTAGATCAGTTTCCTCTGAAATATAAAATTAAATTGTTTTACGTAAGCAGTGCGAAATACCGAAAACAAGATTAGGCAGGAAAACACAGCGATGACCCTAGTCTGTCAAATAAAAGCCTTTAGTCGAAAAGCTTGAATTTATCTAAGCCACCTCATAGAATAAATAGAAATACATGTGGTAATAATATATCAGGTATTATATAAACTGAAACACGAAAATCCACTATTTTTAATCTTTTGATGGTTCCACCTTATTGAAAATCAAGGTTTTATAGTGAAGGCATGGAGTAAAAGGGTGGCTTTTAAAAAAGCTTTCGGCCAATATCCAGTTATGTGGACGGTCCTTTACAATAATTCAAAAAGCACATCTATATATTCAAATAACTGACTTAAGTAACAAGTGGTAACAGATACACGGGCTGATGTCTGCTCACTGACAATTCCTTCGAAGATCAAAAGTTATATAAAAATATGAGAGGATATCTGGCAATTAACATGTTTTTATTAAGTATAGAATGAATAAAAACAAAGGAATATATGGGCTATTTCTATTTTTCTCGTTTTATACGGGCTATTTGTATTTTATATAGCAGGATAACTCGTGTTTTTCTTTTGCTTTCGTCACTTCCGTTTCTTCAAAAATCTTAGTTACGCATCTCTCGTAGCAATGATTTCTGCGTTAAATTTATATTTAGAACGTGTTTAACCAGTTCTATCACATATGTGATGATAGCTGACACCAATAGTGTCCTTTAATTAGAAACTTTCATATTTACTGCTCAATAGTCATGTAGATGCCGAAATGTCGAGAACACTTACCCTCATCTGGTATTTTGACAGCAAGATCTGAGCGTAAAACTCCACTGCTTCCATCACTGAGTAGACCTAAAGAATTGTACTGTAAACCATCTACACTTCTTCGACGACGACGACGTGTTTTACTAGCCGCAGCACAAGAACTCTGAAAAGTATAATAAAACTCATCAGTGGTGTATCAAATATACTAAAGTCAACAATACTTAATGCTATAGATACGTGAAAAGAAAAAAAGAGTAAATTTGAATTGTATCCAAGCCATCAAATGTATAAGAAACAAACTGATTTGTAGCACATTAATGCCAAGCAGCAATTTTATACAAACATACATGTATTGTCGCCCCTGCCCATCCACAATTTGTGGACACTGTACAGGTCACAAGTTTTATTCGATTTTGACGAAACTTGACATATGGGTTTATCTCCCACAGACCTCGGTTCCTTTCGATATTGGCATGTATCGGACAGTAATTTCATGGATTATTACCCCCGATTGTCCGGAAATACAATTTTTATCTGATTTTAATGAAAATTAAAAAGTTTATAACTCAAAGATCTCGGTTCCTTTCGATATTGGTATTTATGTGACAGTAATTTCCAGGATTAAATGGCTCCTGATTGAACCGGAAATCAAATTTTGAGCTTCCCGACAAAATGGCCGACAAATAGTGTAAAAGTATGTAATATCAAGGTTGTGAACCCTCTAGGAGTCAGTTTTTATCCGATTTTTCGGAACAAATAACCTTTACTGCGCAGACGCTTTGTTTTCAAGGGTTACGCCGCATTTTTATTTGACGGCGTCCATATCTTAAACTTTGATTTTCTAGACATCGTTTGAAACACTGATCAGCAGTGAATATTCGTTAGGCCGCTAATATCACTGAGAGGTATAACATCAGTGGAGTTAATGAGCTCGCAATTCGCAATATTAACTCTTTTTTTTAAGTAATAGAAACATAAATAAAGTATTTCCTATTAAAAGTAAATGGGTATATAAAATGAGCAAAAGGCGCCATTCTGTCCGGACTAGTTCACGTTATGTAAACATTGCCGGCGCTATCGAGCCAATTATGTGACGTCACACGTACAATGCCTATTAACTTTGTAAAGGTCAACCATCATAGAGAGTTCTAAGGCCTTTGAAATACCTTTGTAAAACAGATTGATCGTTTGAATCAATATTTATTTAAAGACATGCAAACAGAATGTTGAGTTGTAAGGGGCTACATAAAATCCGTACCATCACTGGATTATTATTTGGTGATATCTTTGGTGCATGTCCTCCGATTCTTTTTGTCAGATTTTGTATGAATAATACCAATACAGAAATATATATATAAAGGCACAGAGATGGTGCTTATATTGGATGCACTAACTAATTAAGATCCTGGTGATGGCCGAGAACATTTCTCTGGATTGCCCATTCTGCTCCCTTGGCAGAGAGAGAGAGAGAGAGAAAAGGGGTTTAACGTCCACTCGACACAAACTAGGTCATTTCGGGACTAACATATGGTTTTAATTTTATTTCATTAATTCGCTTGCGCATAGGGGTCTTTAGCAGTGGGAGGAAACCGGAGGACCCAGAGAAAACCCACGAGGTTGGACAGGCGACCCTACTCCTTGTCACGTACAACCCGGGATTTGCTCCCTTGACAGTGGTGCTACGTGGAGGGGTGGCAAGCAGTATCTTGTCATTCGGATGGGACGAAAAATATGACCCGTGTACACTTTGGCAGTGTGACCTCGCACAAAGCATGGGGTATGCCGGTCCTCATTAGCTCGAATGGTAGAGAAACCTAGGACGTTGGAACTTTTATTTAACTGAATATTTAAACTATACTTACACCATTACAAGAACCTTGACAAACTACAAAGCTACATCTGAATATGATGCCTTGCTGTTTGGATATACGGAACATTCGGAACTTTGGGCTATCGCCATAAATTCCATTCATTTGGAAGCCTTGGTTTTTCTTCCATGGAAACCCTGTACCACATCTAAAATAAATGTATAATGTACATGACAATTACTAGAATAATCTTAAAATACATAAATTAAATATTCGAGTCCCATACTGGTCATTAATGTGTTCGATACTGAACTTCGAGGAATACTCGTGAATAACTATCGCGTCTTCGCCCAGTTACCAATTTCTATCATGAAAACGATTTTCGCTTCGAATTTTGATATGAATTAAACATCCATTATGCAAGAGCTAAATCTGCCTATTGCAGGTCTTTCTTTGGGCCTGAAATGTTATCTAAATTATGAATTAATTGGACATTAACTTATCCAGACCATAATCAACTCTTGATGCCTATGATATAATATTTACTGGATTTGAATACATTTTGTGATAGATAATTTAACGGTAAAAAAGTATAATCGAGACTTATCATGCCAACGTTAGTAATGACGACCGAGACTAGACATGAACTCTTTTTTTTTGAAAAAAACTTTTATACCGAGAACTGTCAGCTCTATCTAACCTGTTTTCCTTATTTGCAGATTGTCAATTCGTGTTAAATGCAAAGGAAAAGGTGCTTCGCCTTACTGACAAAGATTGTTGGTAAAAAGAGAATATTTAGGGAGATGTGATCAAATCTCCACCCTCCCAGGCCTAACATAAGACCTTAAATGGGTTGATTAAACAGAACTACATACATTTAAAAAGGTTACAATGCATTACTGTAAGTTAAGGTGCGTACCCACTAGCTAAAACCAAAATTTTGATTTTTCCATCCGTCGATTCTACCAGACATTCTAATGGCATATATCCAACTTCCTTATTTTTACCTGCAAAATATAAACATTTCGAAAAACATGGCGACAATAAAATCTAGGTGTCAGTCGATTAGAAATTGTGAGAGTACCCACATTGAAACGTTGCAGTTAATAAACCCAGTGAATGATATCCATAAAGCTTTCTGTTATTATATACTCAAAAAAAGTAGGGGATATTGAAATGCAAATACCTATGCAGGTTGTGATATGATAAATAGTCATGGACATTTGACATGCTTTGGGAGTATGTTCACAGATGAAGAACTTATCGCCCAACAGAACCACTGAGCGGATGTGCGACATGCAATAGCGCCATACACGTGGGAGGGGTTCATTGTCAAATCTGACACTTCAAGAAAGGGTTGATGAAAACTGCCGCTTGCTTGTTTATCCTATCCATGTTTGCTTTCCTATCGGTTCTTTCATAAGATTTGCTGTTTAGCGTATCTTTGCTTTAGTGTGTTACGTTTAATTTGATCGGGAGACGTGTTCGTCGACGTCAACGTTAACCGACAACACTGCAAGAATTGCCCATGGCACTGCAAGAGGAGTGGGACAGACTGCCTCAAATCGTGATTGGACGGTTGATTAGGGGCATGCCACGACGAATTGCTGAATGTCTGAGGATTGGTGGAGTAATTACTCATTATTAAGACAAAAATCAAAAACGTCCATTTTCACTTTTGACAGTATATCTTTGCTAGTGAAATGGGGCCGTCAGATAAGCCGCCCATATGAACTGTATGTTCATGTGTAGGCAATTGGCCTGGTATTAACATACACTGGTTACCTCTAATAAAAACAGCAGTGCATTTCCGCAGTTTTGTATTGTTTCTGAATATCCCTTACTTTTTTTTTGAAGAGTATATGTCGATTTCACTAACAACGTCCACCCGATTAGATTTTATTACATACTTCGAGAAGGTATTTGTTGAGTAATAAAACCTTCTAGTAGTTTATCAGGGCTGGCCGTCCTTACCGCACGGTACAAATATTATCACCACTAGAAGCAACAAATTCCAGAACAAGCCAGAACTCATATCAAAATGGCCGCTTTATACAAATGAGTATTTAGGGGAATATTAAGCCGAACCCTAACCCTTTTAAGAGAAGTAAAAACTAAATTAGACCCAAGTTCAGTCTTTTAAAAAGGGTTAGGGTTAGGGTTAGTTATCTCCAAAATTCTCATTTATATAAAGCGGCCATTTTGGACTCCGGAAGCACCCGAACCTCGATAAACTACTAGAAGGTTTTATTTGTACCGTGCGGTAAGGACGACCAGCCCTCGATAAACTACTAGAAGGTTTTATTACTCAACAAATACCTTCTCGAAGTATGTAATAAAATCTAATCGGGTGCAACGTCTAGACCAAATTGCTTAACACAAACCGAACATGTGTATACACCCAGGTTCACTCAATTGCAATCAAACTTATCGGGTTCCGAGGCACTGATAAATCCAATTGTTATTTCTTCTTAGGGAAAGCATAAAATGATCATGAGCTCTGTCATGAGATTTACTTAAAGGACATCTACACCAAGATTTAACATTGTACCTCAATTAGAAGCAGAGGTATTATGTCCGAATGTTTTTTTCCGGTCAAATTACTTATCCATTTGCTGAAACTGGCCAGAAAATGCTCATTCTAAAACCATCCACCTAACTAACACATTGCAAGTTTGAATATTCTACCTCAATTAGGCGTTCATTTCCCAAAAAATATGACCAAGAAGAGTATGACCAACAGCAAAACTGCCGTGTCCCATGTAACAGTTCTCTGCTTTTTTCGAACGTTGGGAGACAAATCGGGAATTATCTTGTCTGTATACACGACCCATCTCCCTCATTTACAATAGCATATCCAACAATTTAATCAAGATGTTATTTTCTTTACGCAGATTAAGACGGTTATGTAACAACCACAGATAAAACGGAACGAAATGTTGATATATTTACACCAGGCTATCAAAACAGTACTTACGAGTTATGCGAGTCTGTAATTTTACCAAACTATGAACCTGAATAGCACTTCGAAGTCTAAAACCACCAACAGCACTCATCATATAGATTTCAAAATCAGATTCAGCCACAATTCCTCTCGGTACAACAATCATCTCTGCTGGTTTATATCTTTAAGATAAAATACATCATGTTCATGAGCAAATTGTGCCATCTAGTACACACCGTGTTAATCAAGCCACGAATTAGAATTTTTTTTTTATTGAACAAATATTACCAACCGGTATAAAACATGTTAATCAAGCCACGGAATAGTAATACATGTAAATAAACAAATGGTACCAACCGGTAATCGCAATGTTATCCAAGGAAGTGAATAGTAAACCATGTTAATGAACAATTGGTAACTGATACACACCATCTTAACCGGCTACAGATTGGAAATTGTTGGAAAAACGATCTGACTTACTTTTCGATCAGTGGAACGTCAACTGATACATTCGATTTATATCTCATAAAGGAACATTCTATTATAAACTTCTCGTCGTCTGCACCCTCGAACAATTCATGTAATAGTCGAGATTCCACTTTCAGGCCATATATTGCTCTATTTACGGACGTTTGCTGGAAGAAATGGAATTCTATTATATAAAATACCCAATTTATACATATATTTTACTTCCAACAACTTGGCATTTTCAAGATATATCTAGTAGCCTATAGTAATGTTAGCCTATAGTAATGTTATGGCACTAATTACAATATCTTCAAATATACCATCTAGCAATGACCACGGGAGCCTGTAGCTAAGTATAATGGATATACAAAATTACTAAATAACTGGTCTGAAACTACTTTTTTAATTCACTCGTCTGATACCGATGCACAAGGTGAGAAACATTTGTCCAGTTTAAGATGGGAACAAAGTTTACTACCCTACAGTCCATCAAACATCGCAACAAACACTAATCCTCACACGTTAGACAATCTAGTCTACGGTGACGGTTAATGTCCACGTGACAGTCTTCAAGTCACGTGGACAATTTTAAACCGTCATCAATGACAACATACTAGAGTCTATAAAGCTTCTTACCACAAACTTGCACCCACTGGTGGCACGGTAATAAGCTTTTAGTTTAAAACTAGCTGTAGAAATATCTTCTTTAAACCGACAAGGAGGGGGTAAGGCACCATAACCAATAACAGCCACTGCATCACCAACATAAGTTATAACAGCCGGTGTATTCTTGACAGGGTCTCCACATTCTACACTTACTGTGAAATAATATCAATAATATACACGGAATGTCTGCCTATAAATAATGAAAATCCTAATTAATAAGTTCATTACAAGAAGGTTGCAGAACCTAAATAGATCCCAATGAGACCACCAATTCCGTCAATTGAGAACGTCTATAAAAATGTTCGTTCTAGGGGTTTACAATTTTTCTCGATCTTGGAAATGTGTTGTGTCTAGGTATATACTTACAAGTTGTAGAAGGTCGTTTACTATCTGTATAAGAAACCTTAAATAAAAAAAGAGGCAGTGTCGCATAAATAAGTGAGGGGTGCGGTGTTAGCCTCTTCTTTAATTCTTTATAAAAGTTTACTAAAAGCAATAATTGTCTGCGATATTACCTCGGTGAACGCGGGTGTTCACACAAAGTTTAAAAATGATTTTATAACCCTCTACAGATGATTAAACACTGAGTAATGTCATCCTTAAATCCATAAGTTTAATCAATTCAAACGTATACCAATACGTAGGCACATAAGATTGAAACTTTAAGATTGCTTACAAATAACCCGTGAAGCTACAATATACAATTACACGCCTTGAAATAAAATAAAGGACTCTCATTTCCAGAACACTTGCGCTTATTTTGCATTCTTTATCAAAAAAAAAAGTTTAGCTGAAGTAAATGTTGCCCATTTCGTTCCTACATATGAGCTTGGGCAATTAACTGTTGGTTCTATGTTGTATCCTATTCTTATCCTTATAATTCACCGTCGAAATGTGCTGTGTCCAAAACAGTATACAAGGAATTGTGGAAGCAAGGACAACAACCCCTTAAATATTCATGCCGTAACAAATCTTTGAAAGTGCCATCCAATTCGGTAAAATATTTCGCGCACAGCAATTGTATGTGGAATCTGGATCAAGGGCAACAACCCCACAACCATCTAAATTCAACATTCAAAGGGCCATATGTCTTTATGTCGTAACACTATACCTTTCCAAGCTTTATCCAATTAGGTCAAAGCAACTTACCGTTTCCTTGTGCGTATATCCGGAATACACATTTTGGAAGCAAGGACAATAATAGAAAAGTTACAAGCCTGTGAAGATTGCCATACACGTCTAATTTGCATGTCTACACAAAATGTGAATGGCCAACGGGGTTGATCAACGTTTAGAATCGGCGCAAATTAAATAGCGATTGAAGTCCATGACTTGAACTACAAGAACGTCGGATAAATCATAAATAGACAGAAATATCTTACCAGTAAACTGGATATAATAACAAATATTAACACGACCATTCTCTGAAAATAAATCCATTTATCTTGTAAAATTCGTTAACATCCTTTCTTTAATATACTAATCAGCAAAAAAACGTCAGCACGATTTTAAAATCTGAGAGGCACTTTAATCAAATCATTCTAGAAAACGACTTACAAAATGGATCAAAGCATTTTTTTTTGTGAACAGCATGTTGACACATTAGTGATTAATTCATCACAATTCCAAGACATTACGAGAAGGTTTAGAGTCTGTACACAGTCTATGCATCTATACATAACTCAAGACATTTTCTGTCACCATCAATTGCTAAAAGTAGGATACTAACGTCCAGTCATCTCGTGCAAATATTTGTCCAATTAATAGAATAATGTTGACGTAAAACGGTGCCGATACGAAACAACCAAAAATGGTAATTGTCCCGCCCTAACAGCCCACACATCTATACTTTCTATATAAATAAGAGCGAGGTTAAATTTCCTTTTAGACATCATTAAGTATTCTCGGAAGGACGTTCCCACAGCCTCCTCGCCTGAGAGGCTGGGAAACAGACATCACTCAGAGTTCCTAGGGGAACCTCATACCCACGGCCTCGTCGGCTTAGAGGCTAGGGTGAAGACAATATCCGGCAGTCCGAGCCGTACAACTAGCCGCCTCGACTTAGAGGCCAGGATACCGGACATCATGCGGGGTTCGTAGAAGAAATAGAGACAATGTAGTTTCAGCAATTAGGTCTGGGTTCTAAGAAACAAAAATAGCAATACAGTATTTTATTCTTCAAATAAAGGGCATTACATATGATTGCAAGTGTCATCTCCAGGAGAGCGATTTTCAATTTATTCCAATCTCAGGAGAGCTTTGTCACGTTTGTCAATATCGTGATCGTAACAGGAAAGTGGTTGTGGTCTGTGCCCACATCGGATGGAGTTATCTTTCCTTTTTTCCAGATGGTTTGTTTTCCCGGATTCTGGCACTAGTTCCATAGGTTGGTAAATGAAATACGAGTCTGACAAGAAAAGGGGTCATTCTATGAGAAAATACACTTACTGCGTGTGACGAGCGCCATTTTTTTTTTTTTTTCTTTTTTTGCCTTTTCCTGATAATTTTAATTTTCAAAATATAAAAAATAAATCGTAAACATATTTCTTTGATGTCCAAACCATGCTCGAAACAAACTCCATTTTCTCCCCTTCACGAAAAATGTAAACTCATCGATCTTTGTGTTCATACACGTCCCCGAAGTCGCGGAAAAGTCTCATTTTACGGTCAGAGTTTTCGAATGTGATGATAGTATTAGTGGCGCCCTAGAGAGCTTTTGCATTGCTACACTGATATTAGCATAAGGTCGTGGACATACAGGATATTCGGAGACGAAAGCTACCTACGAAACAATGTTACATTTATTCAGTGGTGAAGTGTTTTGTTAATAACTGGAATACGACATACTCGTATGTATGGTGATGTAAATGAAACATTAACATATCGATATAATGTTCCGCTAAGCGTTGTCAGTTTAACGTTTAAAAGCATCACAAGTCTATATATCAATTGAGAGATAATAGCTGTCGTTTTATCGTTTTGACCGCGACTGGTTAGAAAGTGATGAAACTGAAATTTCCGTTTACATGATAACACGCGGGTGTATGATTTCAAGGAGTATTGACAGTGAAATAGTGTATTGTGAGTAATACAGTTTATTTTTTACTTTTGTATCCAAGGGCCACTATTCTGTGTTGAAAAATAATATGTTTAGCCTTGTTGGTGCTGAGACTAGTTTGCAACAAGATGGTGTCACTTTACCTTGTCCTTACATACTTTTCCCGCCTAGTCAAATAAAGCTAAACATTGAAGATTCAGGGGGAATGAAATCCGGCAAAAACATTCCGTCGTTATGACGAAGGACAAACAGGATTGGAAGCAAAATTTCACCAAATAAAAAGTACAATAAATTTGTTTTTAAAACAAAATACCTAACCGCTCCAAATCTAACTGTGATAGCAAATCACCTGACCAAACGCCGGCATCTATTAACAATAACAGTCATGTGACCTTCCCAAGCGCATCAATCTTGCGCGTACGACTGAGTTTGGGCGATACATGCAGTTTCTATTATTTTTTTTAGCTACAGTTAAAATTTCTCAGCGTAAAAATAACACATCGTAAGATATGTATTCTGATCGGTAACATAATTTAGTTAGAAAATTAGTTTGCGAAGTTAATTTCGGCAAATTTGAAATGAAAGACTGTACTTTTCTTTCGGCTAGAGTATTGGTGAAGTTTGATTGACACCCGTAAACGCATCGCACACGGCATCACGTGCGTTAAAATAGAAGCGGGTGAATCGCAAAGCTTCACAATCAACGTAGCAGCTGATGCGTCAGAAAACTGTTTTGTCTACAACGGTAAGAACGTTTTAAAATGTTCAAATCCAGGGACCTGTCCCACAGAACAGATCGTCCATAACCATATTACAATAGGTGAAACGTGTTTGCATGCTCGAAGTCTGAGATATTTCTTTTTATTAACATTCTTCAAGTTATCGTGTAACACTGTTGACGTATAATCTCAGTAGCATGAAGTAGTGTTTCTGCAGGAGTAAAGCAGTGTGAACACGATCGATATAAATGGACCTTGTATACACCGGTCTGTCTTTTGGGGGCATGACTTTGTTTAATGTGTCTGGTGTCCATTCCATGTCTGCCATGTTGTCTCCTCAACACGGCATTCTTTCGGCAACATGTTGGCCGGTATGTGTTGACCAACTTTTTACGCCGTTTGGTCAACTTAGTGTTGGGTTTGAAATGTTGATCAACCGATTACCGAGAGGTTGACGGTGTTCAGCCTGCTTAAGGGTACTGTGAACACGATAAAATAAAAATGAATACTGCCGCAAGGTTGGGTTTTTGAGGCTTAATGGAAAGACATAATAAACCATTTCATAACAATATTATTTACTTATCCATCCTGCCCATATATGGCGTTTTTGTGAGTCGATTAGATTAGGTTTTGATTTGCTAGTACGATTTGGTATGATTTCGATTTGATTAGCTATGGTCCACAAATGTGAAATTTGATAATTACGATTTGGTAAGATGGCTGCCATCACGGACACCGATCAGAAAAAAAAATTGTCTCTGCTAATTATTGATGACTTGTTAAAGACAAATGAAGGTTATCTACGCAAAAAAGGAAAATGGTTGCCGTTAGAAACAATCTCCTATGTCCAACAAGTTCAAGTATTTTTTTGAAAACTGAAGTGACAAAACATGTAAAAAGTGTCCTGAGAAAACCTAGGATCGAGGAATATATTGAAAAAACTGTAAATGAATAAAATTGCTTAGAGGTGATCTAACATTCTTGTGGACTATAAAGTTAACATTAAACACGTCAAATGCGTTTAAAAAAAACATTTTTTTATGGAGAAAAACAATAAGCATTAAAAATTACTTACGGCGTCGAACATTCCGCCATTTTGAAAAAGTCAAATCTAATCGCCTAAACACCTCCTGGGACGATTAGGTCGATTTGCCTAATCAGTTGAGTTAAATCGTCTCACAAATGTAACGATTAGCATAATCAACTTGGTTCACAAATGCATATAATAGCTAATCGGTCTAATCTAATCGGTTCACAAAAACGCCTATAGTATCCAAGTTTTAATTTCGCTTTTCAAATTCATTTTCACAACGTGCTTTACGATAATGTAACTAGCCCAAAAAATGTCGGTAGCCAGCTGTATTTTCTATTTTAAATGATAGATTAGACTAAATTGGTATTAAAGTTACACTTTCATATTTTCTAAGAAAGTCAAAACATAATTATTTCTATGTCTTTTGCTCAATAGGTTGTTGACTCACTATCATACGATCATAGGTGTTATTCTCACACTTAAAACTCATTTACACCGGAAATAATAACACAATTACCTCCCAATTACCTCCCTTGTTTTCTATACTCCACCATGGAGTAGTTATCTTCAAACGTTGGATTTTGAAGAAGAAAATGATATTTTTGCCCATTTCTCAACTGGCAATAGTGAATTATAGGATTAATGATTATTCTTTAACAAGGTAGGACTGTTTATAGATACCATCTATTTTAAGGCTTTATTTTAATAATTTTAAAAATATAACTTAAAAATATGAAATTGCAACTTTAAGAGTTTACACGTCTACATTTTCAGTTTGTGGAATGGTTTCAATTTACCAGTTCTCCACGTTATTGGTAAGTATTTTTTTTAAATTGTGTTTATACAAAAATATCGAATCTACAATATGTATACTATGTACCTTGCCATAGATCTGTTATATCCTGGGTTCCATTTTATTCCCCCGCCAGTATTTCTTTCAAATTTTATACCATTTTTTACCGCCACCCAAAAAATCTTAATTTGTGACCCGGTGTGGTTGGATAAGATTAACAGTTATCTTGTTATACGAAAGTTTGACTATGCGATCGGATTCACAATCGGGTACATCCGTAATTCTCGTACTCCTCGCAGTGTTTTGTTTGTGAGACCTAATCCTCCTCGAACAATGCCATACTCGGCGCAAATTTCTGTCCCAAATTATGACTGGTTAACAGTCCGACCAACAACCAGTACAATACGACGTAACAAAATCAATCGGGATTAACCAGAGCTCTAAATATGTTGCCGTGAAGTTTCTTGTGACAAACGCGGCTACATTACGTCATAACTCCGATTACAAAACTACAGAAATAATCAAATAAAAAAAAAATTAAAACCCTAAATCGTGGCGATTGTACGACGTACAAAAACAGAGGCAGGCCACGCCCACATCCAGTTCACGCCTTGTCAACCACACTGTCCACATCCGGCTAGCAATATTTCAACTACCAATTACCTCCTGGCTGACAGTTTACTGAAAGTATTATTGCTACACAATTGGTTTACTTATTTCGTCTAATTAGTAAAATATGTACCTATCAGACATTGTGTAGCAATATTTTCAGTAAACTGATAGTGAAAAAACGTCAGTCAGCTGCAATATTGCTAGCCGGATGTGGACAGTGTGGTTGACAAGGTATGAACTGGATGTGGGCGTGGCCTGCCTCTGTTTTGTACGCCGTACAATCGCCATGATTGTTCTACAACTTGAAAACAAGTGTGGCTATTTATGGCGTTTACAATATAAACATTTGGTAATCGCCGGGCACGTGGAATCTATCATCTCTTGGACCATGCAGCAGATCAAAGAGAAAGGTATGTTATGTATTTAAAACAAACTGAATAGAAATACATGTGCTTTTTTTTCATAAAACAAATCCATGGATTTTTTCAAAAATGAATTATCGCATTTAAAGGTAGGGAGTAATAATTGGTACGCGTTTATAGAATTTATATCGGAGATTTGAGTCGAATTTTCGTTCCAGTAGTCAGCAACGGCCAAATTTACATATGCGAGTATCGATGTTTGTTCCCGATGCATCATGGGTAAAATAAAATTCTTCTTGAAATCGGTGCTAACAAACGCTAGGATTTTTTTAAGGGGTCACCAGGATAAGTAATGAAAATTCCGTACATTTTACTCGGGAGAGATTTGATTGGACGATGAGAATGGACACGCTCCGTCAAGAACTACGTTTGCAGTCTCAATACAGCAATGGCTAGAGAGGGATTTATCGGGCCATTGCTTCAGGCATATGGTGATTCTTGACAAATATGAATTATAGAAATTTCTATGGAAAAGGGTATCTGATGTTTCAAAAGTTATTTGACTTTACATAAATGTTCCGAATCGAAGTGCTTGTGAATTGAGTACGCAGTACAGAGTAACATGTGGTATATTTGGTGTTAAGGGTATTTTACACCTTTAAAAACGAACTAGTAGCAAATTCCGACATTATCCTCTTTATACCCATTTTCAAGAGATCTCTTGGTTGATCTGGTTCTTGCATATGACGCAGATGTGAAATAAAAGATTAAAGGAGCTAAATCGCTAACATTTGGGACCTCGAAATTGATACAATTAGGTCGCAACGCATATAATACTATAATATGAATGTATATAAACTGATTTACATTCAATGGTTTCCGTTTTTATTCTAATTTCAAATCAGTTATGTTCGGCGAAAAAAGCCAGCAGTCTCAATCGAATGCAAATTTCTAGAATCTGGTTATTCCAGTCTACATATACTCAGCCAAATTAAAAACTTGACACTCGGGATTTTTGGGACTAGATTTTTAATATTTGGTTTAAGGCAACTATTTTAGTGTTATGTTGTGCACAGACGACCTTGACATCAACAGAAAGCAAGAATACGTCTCGCCGAAAGTCCTTGACATTGATAACGTTCGTGATGTCACAGTACCCTCCAAAATGAAATTCAGACTTGGAGAACAATCGGAATAAAGTGTTTAGTAACGGCTGTGGCCTCATCTAGCGTCCCGTACTGCCACACAACGTCTTCTCATGGATCTCAGAACATTAGTAAACACTACCCGAGGAAGACGTCGCCACTGCTCAGCAAGAGCATGTTGAAGGTCCTGCAACGTCAGTGGTGGATTCACTTGCTGACGAACACGTCGACCCAGTTCGTCCCAGATGTGTTCAATAGGATTAAGGCCTGGGCTAAGCGACGGCCAATCCAGGACTTGGGACACCGGTATTTCTTAAAAAATTCTGGGTAGCAATTGCTGTATGGGGTCGAGCATTGTCTTGTTGAAACGTTAGTCCAGGCCCATGTCTCTGCATAAACGGAAGAACAGGTTGCAAAATCTGATCCCTGTACTGGACAGCATTTAAGTTCCCTTGGACAACAAGAGGAGAACGTCCATGTGCACAAAAAGAACCCCAAACCATGACGCTGCCGCCACCAAATCGGTCAACGTCTCTGACGCATACTTGAGCGTAACGTTCACCTCGTCTGCGGTACACTCGGGCCCTGCCATCGGCAAATCTCAAAGTGAATCGAGATTCGTCACTAAAGACAACCGAATTCCACTGTCTTTGAGTAAATCTTATGTGTCTTGTGGCCCACACAAGTCGGTTACGGCGATGAAGAGGTGTCAATATTGGTCCATTATAGGGCCTCTGAGCTCGAGGACCAGCAGCCTGCAAGCGATTTCGAACAGTGTGTGCAGTTACCCTTCCACCAAACATCTCTCTACTGGTGGAGGTTGCAGTGACAAATCTGTTTCTAAGGTAACGTAATCGTATTGCTTGATCTTCCTGGAGTGACGTCACACGTGGCGCTCCAGCCCTTGGGCGGTCGGCAATAGTTCCAGTTTGAAGCACTCTCTAAGATTAATTATTATCACCCAATAATACATTCTACAGTAGATATCGCTTGTTTGATATATTTCATAATATACTGCGATATCTCGCAGTTGAAAAGGAACTACTTTTTTTATTTTCAAAGAACAGTTCATTATTAAAAATAACTTTTTTTAATTAAAAGTGAACTATTGTTATTCAATTGGCCTTGATGGAAACACTGGGTCAATATAAAGGACTTTGGAATGGTTGAATTGCTGTCAAAATATACTATTCAAAAAAAGTAGGTGATATTTGATTTTTAAGTGTTATTAAAGTCACCTAATGAAACTGACGAAGAAACAAATGACAAAATGAAATGAAGTTCACATTCATCGATTTATTCCAAATGATCGTTAGACTAAGTAAGGCACAGACTGACCATTATAAGGGTAAAATGATACCCGGGGTCAAACAGCAAAGTTACCACAGCATCACAACCAAGTCAGTAACGGGTAAATCCTCCTCTGTTTGCCAAACAAGCATTGATCCGACGTGGCATACTCCTAATGAGACGTCTAAGGTCATTTTGGTCCAGATTGTCCCATTCCTGTTGCAACGCAGCAGCAAGTTCTTGGACATTGGCAGGACGTTGTTGACGTTGACGTAACCTCTGTCCAAGCATGTCCCAGACATGCTCGATGGGGGAGAGGTCGGGACTCAGTGCTGGCCAAGGTAATGTGGTGATGTTCTGTTGTTGGAGGTAACCTGTAACGATCCTGGCCCTGTGACATCTTGCGTTGTCATCCTGGAAGATGAAACGGCGGCCATGACGTCGTGCGAACGGCACAACATGGACTGCCAAGATGTTGTCCCGGTAGTACTGGCCTGTAACACGCCCTGCAACAACATGTAAAGCCATTCTTCCAGCAACAGTGATGCCTCCCCACACCATAACAGAACCACCCCCAAATCGATCATGTCTGATGACGTTAACGTCTTGGAAGCGCTCGTTTCGACGACGCCACACCCTCCTACGTCTGTCCAAAAAATCAACAGTGAACCTTGACTCATCTGAAAACATCACATTGCTCCAGCGTCGATTATCCCAGTGTTGACGATCCCTACACCAACGACGTCTTGCCTGAATGTGATGATCTCTCAAACAAGGGATCACGCGAGGACGTCGGGCGCGAAGGTGACCCCTACGCAGTCGATTCCGAATCGTCTGGCCACTCACTCTCACACCAGTGTCTGTTTGAAGACGAGCGCTGATCTGATTTGCTGTGATGACACGATTTCTCAAAGCCAAGGTACGGATAAATCGATCCTGGGCTTGAGTTGTCGCCTGAGCGTGGTCTGTCCTGTACAGATTGTGTATCACGGTATCTGGACCATAGCCTGCTTATGACAGACTGAGAAACATTCGTCGTCTGTAGCATGCCAAGGGCACGTAACCTTTCATTTTGGGTAAGCCGACGCATATCAAAATTTGTTTTCTGGTCACTAAAACAATTAAACTGATGTTTCCACCCTGGAATTCAATGCCACAATGACTGTAACATTCAAAGTCAGAGTCGTGCAAATCTTGGGTTGGACCCCCATGATGATCCCAAGCATCACCTGCATTCCATGCGGTAGCTATTGGTGCGTTTGGGCGTCACATGTAACTGAAAATGTTTCTTCTGTTAGGTTCTATAGTGACTTTTTTCGTAGTCATTTGCATATTTTAGTATTATGCCCCCAAAATCAAATATCCCCTACTTTTTTTGAATAGTATATGATGTATCACTACGTCGTAATGTTCAGTTAAAGTGAAATCTACAGCAAAGAATTATATTTATCTATTTGTGCATGTAAGAAGGGATTTGTCTGGCGTGAACAATTTTAAAGGCTCTTGCAACAGTGACCACAGACTGACCAGCATAGAGCCTACCTATAGCACGTAGACGTTCTACATTTGAAAGGCGCGGCATTTTCTAACAAAGATGAAAATAACAATTTTGATTTGTTTTTCCAGTTCAAGTTACGTGTGCGTGTTCAGTTTAAGCAAACTTGCATCGATTGACCTCACGAGTTTGTGTTTGCACGTGTTTTTCAGGTGTTGGTTTAAATTGACAAATAATTCGTGTTTTCAATGTTGAAGAATTCGGATGATATTGAGTTAGAGACTTAGCTACTTTATTATGTTTCATAAAGTTTTATTTTATTTCAGTGGATTGTTTTGGTTGTCGATGCTCAATGTAAGTATTTTATATTTAACATGTGGCCCATACTTCAATATGTGGCTTGAGGCCCTTAATCATAGAAAGGTGGGGGGGGGGCATTGTCTGTCACTCACACAAATGCAATTTGTATGTCGTTATGGGAGATTTATGGTGCAGTTTGTGCTGCCAGCCTGATCCTATCCCTTAATACGGCAGTGTTAACGGAAAATGGAATCTTGTCACTCACAAAATTGATTTACAGGTCTAAATTTAGCTTTAAAGATTTTATTTTTCATCAACGCACTACGCCATCTTTCGGTCGTATTGTATAAGTTAATATTTGAGTCTTTCGGGAGCCCACTAAAACATCAACGACTACTAGAAAACTGGTTCAAGTCAATTTATACGAAAATGACTAACCTGCTGTTTGCTTATGTTCTTGAATGTGCACATCCTGTTGTACTAAATTACTAAACCCTAAAACTGTGTAGCTTTTGATTTTTAAATTCATCACGTGATAAAGGGCTTTTGTTTTTCCCTGCAGTGGATGTAGAATGTGGAAAACCAGTCGGTAATGTGATTGGTAGTATAACATACACTGGTGATGCGGTAGCCGTTGTAGCCTACAGTAAAAACAACGAAGTATGTCGTTTTACAGAAGATACGTCTACAGCCACGTTTAAACTAAAAGTGGGCTACAAAGCCGGTCCTGGCATAGACTGTGTATTTGAGGTAAGTCTTTCTTGGCAGAAAAGACGAATGATCAGAGGTTTATTTCATTCACATAAATGTTTGTACAAATCTACCATAAAAATGCGTTGTGATAGACGTGACTACCGCATCTTCAATGGAAGGCTTGGTGTCGCTTTAACTACTTACCCCAATCGGGGTAGAACGTTAAACCCCATTTCATTTTTACTCAATAACTAATTTCGATTGACCTAGGCCCCAGCTCTAGACCTTTGTCAACTTTGAACTGAAATGTCTAGCTGTGATCTAGTTGCATAGTTCAACGTTCGTTCAATGTCTGAAGCAAAAATCAAAACATTAACAATAGTGTTCTGGCCACAAGTCAGGGTTTAAGATCAATTAAGAAGACCTTGAGTACACACATTAGTAGCGTGGGCATCGATACATGCCAAAACGGGTCTAATGGATGTCGTTAGCCATCTTATGACGTCAGGAATCCTTTGCCATTCGTGGGGGTTGGGTGGTCGAATGGTTAGCACGTGCGCGCTGTATCATAATGTCTGTTATTGAGTCAACTGGCGTGGTTTCGATTCTCCCGTTGTACGTGACGAGGAGTAGTCGCCTGTCCAACCTCGTGGGTTTTCTCTGGATCATCGGGTTGTCTCATATTACTAAAGACCCCTAGGCGAAAGCGAATTATTGAAATAAAATTGAACCATGTGTTAGTCCCGAAATGGCCTAGTGTTTTGTCGAGTTGAAGTCTCCCCCCCCCCCTTGCAATAAAGCTTGATCAACCCGAAGTCGTTTTCTGAGGTATCCGTTGCCTCCGTTGCCGATCAAGTTGATCCCAGGGGTGCTCTATTAGGAGAACATGCTGGCTAAGTCAATGTGTGGACGTTAACATCGTTCAAATATTATCACGAACCAGTCTGGCGGTATGTGATCGGGCATATCATGCTGCAAAATGGTAACCGTGTTGCTGTGCATGAATGGCACTACCACGGGTTGCAGAACTTCATCTCTATGTGTTTGGCCAGTCAGATTTCCACGTGTGAAAAATAGCTTTGTTCTCTTCTGTTGGTTACAAATCCATCAAGCATACGGATGAATATCTTGGGTACAGTTAGGTGCCAATCTCTCCCCTCTACGGCGATAAACACGAACCCGACCATTTCTGAACAGGTTGAAGCGACTTTCATCTGAAAAGCACATGTTGCCATCGGCTTACAGTTTTGTCTATTGTTAGGATGTCCCACACAGTCAAAATTTTCGCAGAAAAGTCGTGATTATCCTTGACTGTCATTCCGTAGACGGATCGGTAGACTTGATAAGAGTATTAAGAGGGACTAATTTCATATCAAGGGAAGATAACCTATTTTGGGCTCGTGAATGCCCGGATTTAATGGCGTCGGATTGACATGTCCGGATATAGCTGTTTTCAGGTCTTGAGTTCGGCCTGTTTGCTGAAACCGCTGGAAAGATCGCTGATGGCGCTTGGACTGCAACGGAACGGCTTCCGTCGAGAAACCCCCATTGTGCAATACCAATAGCCCTCTTTCGTTCTTCCAGTGTTTTCGTTCTTCGCATCTCTGTATGGGTTTTTTTCTTTCATACCGAATCGCCCTTCTGTCCCCGGATGTAACAATCATGCACCCGAATCTCGAGGAAATACACACAACACGGGTCTTAACGATTTTTCGTGGCGGTACGAAATTCAGCGTATCCTGCGTTCAGTATATTTTGTCAAATGTTTTCTGATAATGTCTAAAACTTATTGTAACATTATGTAGATAAAACTGAATTGACTTGTTAACTTTCTTTTGCCCGGTAGTTTAAATTACACTAAGCCTATGACGCAGGCAATACTTTGTATACCAAATGACAAGGAATATTTGGTTTAAATTGTATTAGATTGTTCGTACGGGTGTTGAATCGTGTGATCAAGTGGTGTTAATTATAATTAAATGTAAAACCCGTCTTAATTAATTATTCGAACCCTTATTTTCAGAAAACCTCGAATAGCCTTCAGAATTACGGCCTGCGAGTAGAAACCCGGCGACTTCACGAACTATTGGAAGGTGGTGATGATGAAAGATTTGTAGTAGAATGTGTCTTTACACCTGTCAAACCCAACATAGCAGTCAAAGTTTTACTTCAGCAAAAGTGAGTCGAAAAGTTAGGCATTGCTAAAAACTTACTCGACTTGTGCATAGGCATACAGTTTACAATGATTAAATTATTTGTGTGTAAGCTGCTGTGTTGCGGCAACAATGCAAATATCTACGACCGAAAGTACGCGAGAGAACCTCTTAAGTTTCTGGCGATCTTACAAATTCAGTAAAGTAAAGACTTGAACCAGTGGTTATAAAATTATTGGAATATTTTACCTAGCTCAACCCAATAAAATTTCTATTGATCATTCTGCCTAGCTGAAGGTTTTATATTTTAAATTACAAAATGAAGACGGGTCGTATTGAATATAGACTTGGGTCTTAAAGCAGTAAAATTAATAGACCGCCGTCCTTGCTATAGTAGTTCAAAAATAGTTACTGAAAATTGAATATTAAGTCTCCGTCAAATTTATTTTAAGCGAAGTTGTGGGCGTAAGATGTGTGTAACAAGATATAGCGAAACGTCTCGATTTACAAGTATTATTGCTACTATACTAAGCCAAATCTAGATCGTCCATTTTAACTTTAATTTGTTAGATGGCGCTGGTGTTTCTCGGTCATCCATGGGCTTATGTGAATAAATGTCAATTTGTATAGCATTTTGAAGCCAGATAAAGTACCCTCGATAGCTTTTGTATGTTTAAAACTAATAATACCAAATCTGAATTGAAACTCGGCACTTTTTTTTCTGGAATTTTCCCATACCCAAACATATGTATATATTACGATTAGACGTTTATATTATTGCATATAGTTTCATTATTATAATCAAAGGGTCACCTGTCCTCTTAATTACATGTAAGTGATTTCATTAAAGGACAATATTGGTGTCAGTCATTATCACATATGTGACAGAACTGGTTAAATACGTTCCAAATATAAATTTAATACAGAGATCATTGCTACGATATATGCGTTGTGAAGCTTTCAAGAAAGGAAAGTGATGAATCCAAAAGGAAACGCCAGTTATCCTTCTATATAACTGACTGAAGTCGCGAGTGATAACGGATACACGGATGAATTTCTGCTCACTAATAATTCCTTCCAAGACCAAAAATTGTTCTGCGAGGCTGTGAGAGGATGTATAATAATTCAAAAAATTGAATGCCACTAGATAAGGGAAAACGAGAAAAATAGAAATAGCCCGTACATTCTATACTTTATAAAAACATGGTAATGCACGGACGTTTTGTAGTGAGTCATTTATTTTTTTGAATTGTCAGATATCCTCCCACAGTCTCATAACAACTTTTGGTCTTCTAAGGAATTATTAGTGAGCAGAAATTCGCCCGTGAATCTATTATCACTCATCACTTCAGTTAGTTATATAGAAGGATAACTAGTGTTTTCCTTTTGTGTTCGTCACTTGCCTTTCATGAACGCTCCATAACGCATCTATCGTAGCAATGATATCTGTGTTAAAATTATATTTGGAATGTGTTTAACCAGTTCTATCACATATGTGATAATGACTGACACCAATATTGTCCTTTAAATGTTAAGAATTTACCTAGTATATATATTTCGCTCCTGTCTGTATCCAATCTGATTAAAATACGCCGGTTATATAACAAATTTTCCAGATCCTAGTGTAGTAAAGACCAGTAAAACGAAATTATGAACTACAAAAAACGAAATGAAACAGGATCTGTGTTTTAATCAGATTGGTCTATATCAGTATTGTGCTTGATAACAAGAGAATCATTGTTGAAACGTAGCTTTAATAGAAATACATGTACCATAGAACTGTTTTACTTGAACATGATTTTAATTCTAGGTATAATCCGCCTAAATTTGTAATGAGATCATCCGGTATAGCCGCTGCTTCCGCCATCTCCATCTTCCTATCGGATATCCTCAATGGACGTTTAACTAAATCAGTTGCCGAATCTCAGATTATTAAGATCCGATCTCTTATGGTTGGTAAGTAATACTATAAGCAGACACAAGATCTGTTTGACAATTCAGTCTCTAAATAGGGCGGGGCAATACGTTGACTCGCTAGCCTGTATGTCCCGTATTCGATCCCATTGTTGGCGAGAAAGTTCATCGGTATTTTCCGATGTGGTTCTCCCTTGTCAGTGGTGCACCAAAGGGCCTGATGAGTGAAAGCGTGTAGTATATTGGATCGGCCCAGGGTCCGTTACTAGCTCAGAGCAACGAGGGGGCGGGAAGTGTTCTCAGGGGTGCTGTAATATTGATGGACAATGTATCTCTTAGTTACGGGCCTGGATCAGCCGTAAAAAAAACCTTGTCCGATGTAATTCATAAATTTCCCCCCATAGCGCCACTTCATGGCAAATGTCCGGTTTCATCAGCAGTCGGCGGTGCAGAAAATTAGTGCGTTAACTCCATTGCATTTTTATACGCCCACGTTTTCGCGTGGACGTATATTGTCGTCGCCCCTGGACGTCCGTCTGTCCATTGTTTGTGGACACTCTACAGGTCACAATTTTTATCCGATTTCAACGAAACTTGAAATATAGCTTTCTCTCCCTAAGATCTCGGTTCCTTTCGATATTCGCACATACCGGAACGTAACTTCCTGAATTATGGCCCCTGATTGTACAAAAAATCGCGTTTTAGCTTGTGAACCCTATAGAGGTCATAATTTTTATTCGATTTAAAAAAACTGTTTTAGTATATCGCCGTTACACCCAAAGGCTGGTTGAGTTCGAATTTCGTGAAAATCGACCCAAACCTGACAGACAAAATGGCCGCCCCTCGTTCTCAAATAGCGTAAAAATATGGTATATCAAGGTTGTGGACCCTCTAGAGGTCACAATTTTCTCCTGGTTTTAATGAAACTTGAAATGCAAGTTTATAACCCATAGATCTTGGATCCTTTCGATATTCGCGGATATTAACATCCTGAATTATGGCTCCTGGTTGTACGAAAAATTGCATTTTTAGCTTGAGGTCTCTCCTAGATGTCAAATTATTATCTGATTTTTTTAAAAAAAAAAAAGTTCAAATATATCATTGTTACATCGTATTTTTGTTTGAGTTCGAATTTTGTGAAAATCGGGCCTAAACTGCCGGACAAAATGGCCGCCCCTCGTACGCAAATAGTGTATAGCATCTGGTATATCTAGCTGATGGACCCTCTAGAGGTCACAATTTTGAGTTGAAACTTCATGAATTATGGCCCTTGAACGTACATAAATCACGTTTTTAGCTTGTCGTCCATGTAGAAGGCACAATTTTTATCCGATTTAAAAAAAAACATGTGAATATATCACCATTACACACTAAAATCTTTGTTCCTTTTGATATCGCGTATATCCGAACGTAACTTCCTGGATTATGGCTCCTGATTGTTCGAAAAATCGCATTTTTAGCTTGCGGATTCTCTAAGAGGTCATTTTTTCCCAATTTTTAAAAACAGTTTAAATATTTCACCATTCCACCATAATGAAGGTTGAATTCGAAATTCGGGAAAATCGAAATGAAACTGCCCGACAAAATGGCCGCTCTTTGTACGCAAATTGTGTAAAAGTATGCAATACGAAGGTTGTGGACCCTTTAGAGGTCACAATTTTTATACGCCCACATTTTCATGGCGGCAGTGACAAAATGGAAATGGACGAAAGTAATGTAAATATTGGAAACAAGTGGCTATGATATCGTTTTGTGGGAGTATTTATGCAAATCAAAACGACTAGATTGAAGAAAAAACATATGAGTGAGGTTTGATTGCCTGACATTACGAATTGTTGAGAAAAACAAGCCGAAGCGAGAGCGGGTAAAATCGAGTCTTCAACAGGCATTGCATTCCTGTTCTTTTTTTTTATTACATATTGTCTGGTTGGACATGGTGTATGCATAGGTCAGACTCCTGTGGTAATACAAAGGTTGTGGACCTTCTAGAGGTCACAATTTTTATCCGATTTTGATGAAACTTCAAACATCTTTTTTATCCCAAAGATCTGTCCCTTTTTATATTTGCACATTTCAGGCCATAACTTTCTGGATTATTGCCCCTGATTGTACAAAAAATCATGTTTGTTTTTAGCTTCTCTATCCATCTCTTGCAAAATATGGGCGTATCCTGCCTAGCAGCCGCTGGTTTATTCTTTTTTTTTTTTTAAAAAAAAGGAATATTAAGCCTTTTCTTCCTACTGGAAATTTTAAATGTTTTCGGCTAAATTAAAATATCAAGAATAGTTTCCACAAATATTAGATAACCTATTAATTGTTATACTTTCAGCTAAAAAGAACGAAAAGGGTTACCAACCAATAGAATGCACAGCTGAGTCTATAGACAAAACCGTTAAACTTCTGGTTCTATCTGACGGGTAAACAGACTTTTCATATAAATACACAATTTTACAATTGAACTTCAGAAGTCCCACTTTTAGAGGAAAAGTTGTAGTTGGACGTTGGCTTGACTCTACTTTCACCTTGGGTATCGACTATCCAAAAAAGTGGAAATTTTATATATGACGAAACTTTTAGTGTTTGTGGTATTGGTGTAAGGTTATTTATTGATCGCCGATACTTAGTCCGTTAGGCTTTTGGGAGGACGTTGGCTCGGTAACCTGGAGGTCCCGTGATATATCCATGTTCACTTAGAACGTTCATTCGGATTTTCCGGTGAGGTTTTCGTGCAGTCTGGTGTGTGTGGGAGGGGGCTGGCAAGGAACACCGTATAGTCCAAAACCCGCAGTTCAACTGTCCGAGCAAAATTTCCCACATAGAACACTGTATTGTCTATGCCTGTCTTTAATACCAAATCGGTGTAGGACGTTGATCCCATTTCATTTTGGCAGAATTAAAGTTTGCAGTGCTACGTATTTTTGCGATTTTGGGTTTACCCCCTTTTTAAAGGACCAAATTGATCAAATATTTAGGTCATGATCAGATTGGATGATTATGAAACGGGATTTGTCGCCCTCGTATAAACTTTTATCATCAAGGCGGTACCAAATTATCTTGTAACTTGAAATTGCGAATAGTTTTAATTTCGTTTGGAATTTCGAAAGAGTGGCTCTACAATTTTTATATTAACGTTCACTTTTTTTCTCTTTTTTTGAAAAAAGGTGTGGTACTGGGTTTCCTTGGAGATATGACCAAGGCTTCTCAATGAATGGTTTATATGGTGACAGCCCAACTTTCCGCATGTTTCGTATCAAGAAAAATGAAGGTGTAATTTTTAAATGTACTTTTGTTATCTGTCCGGCGGCTTGTAATGAGGTGGGTTGATTGGCGTACGAGTTGATCGTACCGCCATTTTTATTAGTGACGGTTTTTGCTACCAGTGTGTATTTAATCGAATTTTGAATAATGCAGCGCTAAGTATATTGTATGGATTGAACTAACTCGGGATGGCACAAATGGGTCGATACACACTAATGAACTTAGAGTAAATTCAATCATTTGGCTCTGGATTCAAGATATCGGGATACATGGAATATTTGTATATATTCATTTGTTGGCAGAATGCTCGAGATGAAACGTGTAATGGCGTATAGTTTAAAGGTCAGACCTCAAACCATATGTATTGCAAATTATTGCATTTATCTTGTATTGCTAATTATTGCAATCTGTTTAAAATAAGGATCTATATTTCGGTTTTTTTATATACTTTGATAGACTACACTACATGGAGATCTGAGCGGTTGTAGTGAAAGGTCGCGTCAGAGGTCGTACGAACGGCTTTTGACCCTATGACGTCAGACATTATCAATCGGCGTAGACGTTTCTAGTGGTTTATCCAGTTCCATGCATCGCACGCCAAAATGTCGCCTAAACAGATGATTTCATTGGCTAATCCCTCATGCCACCCAGAACGCAGGTTATAAAACTTTTCCAGATCCAAGTGTAGTACAGACAAATAAAACTAAGTTTTCAACTATAAAACACGAAACGAAATAAGATCTGTGTTTTAATCAGATTGACATTATTTATATTGTATTGCAAATTATTGCATTTATTTTTATTTGTAGAACTCGTGTTACCTCGCAAATGTACTCAAGAGAGGAAGGCGGTCGGCGGAAAAGAAATTTACACGAAGAACCCGGGGAGTTAAGTATAATAGTTTGGGTTTAGTATCTCACGAAAAAAGTAAACACGTTGTTGGCGCTGATGTTCTTGCAGCACATAAACATGATGCACCCACAGATATCGAGGTTGTCAAAGACTCCGAGGTTGACAAAGGTGCGGCAATTAAGTATACCAATTATTATGCGAACGAAACGTACCCAATAGATGATGTGTCTGGACATGGAAATGCGAAAATGGAAAACCAAACAGAAAATACCAACATATTCCAGGATAGTAATGGATATGTGCAGGGAACAAATGACAATTATGGTAGTTCTGGCGGAATTCATGATGGGCTTGGATATGATCAAATGGATCACCAAACCGACAACCTATTCCAGGATAATAATGGAGATGTGGAGGGAACCAACGGCAATTTTATAGATATCATTGAGCAACAAACTTATAATTCTGGCGAAATTTACGATGCGCCTAGAGATGAAATGGTTCAAACTGAGAACATATCCCAGGATAGTTCTTTAGATGTGACAGGAACCAGTGAGTCTGGGTATGATAAAACAGATCACCAAACAGAAAACGTATCCCAGGATAATCCTGTAGATCTGATGGGAGCTAGTGAGCCTGGGTATGATGAAATAGATCACCAAACGGAAAACATACCCCAGGATAATCCTGTAGATATGAGAGCTAGTGAACCTGGGTCTGATGAAATAGATCACCAAACAGAAAACATACCCCAGGATAATCCTGTAGATATGATGGGAGCTAGTGAGCCTGGGTATGATGAAACGGACCACCAAACACATAACGTATTACAGAATAATCTTGGAGGTTTGGAGAGACCCAATGACAATTTGCAAGGTGAACCGAGTAACGACGATCACGTGGGTAATGAGATCCATACTATAGAACTTCTTGGCGATACCGTTCACGTAAAGGAGGGTTCCAACGGAGAAACGGCTACTCTAGAAATAGGCAATGGATATCTACTGGGTACTAATTCTTCGAACGGAGATAAGAAAACAAAGGAAATAAATGGTGGTAAGATTACGATTGTCACGGATGGGAAGGTCAAGGATATCAGTGTAGAAAAAGCTCCAACGACTAACTAGGGTTAGTATATGTAGATAGCCTATTACTCTTAAAATTCATTTGTCGATCATAAGCACAATTAAATTCCTCGACTCCGTGAAGAGCTTGCGAGCCTTTAATTCTGAGCTTAATGGAGACTTCGCCCTTGTGAACTTAAGTTCTTGTCGGGTCTGCTCCTTCTTTAGAGATCCATCATCTAATATGGCGGTCGGCAACCTTGTACTTCGTAATGCTAAAATTGATCTTATTTTTCAGCTCCATGGTTATCAAAACAGTCAAGATTGGTTCAGTTAGCACTACAACCGATTCGTAAAATATTGAATGTGACTTTCTTGGTTTTGTATAAATCATTTGTTCTCATTTGTTTTTCTTTAACTTAAAATTTAGTCACCCGTAGAAATATTTAGTTGTGTTCTTTTCTCTTTGAATGTGGTAGAAGAATCCCCTAATTTTATGGAATGCATCCCCCCCCCCCCTCAATATACATGCCTTGGAATAAGGCGGTGGGTCTCTTAACATGGACCTCCCGAATTCGTTGACGGTGTTGGCCGAGCATATTTTCGGCGTGCTTTACACCTTGTAAATGGTGCAGGGTGGAGATGGGCTGGCAAGGAACGGCATCTAGTCCTTTGGTTCTGAAGAAAAAAAAATGGTCCACGCTGGCGTCCACGTAAAAGAATCCTTGACCGTTGAAATTCGAAATTAGTACAGGCAAAGTGACCTCGGTTCACTGCATGCATATGCCGTCTTCATTAGCCAGCATGGAGTTGAAAAGTAGGACGTTAAAGATGCATTATGTAAAAGTTAAATAAAAGCTGGTCGTTCTTAGCCTAGTTCCTAATATTGATAATTTCATTCAAATTACTTAACTTGCCGAGCTTACTGGGACTATGCAACATTGACAAATGCGAGAACAAAATTGTAAAACGTGGCGGGAGGATGAACACGTTAATAATCTCTTCCTTGCATGCACGGTATTTTTAAACATTTGTCATGACCCACAAACGCACGCCCCCCCCCCCAATTTTCGACAGTGCCCTTTTTTACTGTTGAAAGTGCCTTTTCTCAGACCCAATATGTCCCTTCCCAACCCGTTGCAGGGATCCCAAATGACTCGAACCATCGACTCAAACACACCAGTCTGGCCTAATTAATGCTTCCACTTTCAAACGAATTCTTGTTTAGCTGACGGTGCCCCAATCCTATAGAGGGACTATAGATAGACATCAATGATAGCATCTTGTGGTATCGGCGGCGTATATGCCCATGGGCGCAGATCCCGGTGGGGACACCGGGACGCTTCCCCAGCAATATTTTTAGTGGTGGGGACATGATATACTGTGTCCCCACCACTTATTTCCGATGTTTTGCTGTTTATTTTTTTAAACTGAAATCATTCCAGAGCTTTTATTGACATTTCAGAAAGTGTAGAGTTGGTCCCAGGCACTTGAGGCCCGGGTCCTTGAAATTGTACAGCTGCATCCGGTGACCGATTTTTATACGCCCATTTTCATGTGGATGTATATTGTCGTCGCCCCTGTCCGTCTGGACGTCCGTCCACAATTGTTTGTGAACAGTCTACAGGTCACAATTTTTATCCGATTTCAATGAAACTTGAAATATAGGTTTATCACCCTACGATCTCGGTTCCTTTTGATATTGGCATGTATCGGACCGTAACTTCATGGATTATGGCCCCTGATTGTACGAAAAATCACGTTTTTGGCTTGTGAATACTGTAGAGGTCACAATTTTTATCCGATTTGGTTTAAACTTGAAATGTATGCTTATAACCCAAAGATCTCGGTTCCTTTCGATATTCGTGCATATCGGAAAGTAACTTCCTAAATTATGGCTCCTGATTGTACGAAAAATCGCGTTTTTAGCTTGTGGACCCTATAGAGGTCATAATTTTTATCCGATTTAAAAAAAAAACGTGTTAATATATCACCGTTACACCCTAAGGACGACTGAGTTCGAATTTCGTGAAAATCGGCCCAAAACTGACATAAAATGGTCGCCCTTCGTTCTCAAGTAGCGTAAAAATATGGTATATCAAGGTTGTGGACCCTATAGAGGTCACAATTTTTATCCGATTTTGTTGAAACTTGAAATGTAAGTTTATAACCCAAAGATCTTGGTTCCTTTCGATATTCGCGCATATCGGACCGTAACTTCCTGAATTATGGCCCCTGATTGTACTGAAAATTGCATTTTTAGCTTGTGGACCCTATAGAGGTCATAATTTTTATCCGACTTAAAACGTATTATTATATCACCGTTACACCCTAAGGACGACTGAGTTCGAATTTCGTGAAATATCGGCCCAAAATTGACAGACAAAATGGCCGCCCCTCGTTCTCAAATTACGTAAAAATATGGTATATCAAGGTTGTGGACCCTATAGAGGTCACAATTTTTATCCGATTTTGTTGAAACTTGAAATGTAAGTTTATTACCCAAAGATCTTGGTTCCTTTCGATATTTGCGCATATCGAATTGTAATTTCCTGAATTATGGCCCTTGATTGTAGGAAAAATCACTTTCTTTTTAGCCTGTTTTCTATCCATCTCTCGAAAATGTTGGCGTATCCTGCCTGGCAGCCGCTGGTTATTTGAATAAGTGATAATTCATATTATAACAGTAAATAATTAAAATATTCCATAGGGTTTATAATATGTGCATATCTGATACGCTGGGTATTAAAGGGTGAAGGAATAACTGAGATTTTGTTTTTATCTGGTATACTGGATGGTAAATCATCTAACTAAAGGATTTAGTTTGTATATCCGGGGAACCCTTCATTGCTAGATTTGCTGCCATACTAAATAAACGTATTTTTAAAGACTGGTTTCTATCTCTCTTTGAGTCTCTGTGGAATATAGGCAATTAAATCTAAAATTTAAGACTCTAACCCTCTATTTTCTGGAGTACAGTAAGCTGAGCCAAGAATCGTGTACTTATTATTACAAGTGAATTGTTTTTGCTGTTTTGAAAATGGTTTAGAAATTTAGGAAATTTATCGGAAAATACATTTTTTAAAACCTGTCATGGGCTGTCCAGAAAGAAGACAAAGGGAAAAGAAACGGGCAGAGTGGATATAAGTGTACTGTTCTTAAGTTTTAAAACATTCAATAAAGTGTTTAAAAAGGTGGGTTTTTTTCGATTAAAGAATTACTCTCTGAACTATTTTGTTATTGGTAAAAACTCCTCAGAATCATTAAAATAGCTACGGGAACAATATAAACAGCTAGATTTAACTTTTAAAAAAGCGTAAAGTTATTATTTCAATGTGGTCGCCATTTTTGAATTTTAACGTGTGAAAATTCGCCTTTGCCATCGGATTTTTAATCACCAATAAATAATACAGTAAAATGTTACATTTATTTCAATTGGGATTGAATATTGATATGTTTAGCTGTGTGTGTGGCTTGTTTTAGTTTATATAAATTAAAAGATTTGTAGGCCTGTACATTTGTGTAACCAATTGAATATACATTTTGCTCAAAGACCTTACGTAGTCTTCGAACACTACTGGGAATGGAGGCGGAGCTGGAATCTCAGTAGTGTAAATATTTCTAGTTCTTGTAGTGTACATGAGAGAATAAATCGTGAACGGTGGCTTGAAGATTTGTCTTTAGATTAGATTTCGTATCATTTGCTGCCTCAGGGATTAGAATTGTTTGCCAGAAAATGGTGCTGAAAATACCCACAGAGTGCGTTTTAGAGCGTCTAGTTTTCAAAAAATTCCGGGGGAGGACCCCCCTACCCCCCTCTATACCAATAGTCGCCCGCGCATGGATTGTCCCCACCACTAATTTTTGGCGATCTGCGCCCCTGTATATGCCCATCACCGGCGCGCATGAGTGCAACTTGATGTAGCATTGTTTCACGTGTACACAGTACAAGTTACAAGGCTTAAATAGTGAATTGGCTAGGGAATAAATTCGTCTTTTATCCCATCGTAATGCCTCGCTCGCCTTGACAACATTCGAGTCCCACGTTCAACTGGCTTTTTTGCTCGATTTTAAGGCTCTTTTTCATTGATTTCCAAACGTATACTTAGACGAAAATATCAGCCAAATAGCTCTTGGAATGGCTACAGATGCAAGGAAATGACGGATAATTTTCTTGGGGACCCCCCCTAAAGTGCCCCGTCTCCGCGGTCAGTGCTCTCATTTTGCGCCCCCCCCCCTCCTTTTCAAAATCCCTAGATCCGCCCCTGCACCTCCCTCAGTTCTGTTTAAAACACCCCACCATATATACCAATAATTATAAAACAATGTTTTAAAAAGCCTTAAAGATGCATATGGAAGTTTAATCTCCCTATTGGAGGTCTTTCTTGTGGACTCTAATGTTTTATAAATCATTAAATATTGCTGGAACTACATTGTCTCTATTTCTTCTACGAACCCCGCATGACCGGTATCCTGGCCTCTAAACCGAGGCGGCTATAAAGTCTGTCATTGAGTCAACTGGCGTGGTTTCGATTCCCCGGTTGTACGTGACGAGTAGGGTCGCCTGTCCAACCTCGTGGGTTTTCTCCGGGTCCCCCGGTCTCCTCCCACTGCTAAAGACCCCTACGCGCAAGCGAATTGTGGAAATAAAATTGAACCATGTTAGTCCCGAAATGACCTAGTTTGTGTCGAGTGGACGTTAAATCTCTCTCTCTCTCCCTCCCTTCGAGGCGGCTAGTTGTGCGGCTCGGACTGCCGGGTGATGTCTTCACAATAGCCGAGGAGGCCGTGGGTATGAGGTTCCCCTAGGAACTCCGATTGATGTCTTTCCTAACAGCGAGTAGGCTGTGGGAACGTCTTTCCGAGAATACTAAAAGATGTCTGAAAGGAAATTTAACCGCGCTCTTATTTATATAGAAAGTATAGATGTGTCAGCTGTTAAGGCGGGACAAGTACCATTTTTGGTTGTTTCGTATCGGCACCGTTTTATGTCAACATTATCCTATTTAATTGGGCAAATATTTGCACGAGATGGCTGGACGATAGTACCCTATACTTTAGCAATTGATGGTGGCAGAAAATGTCAGTCTAAAAAAAAACTTGAATCTTGCAAAATACCTACTGCTTAGCCTATTTCTTGTTATCGCCCATTTGTTTAATCACTAAAAAATATTAAATGGAGCACCTTTCATAGAACTAAAATAACCTTATAGTATTACACTGTCAGAAACGGGTTGCAAAGAAGGTTCATTCATTGTCGAGGTTGCTGGAACTTTCCGCTTTTCCACTAGGATTATGCTATGACCGAGTTCACATCTTAGTACACGCCTTTCAAATTTACTTATGCTAGCAAGGTCTTCCAACGGCTGTAAACGAATCTCTTCCTGTATGTCTTTGTATCGC